TTAGCCTATGGGGCACTCCTCATCTTCTCCTCACTGTGACGTTTTGACCGCTGTCTGTCTGTCATCCGTCCTTCATCCGAGACCCCTTCATACTCGAGATTTGAACCTTCGCTGGACAAATTGTGACACCTCCACAGCTCGGACGATATGTGGGGTACTGTACTATTCGACTTGCTTCGCGAAGCACGAATTTATTGTGTATGTAGCCACCAAAGGGGTTAGTTCTCTTTCAACATGATAGACTAGGGACTTGGTACTTGCGCCCGGTCACGGGCCTACCACTTCGCCTACTTGATTAGGCGATGTTTGTATCGTTCCATGAAATGAGAGTCAAATTCGATCCCAACAGGTATGGTCAGGTACTTACACTCATCGCTTGTTGGGTAGGCATCGTACCATGGTCACAATGATATGCGGGACGGAGGCTACCTAAAATGCCTAACTGGAGGATCCAATTTGATTTGGTGCAGACCTATGATGTCGATTTACACTCACTTGAGCATAGCAATTAGTAAAGTTTGTATTAGTATTGTTCGATCCTCTGTTCCTCAAGCTACTTCAGCCCCAGACGATCTACCGCCGCACGGAGAGATGTAGGTAGTGTGTTTCATAGTAATCTCAGTACATTATCCTCAATCGATTGTTTCAGATTGGTCAAGTCCTGCTAGTCCACTTATTTAGCGTGATAGGTGGCTGAACATCGACTGCATCTGGTTGATTATGTACGGCACCTCTCCTCGTCTTCCACCTTGTTTGAATAGGCGCTGGGCTTTGCGTGGTCAACCACGAGTCGATGGAACCCAAATAACACGTGATGAAGGATTATGATTCAATATATGATCTGTATCATGCAATACATTTCCGTTATTTTTTTTTTTCGCGGTGCACGAGGGGCTTTTCACCAGCTGCAACAGATCGTTATCAAACAGAATTATCTCCGAAAGGGAGGGGAGAATTAACTGCCAGGTGGCGAGGCATGCTTCTTCCCCTCTCCCTCCCTCCATCCCTCCAAATTGCGGTCAGGAAAACACCCACCGCCACAGCAACTTTCATTACTCATTTGCTCTCTTGCGCGTACCTCTAAGCAACTCCATATTTTAGCTTTAGTGTTGTGCGATGCGTCTGATGTCGAATGTGCGCGAACCGCGCCTTCGCCTTAACTCGCATTTGGCGCCGACAAGCCTAGCTCGCGATCAGAGACACAACACATCTATCCGCTTGAACTGATCATTCTCATGCCCAACCCCGCACACTATGTAGCTGAACGGGGAGAATGTGGTCCCGATTTTCGCCGGAGTCTTCTGGATATGTTAAGTCCAATGCAGCCATCACTGATGAGCTGTCCGATGGTCTTGAGAACGAATCTCAATGAAAGGAAGAATCCCCTGCCCATAGAAAAGAACACGGTATACTGTTCCGAACCAGCATTGCATTTTAAGTCCTTGGGTAGACATCACAGCCGAATTATCCATGATAACATTACATTCGACCCAGTGGTTTATAGAGTATAAACTGAACGAGTTGCTAGGCTTCTTTCAGCCGACGGAACCACACCAAGTAGGCGCACGGTGCTTGGGCTTGATTATGGTCATTATCGACTGTTATGCCTGACCAAATCTCACCAAAGCTCAATCGAATGCCTAATCCTTCTCCTCTACCGGCTCACTACAGCTTGTAGCTCACGGTCCGGTAGCTCGCACGAGTCTAATTGCTCGAAAAGCAGGTTTTCTTCAGACGACTGTTCGCAGGCCCTCATGCCGGGCTTGAGCAACGTCCGCGCTCTTCCCAAGTAAGACTACTCTCCTCCACAGTCTGGACACAAATTCTGGTCAGCTTGTTGGTGATAGTGAATCTGAATCGATGAATGGACTTGTCAGAAGAGTAAAGCTGTGGCACGAACATGTTCTTCTGTACAGAAATCATAAGGCTAGTCAGCCGGCGTATCATGTCCAGGCATTGTAAATCCTGATAGGACTCGACATCGTGGCCAATTTTCAGCAAAAGGTTTGTCTTTTGGCTGCCTGAGATGCCAGTGCAAGTGGTACGGCCACCTCTTGGAAGCTCGATACCTAAGACCTGTATGGAAAAAAGAAGGTTCGATGCCATGGAGTGCATGGACTTTCATGTGCCCGCCTAAAGATTGATTCGTGAACAAGCATGGATATTCTTGTCAGTGATGACTTGGACCAGGTGCTGGGCATGAAAGATCTTGAAGTTTCATGGAAGACAAATAGACAGAAACAGATGACAAAGAACGAACAGAAAGAAGAAGACAGTCTCTTCATCAAGAGGAATATCTCACTGAACACAAGGCGATAGGCAAGCATTTCGCCACGGTCTCTTTAGACCAACCCGACGTCAGCAGGAGTCTCGTCACGCAGCAGGTGGACAAAGATGTTAGCAAGTGGAAAGATCGGGAGACCTTAAAAGAGGGAATCAATCTGAGCTGCGTAGGAAGAACACGCAAGTCGAAACATCTCATTGAGTGGTGATCTATCTTAAATATTGTCAACTCATTCAAACCTGACTTGTGCCCAGTCCCTGATAGCTTAGCTTTAGATTACTGACTATGCATTCCCAGAGAGCCTTCGCACGTTTACGCACAAAACAAAGGGCATAGAGAAAGCCTAAGACTTGAGCGGACATAATCCCCTCCCTGCTTGAGGGGTAGTAGGGGATCATGAAACCGCGTTGCTGAGACCACATCCTAAACATTACGCCGAGAAGGTAAACTCCATGAGGGGTAGTTCAGAGAGAGTTACACGAGAAACTGGCCGGCACTGGTTATGAGCGGATCAAGAGAATCGTCTGGCGAAGTTAAATATGGGCGGATGAGGTCGAGCGCGGCGGACATACTGATGCAATCGATCACAATAAGGATGATCAACATAAATTGGGCAGAGAGGCTAGATGGCACATTCTCATGCTTGACCGCGCGATGGCGTAGGCTCTCTAGTCTGATGGATAATAGTTCCAAGCGTAGTCGTCTCATGTGTAGAGCCTTTTTACAAAGACGGAGCCTATGCCAACGACCCTGGAGCCGGTGCGCAAAGCCCAATTCAGCAGGTCACGAGATAGAGGAAAAACAGGGGCAGAATAAGAGGGACGGCGATCGAACCAAAAATTGAATATGGGTGTGGTCCTGGGAAGAGATCGATTATAAGCAAAGTCTTTCTCTCCTTAGCCTTTAGGAAGGAAAGCTCCGGGTCATAATAGCTGCATGCATGAATGCGCATGTAAGCCCTAAGGTAGCGTGCTCACTTCATGCACTGCCCTGTACATATGTACTGAACTATCATGTCTGTGGCCCTTATTAGAATAGCAACCCATGACACTGCCTGACTTCTAGCTGAATGAACTCTTAGACATGATTTAGGTATGGTCTGAGCAAATACGGACGAATGAGAGAAAGCAGAGCGTTCTTCCCGTCCTTCGTCTCTTAAAGCCATAGAAAGGGTTGAAATGCCCGACTGTACAAATTGCTTACGGTTCATTGCCGCTCCTTTGATGCTCTACTTACACCTCCGGTACCTGATAGGCAGCTGGCATGAGTGTCTGCCCTGCGGTAGTACTAGCACAAGCAGCGCATCGCGTCAAATATAGCTCAATTCAAAGATACTCGTTTTCACGAACTCCATGAATGAGAGCTTGGACGGGCTGTCAGGAGCTACATGTATCTATGAGATGCCAAGTCCGCTCACCCTCAGACATGGCGACTACCCATCCACAGAGGCACTCAGCAGACTGTTGCGCCAGCGGCTCTTTCATGTGTCACCCCGTGTTCGGATGAGGTGGCTTGGTGTGGAGGCTGACAGGCTGGAGATCAATCTGGCTGCGGGAGCAACCGCGTTAATCATGGAAACGAGGACCTCAATGCACGGACCAGTTCAACCAGTTACGTCCCTAGAAAACTCTCTTCGACGAGGACTTGACTCGACCCAACTCGACAAATCCAGTGCATGAAAGGGCTGAGGATTCACCTGACAACGGTCCGGTTCCCAGCCACAACACGAATGTCACCTTCGAAGATAATTTCTTGAAATGGATTGATGCTCAAAATGCCAGGCACAGCTGGTCGTCGAAGAGCAATTCCTTTGGCATTGCCCATTCTGGTTTCAACGAGGACCATAACTTTCAAGGTACTTCTGGAGTATAGTTGCTTATGCAGAGCAATGAGCTTATATTGACCGACTGGCCTAGTGGTTACGGCGCTCGTCTTACAATCTCCACATTGATTACACGAGAGATCGCAGGTTCGATCCCTGCGTCGGTCATTTACTGCTACAATTTATTTTTGCTCTCATCCCAAGGCCTGCCTGCCTATCGCTCACAAATCACAGACTGTGTCATAGATTTCTTGAGTAGTTTCGTTGTAACCTTACCTAGGCAAGAGATTTCTTCTTAAACACACCTTGCTCATGAATGACATGCTCCTTTGTGTCCTCCCTGGTTTGTTGAGACCACTCTCTCTTTACAAACTACAAGCCATGTCTATAGTTGCTGAGGTGCGCATTACTTCTATACCCAGGCGATTGTAGCATCAAACACAGTTTTCTGGTTGAAGAAATAGACCGGTGCATCTATCTGCATAAGCGAAAGTATCTATGGCAAGTTATCATCGTAGGACTGTCCAGTTTTTGTGCCCATTCACTCGATTTACATCCACTAGCATTCATGTATACCTCACTAGTGCGAGCATACCTGGGCCCGTATGAGATTGTTGTTAGCGTAGTTTCAACGGCCTTGGTTCCCTGGTAGCAGGCAGTATTGGCTTAAGAAAACCATGAAGCATCCTTATTCAGACTGGTCACTGCAGGGACCAGTTCGATGGTGAGGGTGGGTCTGTTACGATCTATCCACTGCTGTCAGTGGATCCGGGTATTTCCAGAGCTAGGGTCCTTTCCCCTCTTTCATTGTTCGCTTTAATTGCCCCTCTTTCTCTCATGGCATCTCAAGGCATATGAAAAGCATCGGTCTCACAACAGATTGCTAGATTTGTGGCTCATCTTGTGATTTCAAACTGCTCTTCTACAAGCCTAGCCAACTCTGCAACCATGAAACTCCTCCAGAAACCTCCGCGATATGTCACTGCTAGTATATTGTGCTCCTGCGGAGGACTCCTTTTTGGGTACTTATTTGCTTCTGACCCCAGTGATCTCAACTTCAACACTGATCCCAAGATACTAGAATGGATACAGGAATCATTGGCCCCGTGACTGTCATGGAAAGTTTCACCTCACGATTTGGAAGCCAGGCTGCAGTGATTCACGGGTTGATCGTGTCGTCCATCCTTATCCCGGCCGCAATTTCTTCATTCTTTGCAGGCTACGTGGCAGACAAACTGGGTAGGCCAAAAGGCATCAGTATTGGTGCCTTGATATTTGGAATCGGAGCGGGCCTTGAGGCAGCAGCTGTCCACATTGGGATGTTCGTAACAGGACGATGCATCGAGGGCATAGGGGAGGGCTTATACCTTGGAACTTTGGTAGTGTATGCATGACCTCTCTCCCCTCTGCACAAATGAGTCTACCTGACACTACACAGGTATATCTGCGAGATTTCGCCGCCCGACGTCAGAGGAGCTTTAACCACCGGCCCTCAGTTGCTCATCACGCTGGGTTTGGTAGTGGGGTTCTTCACATGTTATGGAACGGCTCGCCTGGAATCTTCATTCTCATGGCGTACTCCCTTCTTGATTCTTGCTTGTTTGGCAGTGGCTTTCTCGGTTGCTTCTTGGCTCTGGCTGATCCCCTCGCCCCGATGGTTGACCATTCACGGTCGCCGAACTGAGGCTACTGCTACTTGGGACTACCTTGGGGTAAGCCAGGCGGAACGCGAGAAGGCTGAAATTGAGCAAGACAGAATTCTTGTCGCTGAAGTTGCAAGCATCTCCAGCAGAGAACGTGCTTCAACAAATCCCCAGGCTCAAGCAAAGTCAGCCAAGGACAAGATTTTCGACCTCTTTTCTAAAGACGTTCGGACTCGCACCATTCTGGCTGTCTTCCTGATGGGAATGCAACAGCTTAGTGGGATTGACGGTGTTCTTTATGTAAGATTCTTCTCGCCCACCTCTGGTGATCATAGAACTTATCTCTTATTGTACTCAGTATGCCCCTCTTTTGTTCGAACAAGCAGGTCTTGCATCCTCGTCAGCAAGCTTCTTCGCTTCCGGCGTCTCAGCAATTGTTATCTTCGCAGTCACTATCCCTGCACTTATTTGGGCGGACAAATGGGGTCGCCGACACAGTACCATTTACGGTGGCATCGGCCTTAGCATCACGATGCTTCTGATAGGAGCTCTATACGCAAGCAAAACAGTTCACAGCTCAAGTGGAGCGGGGCGATGGGTGGTCATTGTCAGCATCTACATATTTGCCGTGATATACTCTTTGAGCTGGGCTGTCGGCATCAAGATCTATGCAGCAGAGATACAGCCACAAAGGACTCGTGCCTCAGCAACTAGCTTAGCTCACGGGAGCAACTGGGCGGCTAATTTCCTAGTAGCACTTGCTACACCAATCCTCCTTTCAAGAAGCAGCTTTGGTGCATACTTCCTATTCGCGGGATGCACACTTGTCACGACCTTTGTATGCGCAGTCATGATGCCAGAGACCAAAGGCAGATCGCTGGACGAGATCGAAGAAGCGTTCAAGTCCAAGGCTGTGGGCTCGCAGCCCCTCTTGAACATTCTTCGCCGGACCACCCGGTCTATGCCTTGATCAGCGATTGCCGCCGAAATAACTCGATCTGTGCACAAATTGTGACAGATTCAAGTGGTGGGTCTAAGCGTTAGCCGGCGATAAGGTAAAACAGCGGGCGGGGCCGAATGACATGCTGGTTTGAGGTTAGCACAAGCATTTGTAAGCCAGATTTGGATCTAACCGTATGAGGATAGCTTCAGATTATGTAACCTGCCCCTCTGCCGAATGGAAAATAGTTCGGATAATCCCCTCGCTGATAAAGAAGAAATTGTGCCGTCAATCTAGAATGCCGTGACGCCCGCTCTTCACCACCCTTGATCGACGTGCAGCAAGACCCGCAAGTTCTGATCAGCAATGCCTCCTCGTAGGAGAGCGCCGATTTCTGCGGCCAACTTGCGGTCCACGCAATCTGGAGAGGTAAGTTGGAGTTGGAAAGATTTCCGCGCCGTCTCTCGCCGCCCTCATTAACCTTATGCGACGATTCAGGCCGCTGCCTCTTCCAGGCCCGGAACCACCGATGCCCACAAACGCAGACGCGCCTCTCAATCCAAGCCTGCTCCGCCTCCAGAAGAGCCATCCCCCGTCGTCGAGGAACAGCCGCAAGCTTCCGATGAGGAGCATTCTCACACTTCGTACCGCCACCGAGATCCCTTCGACGCTCTTCTCGAGCCGTTCTACTACAACAAGGGCCTAACGGATCCGATCAACACTGCCAAGGATAAATGGAACCTGTTGCCAGCATTCCTCAAGGTCAAAGGTCTGGTGAAGCAGCACATCGATTCGTACAACTACCTGGTCGAGGTCCAATTGAAGAAGATCGTCGAATCCAGCTCCACAATCCGCAGCGATGTCGACCACAACTTCTACATAAAGTTCACCAATATCTACCTGGGATTCCCGCGACGTGCAGACGAGCCGCAAGATGCCAGGGCCGATTTCTCGGAGTCCACTGTGGCCCCGCACGAATGTCGCCTTCGTGACACAACCTATGCGGCACCCATTCAGGTCGACTTCGAGTATGTTCGTGGACGCCAAAGGGTTATGAGGAAAGGTGTGGCTATTGGAAGAATGCCGGTCATGCTTCGGAGTTCGAAGTGCGCGTTGGCGAACAAGACCCCAGCGGAGATGTCCGTTTTGAATGAGTGCCCTCTTGACCCTGGTGGTTACTTCATCGTCAATGGTACAGAGAAGGTCATCCTCGTTCAGGAGCAGTTGAGCAAAAACAGAATCATCGTCGAGACGGACCCCAAGAAAGAGATTGTCCAGGCCTCAGTCACTAGGTAACACTCTGCCGTCTTTTCCCATTCCATTCGCGGGCACTGGTACTAATTTGTTTGTGCAGTTCTTCCAACGAACGTAAATCCAAAAGTTATATCGTGTTGAAGAAGGACAAACTCTACGTGAAACACAACGTTCTCAGCGAGGACATCCCCATTGTGATCCTGCTCAAGGCCATGGGTATCCACACCGACAAAGAAATGCTCTTGCTCGTGGCCGGTGTCGATAAGGTTTACCAGGAAGATTTTGCGATCAATTTCGAAGAGGCGATCAAGCTTGGTATCTATACCCAGCAGCAGGCTCTCGACTGGATTGGCGCACGAATCAAGATCAATCGCAAGCAATCCACATATCGCCGAACCCACGTGCAAGAGGCTGTGGAAGCCATTGCTTCCGTTATCATCTCTCATATCGAAGTCAAGAACATGGATTTCCGACCTAAGGCTATCTATGTCGCCCATATGGCTCGTCGTGTTCTCATGGCCAAGAATGATGCCACTTTGGTCGACGATCGCGACTACCTCGGAAACAAGCGGTTGGAACTTGCTGGCCAGCTGTTGGCTCTGCTTTTTGAGGACCTGTTCAAGAAGTTTTGCTTCGATATCAAAATGAACATCGACAAAGTGCTGAACAAGAGGAATCGTGCCGAGGCCTTTGATGCCTATAGCGTGATTACGATGCACAGCAACCACATTACTCAAGGAATGAACCGCGCTATTTCCACCGGAAACTGGAGTTTGAAACGTTTCCGCATGGAACGTGCAGGTGTGACACACGTGCTAAGTCGTTTGAGTTATCTTGCGGCCCTGGGTATGATGACGCGTATCAGCAGTCAGTTCGAAAAGACCAGAAAGGTCAGTGGTCCCAGAGCACTGCAACCGTCCAACTTCGGTATGCTCTGTCCAGCCGATACTCCCGAGGGTGAAGCTTGTGGTCTCGTGAAAAACTTGGCACTCATGACCCACATTACAACGAATGACGAGGAGGGCCCTATCCGGAACTTGATCTTCATGCTCGGTGCTGAAGACATTTCAACGGTCGGTGGAAAGGAGCTTTATGGCCCAGGCTGCTACACGATCTCGATCAACGGTACTCCCATGGCACTCACTCGACGACCGAAATTCTTCCTCAATGCTTTCCGAAGACTCCGTCGGATGGGTCGAATCTCCGAGTTTGTCAGCATTTACATCAACCACCACCAGCGGGCTGTCCACGTAGCCACCGATGACGGAAGAATTTGCAGACCGCTTGTTATTGTTGATAACGGCAAATCTCGCGTGAAGGCCCATCATCTTGAGAAGCTGCGGGATGGTACCATGGCTTTCGACGACTTCCTTGCGCAGGGATTGGTGGAATACCTTGATGTGAACGAGGAGAACGATTCATTGATCGCTATCTACGAGAAGGATATCACTGAAACAACGACCCACCTGGAGATTGAGCCATTTACTGTTCTTGGAGCTGTCGCCGGGCTGATTCCGTATCCCCACCACAACCAGTCGCCCCGTAACACTTATCAATGTGCTATGGGTAAACAAGCAATCGGTGCGATTGCTTCGAATCAGTTCTTGCGGATTGATTCCATCTTATATCTCATGGTCTACCCGCAGAAGCCGATGGTCAAGTCCCGCACGATCGAGCTGGTCAAGTACGATCAACTACCCGCTGGACAGAATGCAACTGTTGCGGTCATGAGTTACTCAGGATACGATATTGAGGATGCCCTCGTGTTGAACAAGGGATCCGTAGATCGTGGATTCGGAAGATGTCAGGTGTTCAAAAAATACGTCACCAACTTGAAGAGTTACTCGAACGGCACCAAGGACCGCTTGAGTGGACCGCAGTACGAGAACGATGCGCCGATCAGGAAACACGCCCTCCTCGAAAGCGATGGTCTGGCTGCTGTGGGTGAGCAGGTCAACGCCGGTGAAGTCTACATCAACAAGTCCACGCCCGACCAATCGATGTCCTCCGGGTTCGCCAGCTCTGACCCTGGCCGGCCTGTTTCTTATATGCCAACTCCCATGACCTACAAGCTTCCCGATCCTGCTTACATCGATAAGGTCATGATTTCTGTGACCGAAAACGAGAACCAGCTGGTCAAGGTCTTAACCCGACAAACACGTCGTCCCGAAGTCGGTGACAAGTTCTCTTCCCGTCACGGACAGAAGGGTGTCGTGGGTATTATCGCCGACCAAGCCGACATGCCCTTCACCGACCAAGGAATTAACCCGGATATTATCATGAACCCTCACGGTTTCCCCTCTCGAATGACAGTCGGAAAGATGCTGGAGCTTGTTGCAGGTAAAGCCGGTGTCCTGGCCGGCCACCATGGCTACGGCACTTGCTTCGGCGGCACTCCGGTTCAGGAGGCGTCTCAGATCCTGATCGACCACGGCTTCAGCTATGGTGGTAAAGACTATCTTACCTCCGGCATAACGGGCGAGGCCCTGCCATTCTACGTCTTCACCGGCCCCATATACTACCAGAAACTCAAGCACATGGTGCAGGACAAGATGCACTCGCGTGCTCGCGGACCACGCGCCATACTCACCCGGCAGCCCACGGAGGGTCGTTCCCGTGACGGCGGTCTCCGTCTCGGTGAGATGGAGCGTGATTGTCTGATTGCGTACGGTACCAGTCAGCTGCTGCTGGAGCGACTGATGATCTCGTCCGACCGACACGAGATCGACGTGTGCGAGCAGTGTGGTTTCATGGGTTACCTGAACTGGTGTCAGCGCTGCAAGTCCTCTCGGAGTGTTGTGAAGATGGCCATTCCCTACGCCGCTAAGCTCCTCATCCAGGAGCTGATGAGTATGAATGTGACCGCGCGATTGAAGTTGGAAGACGAGTTTCCCGAGATGAAGGGTCGGTAGACGAAGAGGGCTTCAATCTTTCATCAACATCAAAAGCACTTCTGTCAGTCTTCCATTTTTTGGCGAAGATCACAAAACCCAAAACGGAAGTGAAAAAGTTCAGGTCATTTGAGAGACAAAAAAGGAGGCGTTCAGAGCATCATTGGGAGGCTTCTGCTTGGGAAGGGGGCTCGTTTGTACATAACGTTTGCATGCATAGCGCTCGGCGATGCGGTCGAATTTGAAAAGAACAGTTTTGACTAAAAAGTATCTATACACACACACACACACGCATATATAGATTAGCATCCCACTCATTCGCCTTCAAAGGCACTATCATCAGCAAGCCACTACACCCGGAGTATGACCCCTTATCCCTAAACCCCGCCCAAATACCTCCTCACGACCCCCCAGTACCTCTCCGGATCAGTCCTCATATGCGACACATGCGCCGACCCATCAAACTTGACCCTCTCGACCTCCCACCCGCGCCTCGCAACCTCCTCAGCATGCCTCTCCACATCCCTCGCATCGACCACTCGATCCCCCTCGGAGTACAAATAGCACCTCCTCGGCGCGGCCTCCGCCTCCGCCGTGCGGGATGCCCCAATTCCTCCTCGCCCCCGCACCACCAACCCCGCATCCAGCGTTCCCCGCCGCCCGACCATCACTCCATCAGCGCGCGGCCACACCATCGCCAGCAACATGGACCACCCCATGATCCCCGCGAGCACCAGCGTCCCCAGCACCCGCAGCACCGGGTTACCGGGCAACCCGACGGCCAGCGCGCGCATGCCGCCGCGGAAGGTCGACGTGCCCGGGGCGCTGTCGTAGAGCATGGCCTCGACGGCCAGCGGGCGGCCCGTGGCGGCCCGGTAGGCCTCAAGCAGGTTGGCGACGGTGAAGGTGCCGCCGTTCGAGAACATGTGGATGTAGACGTGCGGGTGGGAGCCGCCGCTCCGGTTGGTTGCGGCGGCGGCGGCCCGGAGAGCGGCGACGGCGGGTTGCAGGCGCGCGTGCTGCGTGCGGGCGGTGAAATGTACCAGAAAATCCAGGGAGGTCGAGAGCGTGCACAGGATCGTGGCGGTCGGGTAGAGGTCCATGTAGGTCGTTAGATATTTGGTGAGGGTGCGTGGGTGCGCGTTCATCCAGAAGGCGAGGATTATGATTTGCTCTGGGGTTTTGAGGTTGGTGGCGGCTGGACGGTGGATGTAGACGGATGGGGAGAGTTGGGTGAAGGCTTTGAGCGGGTTGGGGGGAGGGATTGATGCGGTGGTGGTGATGGTGGAGGGCATTGTTTAGCTGTAGTGGTGTCCTCTTTAGTAACCGTGTTTCCGGGGTTGAAGAGTGAGAGTTTCAAGAGTGAGAGTTTCAAGAGTGAGAGTTTCAAGAGTGAGGGTGGGAGAGAGGGAGGATCAAATGTTTTTGTGTAGAACGGAGTATTTGGTAGATCCTCTAGAACCGAGGCAAGAAATCGGGGAGAAAACAACATTAACAATCGGGGAATTTCTCCGATATAAATTGGAAGAATACGGATTTGCGCTAGCCAGACTCTGGAATCCTAGATTATACCATCACCCGGCTTACCGACCTTGAGTGAATATTTGTGACTTGTTAGTGTTCAGCGCATAAGCACTAGACTCGAGCATCACCTCAAGAGTGGACAGTCTTTGACATGGTGGCGATGCGGATTTTATGATTACTCACTAGTCAGAAGGGATGCATGCCTCGTACCTGGGCACAAGCAATAACACGAGAAAACCCCCCGATCATAATTGGTACGAAAGCTAAACCTAAACGCCAGTCCTCGCTATGCTCTAATTTCGTCCTGCTTTTGTCCCGTGCCTCAGTCTATCACTCATGAGTTTGTCATTCAATCCCAGGGAAGTACCGAACCTAGGGCTTATACAAGGGCTTGTTTCTCAAGGCCCGTAAGACATCGCCGGACCTGCGTTGCACCGTTTCGAATTGTTCCCTGTTCTCGACTATATCGGCGTAGCAGAGCCACTGGCGTCCTTCTTCTTGCCTCTCAACGTTTGCCCTGATCCCTGGAATCGGGGCTTGTCTCCCTCAACGGCCTGCCCGGTCTCATCGCGCTTCTTCACGGGCTTGATTGCGTATCCAAAGAACAGCTGATTCGGAGGCAGTCGAAGAGGCTGCGGCCCGTTTGTTCTCCTGACCGGAGGAGGATGCTGAGGGTTGGTGGCACCAGGTGTGGGAGTGGATGGTTTGGGTGTAGGGGTTTTGCTGCCTTTTTTAGCGTTCAAACGCTGTCCACCGACAAGGAAGTTTGACGACACAGCCCTGGCCCCGGCAGCGGCATCGGTTGACTCGGGTGCGATAGCAGCATAGTTGATCGACTGTGCCATGGTGCCATGGGGGTGCAGTAGGCCACCGGACGGCAACTTGCCGCTCACTCCGCTGCGAGGCGTACTGGTTCCACTGGGACGTTGCGGCTCCTCGTAGCCCACCGGAGGCGCAAAGTCGACTTCAAGGTCGGTCTCGAGAACTGAAATAGCGTTGCTCTGGCCAGATGGCTTTGTTTCTAAAACTGCCATCTCGTAGACCTGGTCGTTGTAGGCGAATGTGAAGACATCCCCCTTGGTCAGGCAAGAGAAATTTCGGAAGGCATTCTCCAACACGGCCTTGGGGTCACTGATGTCGAGGAAACTGGTTGACTGAGCCTGCAGCTTGATGAACTGGCCCGGTGGTAGATCGGTGGATTTGACCTGAACTAGATCGCCAGGCTCCAGCAGAAGTGTTTGCATCAACTATAGCACCAACTATCAGCTTCGCGACCATGTATGGGTTGTGGCAGGAACCTACCCAGAATGGCAGGTATATCTTCCCCTCCTCCGCAATGAACTCCAAGACACCTGCATGGGTCATTCTTTCCCTAGCGCCATTCTGAAGCTCAAACAACATGGGATATGTGATATGCAGACGCGTCAGCTTGTCCAAAGCGCTAGGCGGCATGATGACCTTGCCGCCGTGGTTGACATTTTCTCTCTCTGGACCCGGCATCATCGCAACAGGGTAGCATCGATAATATTCATCAAACCGGCGGGCGGTTCCTCCACGACGAAGCATGCTGGAGCCAAGTACCCCGTCCATCGGGTCATCCTCCCAGTAGCCGGACTGAAACTGCTCCTGGTTAGTACGGGATACCTGAGTGACTGACGGCGTGAGAGCGGGGAACCCACCATGACCGACGGGAGCTAGCTATGGCGATAACTAGAAGCTGGAAGAGATATGAATGTTCAGAACAAGGCTCAGTGACGCCTTGCGTTGGGTGATATGGCCGAAGTTGACGAGCAAGGGAAGAGAGTTCAAGAAGTACTGAGGTGTAGCAATAGAGCTCGAGCAGTTGTAGAGAAAGAGAGAGAGAGAGTGACGGGAGTTCAGGTACGTTCGGCCGATCAATCGGATCGCCTGCGGTGACGCAAATGGCGCGGCTCCGCTTTGATTTTCCGTCCCGACCCCAGACAACGCAGTGCAGCTTCAAAATGTTTTGATTTCTACCTCTGTTCGTCCCGACCTTCTGGCTCTTTTGAATAAAAATATAGAGTCGACAGTAGACCGCGATCCGTGATCTCCTCCACGCCTTTCCATGTCAGCCTCTCAGCCCCGCCCCAAGCGGGCAGGTGAAGACTTCACCCGTACACACCACGAGGACGAGGACGGCTCATCGACCAAGAAGCCTCGCTTTGATCTACGGAACCCCTCTGCTCTTGCTCCCGATGCACTAGAAGAGGATGCAGTCCTAGATGCCGACGAAATCGGACGCCGAGGCCAACAAGTCCGCCGCAAAGCCGTCAACTTAGACGGTTACGACTCCGACAGTGAAAATGAGGGCTTCTCAGCACGCATTGAGGCCAAGTCAAAAGCAAGCCGAGAGAAACATGACGCTGAGGACGATGACATGTTTGCTGAACTGCAGGAGGACTTTGGTGCCGAGGAGATCGATGCCGATGAAGCCATGCGCAAAAACAAGAAGAACGTCCGGTTCTTGCGGGACGACGAGATAGAAGGCCAGGTTGCCTCGTCCAAGAGTGGCGGGACGGTCCACGCATATTTTACCAAGGGGGCTGACACAATCGAGGATGAGGAGGACGAAAGTGAAAGCGAGGTCGGGGATGAAGAGCGCGCCAGACCCGACGAGGAGCTGGATGAGGAACTGGGTGCGGGTGCGAAGAAGAAGCATGCGCCACTCCTAGACGCTTTCAACATGCGCATCGAACAAGAAGAAGGTCGCTTCGATGATCAAGGAAACTATGTCCGAAAGGCAGCAGATCCCGATGCGGTCTACGACACGTGGCTGCAGGGGGTCTCTAAGAAGGACATCCGACGCGCCAAGGAAGCTGCAGAGAAGCGGGAGGAAGAGCGCAAGGAGAAAGAGCGCAAAGACGATAGTGTACTCACCGCGGATGTCTTGAGAACTCTAATCACCCATATGGAACGAGGCGAAACGATCTTAGAGGCTCTGGCAAGAATAGGCAAGGGCGCTCAAAAGAAGCAAAAATGGCAGACCAATCGCAATAAAAATCGCAAAAAACAGAGCGACGCTGCACCTGAGGATGCGGAGATGACAGAGGACGATCCAAAGGAAGTGGCCAGAAAGCAGGCTATTGATGAGATCACCGGTGCTGCCGATATCCTCATGACTAGAGGGCAGGCAGAAATTTATGACACTGAACGTGAGATCCTTACAAGGCAGTACCGCCGCGAAACCGGCGAGGACTGGGTTGATCCTCCGTCTGCAGACTCCAACTCTGTGGAAGAATCCCCTGCGATGTGGCAATTTCGGTGGTCCGATGCTCGTGACGGTGGAATCATACACGGCCCATACGATGCTCCTACAATGGAGTCTTGGAGGAATGCAGGATATTTCGGGGAAGGAGTTGAGTTTCGCCAAACGAATGACGGCAGTCAGTGGGACAGTACAGCTACCTTTGTTTGAGGCTGGCGTAACCAGTCTATGCCATGAGACGAATATTGTATATGTAAATTAGCATCGTCGGATACCCGGGTTCTTGGGAATATTAATCTCATCATTATCATTCGAGCCTAGGCTAGGCTCACTTTTGACTAAAATTTGACCCTAAAATCAAAGTGCCCATACATTGACTTCTCAAAAGCGCCGGCAATATCATACATCAAGCAATTGATGGGAAAACAACAACAAACAGATCGAGTCAAGTAGACGAGGGAGTGGCTGGATTACTCCTTGACTATCTGCGACATCTGATCACTGAAAAACAGATCCGTGCATGACCGTCTTTGCATAACTCCAGAACGTCCTTATGAAATCAACTCTATGACAGTTCCATGGCATCGCCATTTGTGGGGGCAGTGAAGCTCACTGCACCTTGATCGCCAATGAACCGCTGCTCATATGCGTTGACAAACTTGACGCTCCGAGCAGGGTCGTAGAACAGGCGATAGCTGCGCTGCACGTCATCAATGCTAACTTCCTTTGCCTTGCGCTTCTGGCTGAGCAAATGAGATGTAGTGATGATGTTGCTAGCGTATCGCAGATTTGATTCTTGGCCGATTTTCGTCAAAAGTGCCAAGGCATCGGGTGAGAGATCGATCTCCTCTTCCTGTGCCCGAATGGCCAAGATCTGTCTGATCTCGTCCGCAGAGTAGGGCTGTGTGCTGACAATGACCACCCGGTCAAGGAAGTCCAAAGGCAATCCGTGCGGAGAGCTGTAGGTAGTGCCGCGGATCCGGGAGTGGCCACGGTTGCTGGCCATAATAACAATGGGTGCCAGCTCCGCCTCCAGAGCACGGTTGATGTACGAGAAACATTCGATATCCAGCATATGCACCTCATCGATGAACAGAACACCGGGGATAATCTCGGCCTTGCCTTCTTCCTTCCACTCAGCCACCTTGGTGTTGATCTGATCCCTGACCTCACTCCGGATCTCGCCCGTGTCACCCGAGAAGAGGGCCAAGAAACCCTGTGATCGCGAATTGATGACGTCGATTTCGTGCAGGCTAACAGTGTGTACGATCTCCTTGCGAACCTGAAGCTCACCTTCAGGGCATTGCACAAATTTGGTATCGGCGCCCATGGCATCATAATCCCGGGAGCGTGCGTAAGAACGTCCTAACTTGGTGATTTTGCCGGAAGACTTGTCGATAGAAATGATGTCCCCTGCCATCACTCTCTCCTTGGTCATCGAGTCAATCATCTTTGTTCCCATATCATAGATTGTCTCCATATCCGTCGTCTTGATTGTGAGCTTTCCTTGTTTGTTTCCCTGGACAAGTCAGCATCAACATGTTGCATTGAATCAGATGAGGTCGGCATGAGTGGTAGATGAGGTGGGAAAGAGTGCTAGATGAAGTCTTGAATCACGGTTTGTGAGATCTACTTACACCGGTCACACTTCTATCGATCTGGATCTCCACGACTTCACCCTCAATGATTTCACTTTCCTCCTTGATGCGAACCCCGATAGACTTCCGGAAAGCTTGCGTGAGAGCCTCCGTCTTAGACATCTCCATGGAGAAGATTTCGGAAGAAGCAAGCATGGTGAAGGGAACATCCGGTCCAAGGGATTGAGCCATTCCCATGGCGATGGCTGTTTTACCCGTGCTGGGAGGCCCTGCGATCAACACAGCCCGACCAGCAATTTTACCTTCCTTCACCATCTGCAGGATGACAGCGGCGGCCTTGCGGGCCTTTTCCTGACCCACAAGACCCTGGGAGGAGGCTCTGGGCTGCAAAGAGTCGACATCAACGCCGAGGCCTCGAATATGCGAATGAGCAGCAATGAGGTTCAAACCCCGGAGCTCCTTGGTCTCCGCAACGGTAGAAATTGGCTGTCGGCAGTCAGCAATGGGAGGGAGATTACTAGGATTGGAGCAGGTGTTCGGTGTCCACTCACGGCAGCCATTGCAACTACTTGCAGACACGAAAAGTTCTTCCTGTGGATGAGTGACAAGTAGCTAGTCAATTCGATGTACCAGCCAAAACTGGTCTGCAGGCGTTGCGGAAATGCAGACTGAATGAGAAGAGCTGCGCTGGGCAGAATCGGCCAGGCCGACGGGGTACCGCCCATCTCACCGCCTGGCAGAAACTGTCGATCGCGTCGGGACCGAGCCTCTGAGATTTGGTGGCGGCCGACAGGAGATGGCACTGCAGACTTCAAGGTGAATGATGGGCCTGTGAACCCAACCATTCACTGGGTCGGTCTCGACTGCTTCACGCGTCGTTTCCTCTACTCGTTGCCCCGCCTTGTTGCTTTGTTTATCGCATCCATGACAACTGGTATACAGGGCACCAGGATCCATGAACGTAAGTAAGCAATTTACTCTGTACCTTTTCTGGTTTTGTCTGTACAACTTCCTTGAAGTCTCCCAATGTGATGTTCACCCTCAATGGTCGCTCTTTCCCCATTCTCCCCATTCTATCCCACTCATGGATTACATCGAATGAATAGGCCCTCGGCTTACCAAGATCACTCGGTAGCTCTTCCCCAAACACTTGACAAATTGCCATGGAACCAGAGACCACAACATCACGCGACCCCCGCCTGGCTCGCCCTTTTAGACCAACTGCTGCCCGCACATTGTCCGAAACGCACCTGCGACTCAGTGCACAGCCAACAAGCACGCACTCGGTTAGTGAACGGGATAATTCCAATTCTGACCACCTAATACGCGGTGTCTCCGACCTGGTCCAAGCCGCAATCCTCGCTGCCAATAGCAAGTCGGAGAGAGACCGACTACAGAAAAGAAAGGAGGCTACCGCGACGTTATGCACAAAAGCCAGAAGCTATAACACTTTCCCATCTACTGCGGCTTTCTTTCAAAAATCTCAAGCAGATGAGGACGCGGAGCTCACACGTGTCGAGGAGGCCCTCAAGAAGCATAACGCTACGTACCAAGAGCACGAAAATGCTTTGCGGCTCACACTCGGCTCATCCGTCTTCGAATCTAGTAGATCCGAGCAGACTAACCACTTGCAGCGCGAAGTTCAGACCGTAAGAAGCGACTTGGGCAGCGCCAGGGCTGATATCACCAAACTGCGGGACTATAATGTGACTTTAGAGCACAAATTAAACGAGCTCCAGGACCGCGTGGCCCGGACAGAGAAAGCTTTTTCGGATTGTGCAAGCACGTTAAAGAGACATGCGAATCATAATACGGAAACAAGTGAGCGCATTGCGCAACTCAGCTCAGCTCTGAACAAAAGATCAGATTCACCGCCTCAGAAAGAGCGGATCGATAAAATACTATTCTCGATCTCAGGAATGGGCACTGAACTGGAGTCTCTTCAAACCAAGAACAAACTAGACATGCAAGAGTATCGGGACTTGCTGGATAATCTGCGTAGTGACTATGACGACAAATTTAACTGCTTTCTCGCGGACCAAACGACACGCTATGATTCTCATGTGGAATCCGTGGAGAATAGGCTTGCAGAGGGCTGGGCACTCGGCTTCAAAACCCAGCTCCAACAGATTCAAGACACCAATTATCATAGCCTTACCGAGCGGCTGGACAAACTTCAGGAACTACAGGCGATGAAAGATGATCTCGCGATGTCTGAGATGGAAGAGCTCAAAGATCACCTGGAGCAAAGCAAGGTGGATATTTCCACGCTCAAAAGTAAGAACAGCCAACTCTGTGACGGGCTCAGGACTGTTCTCAACCAAGACAAGTCAAATTCGGATGGGAAAATTACAGCACTTGAGACAGCACTGCATACCACAGAACAGACCTTGGAGAGTGTTAGAGTAGGCCTACATTCGCTTGAAATGCGCTACAACAACCTGTCAACCGGGCCTCTAGTTAGGAGTATGGCGCAAGCTATGCAAGAAATGTACCCCGGCGCAGCACAGATGATAGACAGGATGAAGCTGCTAACAAAGCAATTCGAGCAACGGTTACCTCAACTCGATGCGAGGATAGAGAAACTGGAAAAGGGCCTGGGTTCTCGGTCAGGCGGTATGCTCAAAGTACAGAACCACCTAACTCAGCAAGTCGGGAACTTGGTCAAGCAACACGAGGCTTTGTCGCAGTCGCTGATGCCTTTGCGAGACCCATCCACCGGAGAAATTTCGAGCACGAATGTTTCGTCAGGCCTTCTGCGAACGGTTCAAGATGAAGTCAAAGAGCTTGCATCTACCATCAGCAGTTATATAGAATCAAGGAAAACGGAGGACGAATCTTTGGTGCTGAAAATGACAGAAGAGCGAGATGATCTGAGAAGTCAGAGCCAGGTTCTCACCGATGAACTGGCAAGCTTAAGCGCACAAGTCACCGAAGTACATGAGACCATGAGAGCCGATATTAAAAGGTTGAAGGCTTGTCCTCATGAGATTCAGACTCATCAATATCGACTCCGGCAACTCGAACAGGTTACGTTGACCAAATGGGATGATTTGGCTGAGAAGGTCAAAAGACTAGAAGAGTCCGCGAATCAATTCTCCTCTGTTCGAGAAGGCTCGAAAGCCGCGTCTCAGCCATCACTTCCTGCCGTACCGAATTCGTTGCAGGGCTCGGTCAGCTCAGTACGCTCGGAGCAGGACAGGAAGCGACCTCGTGTATCTGCAATTTCTGACGGTGAAACGGGAAGTCAGTCACGCGCTAGCTCACCGTTTTCCATCTCATCCCAGGTTGGGTTTAAGTCAACACCGAACTCCGAGAGCAAGAAAGTGTACAAAAAATCCAAGAAAAAGCGCAAGCGGCTGACCGAGGAGCCTATTGTCGTTGACTAAGTTGGAAGGAACCAGACAGTCCCAGGTACATTCGCATTCTGGCTCGACGGCGGCTATCAGCGCCTCAGCTTATAACAAATGTGACAAATGCAATCTCCACCAGACTTTTGATTTTCGCTGGATACCTCTCGGGTTACATCTAATTCCCTTTCTCATTCGTTTTGTGTTTTGATGAGACCTTCAAAAGCCAAACTTGTTCTCTTACTTCTGTAGCTATTCCTAGGCTCCAGTTGAGCCGGACCTAGTCAGCCTGTATCTGATTCTAGTTGATGCCTGGTCGATGCACAGTATGAAACAACAGATGTTTGTACAGTCCACTCGCAGGCCCTTGGGACTGCGCTTGCTCAGGTCTTCCCTGGACATGGTCATTAGGACAGGCGTTTCCGGCCAGCAAATTGAATTTGATATGTATGTCTTTACATTTATTTTCGTAGCCAGAAGTCCAAAACTGCAGTTCTTTACAAGAGATGAATGCTCTTACTATGTATGCAATCGACCCGACTGCTGCTGTGATGTACTCGTATGCCAGTTGGCGCCGTTCCCAAAGCTTCCCCAGTCGTCTTCCCGATCACCCCACAACACCCCACGCTTACTCACCCTCCTCCCCACAGAGGTCCAAGCACAAGGCTTTAATAATTCGACATTGTTCAGAGACCACAACAGGCAGCCGCATAATACTCACTGCATCAATTAAACCCCCCTTATAAAGCTTGATCACAATAGCATTGTACAGTTTGACTACAGATTATATAGTTACATACTACCTCTCATTTTCAGATTCAGTCTTCAGACCCAAGTTCAGAAATCCCAAGTGGTCCATACCGCATTGCGTCCTGCATGTTGTGAGAAATGACAGGCACTGCTGCTGGAAGGGGCTGAGGAAACATCCGGCGGAAGATCTCATACCCATTGACAGACCACTGGGCAGGGCAAAATCGAGAGCTTGAGTTTGAAGCTTGAGCTTGCTAACGGCGGAGAGGTTCGGAGTACCAACCAATTCCAGGCGATCAACATCAGCACTCTTGTACATAACCATGCTTATAGTATCGAACCACTTCATGAATCCAACATCATATGATTTCAAAGTGAACACCCCCCCATAGTAAGAGAAAGAAGCAAACTGGTCAATAAGAGGTGAAGAACGCAGCCACTATTGCCGGTGGTTCTTCCCGAGCCCGCCAACAACCAACCCGAGAAGTTGTTGATCGGCCAGCCGGTCCGGCGCTAAAAACCCCAAGTAAGCGTGGCCTGACTTAGCCCTTTCTTCTTTTTCGCTTTGCCGATAGTAGGTGGTTTGATGCCGGTTAAGGTCGGCGGGAAAAAAACACGCCTGGAGTACTCCGGGAGGAGTTGATCAAGACAAATTATATTACTCTATCTCTGGTAGCCAATCTTCTCCTATATGGCTCCGGGATAAAGTCTTTTCTCCCCTCCTTCTTTTTCTTCTTTGTCTCTCCCCTTGGATTTTCTTTTCTTTTATCCGGCTGGCACGTGTATATCGTTGGTCTATGGAAATATCATCAAAGTTCACAGTTTTTTTTTTCTTATACACTCTATGAAGAGTGCTTTTGGCTTGTTTTCTTTATGATGCTCTATGGTGATTCCATTCCTTGTTCGTTGCCTATCTATGCTCTATATGCAAATTTTCGCCCAACCCTGCAATCGCGAGGATTGACCTTCGAGATCCGATCTATATCTAACCTTCTAAACTTCTAGCGCTTCAATATTCCGCAAGTCATGCCGTTGAGAGTCGTGTCCGGTATAGCCAAAGAATGATGGAGACGATTTATTCGCCTGTGGCCGGACGCCAGGATCGTCCTTGCCAGTGAACGAGAGCGATCGGGATGAAACTGACACCGATGATGAGAGCGGCGCAGACTCCGGCACTGGCGGCAACTCCAACGTGTTCGAACATGGATGGGAACCTGGACGGCCTCGATTAGTATCTGCGTGCGCAGCAACAGAAGATTATCATGCTTGCGACCTACCAGAACGGACCCAAGAACCCCCAGATCTGACGGACGAACGTGATGAAGACTCCGACGCTGGCCGCCTCGGTGTGATAACAGTCTACGGCATATGTGATGAGGACGGTGGTTACGATCTGGTTGCCAGCAGCACAGATGGCAATGCCAATAACAGGCCGGATATTCCAGTGTCCCTCCTTGGACTGCTCGGTGCAAACCAGGAAAACGACGAGACCCACAATTGAGCATAGGAAGCCGATATAACTGAGCCAAAGGCGATGCTCGGGCTGAGGCTTGCGATGAGTCTTCTTTTCGCGCAACCTCATCCAACGGTCGGACAAGACACCGCCCAGTTGTTCTCCAATGAGGGAGCCAACGATGGGGCCAAGGAACTGGAGACCCAATTGCTCGGCGTTCAGGTCAAACTTGGTCTGTAGCAACGCCGGAACTTCAACCGTGGTCATGACGTTACTCAAACAGAAGATCATGGCGTATGCAGCTGCTGGGATGGCAACACAAGGGTGCGTGAACATGCCCAGGGGTCTAATGAAGTCCCAAGGCGACAAAGGTGTGGGGTCGATCCGTCGCAGCTGAACATACTCTCGCACCCACGCGGGTTTACTGGTGTCATAATCACCCCCAACATACCGCGTTTCTGGGCCAAAGAAGAGGTAGAGGATAAATTGACCTCCGTTGATCTGATCGATCCGAAATTGAATCTGTCAGCCATCCGCCAATCGTCTCCGTGGGTTTTATGCGATCACTGAGGAACTTACTATGGCCAAGATCCAGTAGATCCATTGGTAACCTATCCGATACGTAACGAACCCGAAGATGAAGGGACCGCTCGGAATTCCCAGAGTAACCAACAGTGTCCAGATCCCCATGTACCGAGCGCGGTCCTTCTTGAATGTTGTCTCCATCACTACAGCACTTCCGATAGCTTCCGCGTCTATTAGCTTGTCTAATTTCTCTCATATCGGAGCAATGCTAGCGAAGCTTACCCGACGCTGGAGAGATGAAGAATGCTTGCAGGGCACGACAGACCGCAAGAGACGAATAACTTGTGCTTTCAGCACACCCTATATTGCAGATGAGACTGCAGATCAGGGATAGCAAGAAGACTGGGCGACGTCCCCATCGATTCGACAGGGGCTTCCAGATCAAAGGTGCCACGCCTAGGACTGCAATTTGGATGGATGTCATGTAACTGGCGTCATTGATAGAAACACCGTACTCGGTCGATATCCTGAACGTCTTTTAGTAACCCGGATGTCTTCGAATCATGGGAAACTCACGTCTCATATGCGGGAATGATGCCTGCAGCAGCAAAAGTTCCCATGCACGCGTGGAATGCAACTAGAAGAAGGTTGACAATTTTCTGCAGAATAACAACCCATCAGTCTCAATGGTTCACTGATAGTCAGATGCCAGTTAATCGCGGGATGTTGACCTTCCATGATGGCCAGTTATAGGGATCCGCGGGATCCATGCTAGGCATAGGGTCGAGCTCCAACGTGCCATGGCGTTCGAGCAGATAATCACGATGAGCTTTGGAGAGACGTGATGCTGCAATATCGGCATACGTTGAGGGAATTCCAGACTCGGTGCTCTCTACAAAATTGACATCCTCTTTGACAGGTGTTTGGGGGTCAACAGCCGTGCGAGACGGCTGCATCTCGTGTGACCCGGTCATCTCGATGGGAGACCCTATGTTTATGGTAAGGAAACGGGTGGACAGTTGATTTGGTGTTGAAGAGTATCGGTCCCTGGATTCTTGATAATCCTCTTAGGAGACTGAACAGTGGGTGACAGGTTATTGAAGAGAGTGAAAGAGCAATTTGCCGAGGCCTACAAGGAATGAGCCAGATTTTCACAGGGTTATGTGAACACTTTACAGTGCTCCTGTCAAAGGGAAGAAATTCAGGGCGAGGCTCCACGCAGTCTGGGGCTTCGACCTATCGCTGGGGTCAGCAAATCTCCTCCCCGGGGCAAACCCAACCGAATGACGAGTCCCGCTTACTACTGGGGCAAGTATTGGGGGATATGCGGAGGGGAACCCACAAAATGGCGAGTCGCAGTAACGGCAATGGGCGACTCGGTCTGTCGCCCTTGAAGTGCGGCATAGTTCATTGGCTGGACCGAAGAACTGAGTGTGCTATCAGGTCCAAAGCATAGCCGAGGACCCGAGTCCGGGTTTTCCGGAGAACCCCATCCTAACTTTGCAAGGCCTTTCTCCAGCAAGGGACCCATTAGGTCATACCGAGACGGGATAAGTTCTTTGGAGTGGATGCCGATTTGAGTGGGAAAGGTCATGGGCAAATGTGTTGATTTGCCTTCTGATCTCGGCTAATCCTTCTTCGGTTCGCCTTTCGTTTCCACTAAGAATAAGATACTCCGCATTTGTGATCCATTCAGCTTCGAACCAGAGGCAGGATCGGAGTCTGCATGACGATGATGGTGGTGATGATCATAGCAATGGTGGCAGACGATAAGTCGATCAAATTGACGCCGGTACGTATTTCTGGAAAGCAAGAGAAATTGTGGGGTGTGGTACCTGCGAGTTCGGCCGGAAGAGAACTCCACGCACCTATGCAGCGGCTGTTAGCATGAATGTAAGGGGCCAATGCAGTCTCGACCTTTTTTGATTTCCCATCAAGCTCGTCCAGGTCAGTCTAAGTGACCAGCTAGTAATTGAATTAGTAATGACGAAGAGTCATGAGGATGGACTTATCGCCACTTGGGAACTCGGGAAGAGATGGAGAAGCGAAGAGTGGAAAAAGTATGGAGAAGCCAATCTGGAGTCTGGAGTTAGCCGATTACTAGTTCGTACTATTCTTTTCCATCGGTAAGTGAGGACGGGATTGTTCTTGGGGCAGAGATCCCAAGGTCTGGTAGAATGGCGGCAATACCAAACGGTATCAAACCGGTACTGCACATACTATAATTCTCCACGTGCCTGGCTCAGTTGGGAAAGGTCAGTTTGCTTCAATGCTTGCTTCTCTCCCTCCCATTCTGCCCCACACTTTTTTCCTCTCCGCGGCCCCCAAACCAAACCACAAAAATAAACCTGTATTTGGATGCTATTCTTTCTCTCCACGATCGATTATCTCTATCCCTGTTCAAGGCCCCTCTGGTCTCACGTCATCAAACTATTGTTGTGAAGGCTGGCTCCTTCGACTGCCTTAGTTGATTGTTGCTGCCTACTCGATTGTGGGTGCAGATGTGATACAGCTTATCTTTAGTTACTGGACTGCGCTGCCTTGGCTACTACGGAGTACCAAGCAATCTCTTCCACCACCCCCCCTCATCCCCCCCCTTCCCTGGCCATTATGCCACAAACCACATCCACATCCACATCGTCGCCCACTGCCACTATACCCACGACCAAAGCCCTGGTATGTCGTGTTTGTGAGAAGGGCTTCTCCAAGGCTGAACATCTGAGGGTATTTCCTCCCCAGCATCTCGTATCTTAAATTCTTCTTGTAGTGGAATGATTATAGCTAATTCTAGTATGTAGAGGCACGAACGATGTCGTAAGCACCCCTGATTCAAACTGGATTGGCAGACAATGGGCGACAATATGCGTTCCTATGGACCATTGACCTGCCAATATGTTCGCTCGTTCATCACACGAGCAGCCTTGTCTTCTTGAGTGTGTGCTAAAGTCAGTTTACAAGATACGGGATCGAAGCCTTTTGTCTGCAAAGATTGCCGACGTCCTTTTGCACGCCAGGATGCTCTTACTCGACATGAAAAGCTGCACGTCCGTGCTGCAAATGCCAAGCGGGCTCAAGTACAACAATCCGCTGTGCATGTGCTACCGCAGGCGTCGCCTTTGGATGCTCTAGCTTGGGACACCCATCGAACCACCTCACCCGGGGTGGTGTCCTCGTCGACACCCAACAATGCTTGGGAGACATCGCAAGCGGAATCACAGCCCGGCCTACAGCATGCTGCCTCCGACCTCGACTTCACATTAATATGGCCCGATTCCGAGAATCTGTTTCAAAGCATCATGGCTTGTGAAACGACTGATCAGTGGCAGATGCCACTTGGTGCCCTGCCCTTTCCACCTGTTGTGCAGGATGTAAATGGGATGAACTTCGGTTCACCAAACTCCTTTGACGACAGAGGTTCATCTATAGGCGCTATCCCGTCAGGTGGTAGCCATCAGGCTGTACGAGATGTTACTGAAATGGTTACAAGCTCGGTGAGGATATCCGGGCCCCTTCATTCTTACTCGAAGCTGATTTTTTAAAACCATGACTGGTAGTCCTCGAGCGTGACTGCAGCCATCAAAGCGACTTCAATAACATCGGTCTTCCTGGACGAGTGCCTTCACATGTTCTTTGTGCGATTCATACCCACTTTTCCCATTCTGCACCGAGCAACATTTGTCTTCCGTGAATGCACACACCCCTTGCTACTCAACGCTATGGCACTTGGGTCCCTGTACTTAGGTCCCAAGGATTCCGTAGCAAAAGGAGAGGCGCTATGGCGCCTAGCCCATACGGCTATTGCTACTTCTGTAAGCCGTGCTTTTGCCATGACGAAGGAGAATTTGCTCATAAAGCTATAGTGGCAGTCCTTGATCACACATAGTGGTCCATATGATGCTTGCAAAGGGGTCCAGCTCTTACTTACAGCTCTTTTGGGACAAATATATGGTGCTCTATCTAAGGTACGTGGCCCAACTAGTTTTCTGAGTTATATATGATTGACTAGTTATTACTAGAATCGAGTGATCCGTACCACAAGCCAGGTCTTTCGCCCGCTCGGTTTCTTCTGGGCAAGACATTGCGGCATGCTAGACTGCGAGCCCTTCTCAATGGAGAGCGTGCCATTCCCCAGCGCACCAAATAGTGAGAAAGAAAATAGGTGGCGGACATGGGCAGCCAGGGAGATTCAACAGCGTGCATTGCTTGCCTACCACATTCTAGACGGACTGGTTGCGCAGATGTCTGGAGATGGCGCATCCACACGGCACGTTGCCAATCCACTCATTCTGCCCAGCAGCGAAGCTGCTTTCGATGCCAGTAATGTGGATGAGTGGATTGCTACCATGCGATCTCAAAGGTCGGAGCAGCCTTCATTCCGACTAGTCTTCCGCTCCCTTTTCCCTCCCATCGGCAGTTTCCGCCCACTAGATTATCAGTTCTCAGCCTTCGCCCTACGGGTCGTTTTAGAAGGGTTGCAGTCTCTGGTCTCAGATTCCGACGAAAGCGATCTGGCGGCTGTCGGTGTTCCTGGCCGCTCTGACGTTCGTAGGGCGCTAGCTCAGGTGCATGAAACCATCACCATGAGCATTCACCTTTCGGCTCCGGAACGACTCGAGGTCCTCCTTCGCTGGCACACGATTTGCCTGGACACGATGATCAACTCCACCATTCTTTGCAGACACGTATGCTCTCGCTACGACATCACACAGCATGTCTCCGGTGGCTCTCGGACCATGAGACCGGGATTCGATATGGTCAAATGGGTCAATACTGAAGATGCTCGTCGGGCATTGCTGCACGCGATTGCGATCCAGGATATCGTCGAGCAGTTGCCAAGGGGGCGTGCTCATGTTATTCACATGCCTAGCTCCCTGTTCTCTGCAACGACCATTTACGTTGTTTTCTCGCTCGCCGGGGTGACCAATATCCACCTTCCTCGTACTATTGTCTGGCAAGACGCTTTGCTCTCGAGGGCTGATCTGAACCTTGGATGTGACACCCTCCGCTCCTCGAGTGGGTCAGAGACTCGCCGTTTCGTCGAAGAGGGTCGAACCGATTCTCCTCCCGGAATGGGGGCGGTGCGCAATTTGCTGTATGAGATGAACTCACTACAGAAATTATTCCGCTGCTTGTTTTCTCAGTGGGGCGTCGCTCACGATATGGAGGAAATCATCGATCAATGGATTACTCTTTGCCATTGATTGTCTTTGCCTGTGTGTCCATGCCCTCGCGGGCGTCTACTTGGCGTTTGATTTCAGGAAATCCTCTGGGTCTTCAGCACAGTCAAACCAAACTCCCTTGTTTATCTTCAAGACTTCCAAGACGTCAAGGAGGACAACACTCAAGCAATTCATGCATACTGATGTATTCACGGCATTGATGTTCTTTCGCGGCCAAGAGCCTCTACTGGCACATTCCGTCCACCTGGCCCCTTTCTGGCCAAGCTGCCACGAAAGCCCGAGACAGCTTCTCACCAAAATATCGGACATTATGAAGAAGTTGCCAACAGTAAACTTCGAACATACCGCAGTGCAGCTTTTTCATGTGACACCCACCAACAGGCGTGTGGTGAGAATGTATCTGGGCTCATAATCGACGACCGCATGATCGATCCTATCCCTCATTAAGGGGCAAGCGAAAGGCGGGGAAGCAAAACGGAAATCCAACCTTAAGCAGACGTCTCGCGAAATGATGATGCTACGCTAGCATGTCCGCCCGGGGACAGTTGCTACTGTGTCGCCCGGTTGATCCTGGTCCCCACCTTTACAGCTTTCCCGCAGTAGAAGTGCAGCACTCCCGGGAATCTTATTTCCTGTTCTAATCACTGCTCAGCTGTGGCTTGATACTTGTTCAGACCAAGTATGATGGATTAGGTGTCGGATTGGTTGTCTAGCCATGAAGCGTGTAAGGTCAACATCAACGACCATCACTGGCTCTTCAGCGTGTTAGAAGGCCATCCCAGAGCAGCTGAGCAGCTCCTTTCTCATACGTAAGTCTTGTTGGCTTTACTGTTTGTTTGATCCATCTCGAAGGAGAAACTAAACTCTAGCTCTAGATACCCTACGACATTCGGCGAAAACTTCGAGGATGTAAAAAGATGTTCAGCGAAGGCGAAGGCCATGGCACACTAAATGGGATATTCTTCGAAGTTGGACCAAACGATCGAGTGAGAACCTCCTTCATGCCAACATTGCAACTCGAACTACAGACCCTCCAAAAAATCATGATACCTCTCATGGAGACACTACTAGCAAGTCGGATCGGGTGAAATTAAGTCCAAGTCCAATTACCTCATTCTGATCAGTCTATGGGATAGGTATGCATGCTATGCTATATATGCAACTGGAATCAAAAACAAACGATGCAAAAATTCGAACCATAATGAAAACATCGAGAATAATCGTAAACGACGCAATGCTCAAGCTGCAAGGAAATGGGTATCTCTAGGCAATTTGATGCTCATGAGAACAGATGAAAGGTAAATGCGATGGACGAACAATGCAAAAAGGGCAAAACAACGTCAAAGACACAGAGCCACCGATTTGAAATGCAAATTAAGAAAGGAGCAAAAAAAAAAAGCAGCGTGCTGAAGCGGTGAATCAAGCTAGGCCAAAGAGCAGGTATAGACGTAAAGAAACCTCATATCACTCAATCATCATGAAGGTATATATGTACGAATGTCGTATGTGTGTATCGATATGTCGATCGATTTAGTTCGTGTTCGTGGCTGCACGTTCTGCAGCAGATGCCTTGTCGATGCGCAACAAGGCCCGGGCAACCGACATGCCCACATCCTTGAAAAGATCATTAATAATCGACTCGCACGCTCCCGGAAACCCCGGCGGCTTGGTCTCCTGTCGTCCCATGCCCGGGGAGATTCGGTCGATAATCTTGCCGAAGGTGAACTCAATACATTCTTCGATCATCTTCATCTTGTGGCGGAACACGAGCAACGACTTGTCCACGGATCCACCAAGGGCCGGGTTCAAGGCGGCCGCATTGCCATCAGGGTAGGCGCGAAGACGTTGGGCGGGGCGGTCGCAGACGCCCTCGTCATCGGCATCCCGGTGTCTCTTGAGAGGATTGTGACCCAGAGAGGACTGGTGGAGAGCCATAGACGATGACCGCGGAGCCATTGCCTGCGAAGGGGAGCTGGTTCTTTCCTCCGCCAAACGCTGGGCAGTTGTTTGACCAAGGCGGTCCCCGACTCCTAAGAGCGACCGGTGCGTTTGCTGCGGGGTAGTATCTCGGCTGAGTGGGCGAGCGAAGGCGGCGAATACATCACTCCGCGTTCGCACTGGAGCGGCGGCGACCTTCGGTTCCTCGCCCCAGATGGCCATCTGCTCCATCTCCTCCGGGGGTGGGAGATTCCGGAGCCAGGTATATACCCGGTTCATGGTGACCACCATATCGTGTCCGGGAAGGGTGACCCGCGCCGCCGGCTGGGCCGTGGTAGTCTCCTTGTGCACCGGTGCAGCGACCGGAGCAACGGGCTTGGGCTTGGTCGGCACTTCCTCGGTCAGGCGGTTCTCAGTGTACTTGGCCCGGTCAATGTCGCTGATCCAATGGTTCAATAGGCCGAGAACTTCCTTGGGTATGTCGATGGTCGGGTGGGGGCGACCTTGTCGGAAGGATTCATAGTAAGCGGAGCGTTTGGCGACGTAGGTATAGATGCGACGACGACAAGATTGCCAGGAGTAGCGACGGCCGGTCCGCATCTCGAGGGTGTTGGCGATCTTAATCCAGAAACTCTTCGGGTAGGCGTGGGCATCGTAGTCATCCATGGAGGCGGCACATAGTTTGACGAGGCATACTTGCTCGGGAATGGTGAGTTGTTTGCCGCGACCAGGGTGGGTGGGTTCCATGGGCAGAATGGGTTTGTCAAGCGAGGTGGATTGGGAGAGCGACTGCGAGGGCGAATCTTTATTCATGATCAGGGCAGTAGCGGTGGCAGTAGCGGTGATAGTGGTGGTCGTGGTCGTGGTGGTGATAGGGAGAGTGATGGGGTCGGGCTTAATGGCGGCCGAGGACTGCGAGGGGTTGATGATAATCTGAGATTGCGGTGTGCTTCTTCCCCATAACGAGTGATCGGGCCGCACGGGGTTCAGGACCGCAGTTCCGGAATACTCCATTTCGGAGAAGTTGACTGGGAAAAGATTGATTTCTTCTCAAAGAGGCACGCAACACACAACACACACATACACACACGTTACGCACACAATATCCTTGGATAAGTGAGGTAGGGCAGAATGGCCCCTGATGGGAGGGGAAGGAAAGAAAAGGAGAAGAGGGAGGGAGGATGGACGGAGGATGAGAAAGGGAAAGGGAAAGGGAAAAAATAGAGGGAAGGATCAGGAGATTTCCAATTTGGCCGCCGCCGCTTGCCCCAAATGAAATTACATGAAATGGAAAAGGAATAAACGGAATAAACGGAATAGAATAATCAATGCCTGAAAGTAAAAGCAAAAGCAAAAGAAACCAAAGGCAGAGGCAAAAAGCAGCAAAAGCCGAGCGGCGAAAACCGCGCCGCGTCCGCGTCAGCCCACGTGATCGGCGGTCGGCGGGTTGATTTGGTCGTTTGGAGCTCAAGTTGGGTCGAAATCAACCGGTCTCTCCTCCATCTCATCCCCATACAGATGTTAATGAACTTACGGAGTTAAGGGAACCGGACAAACACTCAATCAGAAGGTAGCATCGCATCTTTTCTTATGATCGAGTGGTATTATGGACCTAACGGCCTGACCGGTTGTGTTCCGACGCCCCCTCCCCACCTCCAGAAAGCTTCATGCATAAAGAGCCGTGCTATTCCGAGTACAGTACTGTACATACAGTCCACACATCACACACCATATAACCTGTTTGGGATATCCCCATCTTCAAGGTTGCCTCGCATCGAAGCCAGCCCGTCTTTATCCACGAACCTCGGCTCGCTAATCCAAAAATCTCTTCTCCGAGATGATCTCCCGCATTTAGTCTTTGCAGCCCAGAACCTGAATCGACTCCCGATCTGCATTCCATGGATCGTGGTTGGGCAATGAATTACTCTTGCTCTTGCTGGCCACTTGTCCAGCCCACACGGCGGAGTTCCGGGAGCATTCAAAAACCGTCAATGCCTGGTCTGGCACTGGCACTTTCACTGCAGTCTTAGTGTCGTCATTCCAAATTCCATCCATGCTAGTCGCCCATGGCTGGTCCTCCGTCTTTCACGAAACCGACGAATCTCCTACAGGTTGTAGGCCTTCGACAGGGTGGTACAAATCCATGCAGAGTTGAAGACACAATGAGCTTTCCCCTCTTCTCCATATACCCCAGGCTGGTCGGGGTTCCTATATGAACCACGTTGAATCCAGAGTTCGGTTCCAGACAGCCCAGGCGTTCGGTTGCTCTTTCCTCTATACACGAACGAGTCCGCACGCCCTCCTGTCTCTGCAGCCGCAAAATCTTCCCCAGTAGCAACAACTTCGTACTTAATACCCTTGACACCGGCGATTAAACCTGCTCTCGTTGAAAACCAACATGCCACCGCAAACCAAACCTAGTTTGTTGGAGGTAGTGTCATCCGTAGCGCCTGTACCAGGGACGCGAGGTCAGTTCACCGTCACAATCACCCGAGATTGGTGCACTCAACAGTATGTCTGTCCGACTGCTGCTGCTGCGCGCGCGCGTTCGCGAGCGCCTCAACCTTCCCCACTGAGTTGAGTTGACCCGAGACAGTTCTGTTTTGGGAGGGTTCTCTGCGGCGGTTATGTTGTCCGCTGGTCGGAAATTTCTTGAACAGGACCTGGGCGATGGCCTTTATCCCGACCCGGTGCATGCGTTTGTACAGTTCCTCCGGGAAGTCCACCCTGGCGAGTGCACCATTACCTGTGCCATCTCACGGACCTCATCCCGACGGTGCGTCGTCACGGTTGAGTTGAAACGTGCTGCTGCTGCTGCTACTGTAAAGGACCAGAGAGAAACCCCAAACACAACAGCATCATCATCCCTTATAACCACCACCCTCGGCGTTTTCACTTATGCCGATATCTCCAAAGAGCAAGGCCTCACCCACGAGCCCCACCCCCCGTCAACAAAAGCAGCAGCAGCAGCAGCAGCAGCAATTAGATTATCGTTACCCAGCCGACAAACAGAATGCACCACCATCGACGACCCCGTTGTGGACGCCACCCCGGTAACCCGCAAGATGCACTGGGTTGCACCCCGCTCCGCCAACGGGCTCTGGGGCCACCGTCTCGGGGGACACAACCGCGAAGTCTGGCTCTCCTTCCGTGATGGGACCAAATTCTCCGACATTCTACATCTAGCATACCTCGCGGACCTGGTCAGTCTATTTCCCCCCGCCTCCCCTCTGTTGATCATCGTCCTTTCCAACCCCAACTCTTTCCCATACCTTGTCACCACAACCCCCCTACGTATAACATTTTCAAAACCCAATCTAAAGAAATCCACATCCTCCTAAAATATAGCCCCTCCATCCCGCAGCAACCCACACCCCCGACTTCTACGCCAAGCACGCCATCTCCACCCTGTGTCTGTCGATCGAGTTCAAGAGACGGCCCGATCCGTCCACGGAATGGGTTCTGACCCGCTCCACCTCGTATCAGATCGCGCGCGGTCGCTACGATGTGAGCCTGCAGGTCTATGATGAGTCCGGTGCCCTCCTTGCGTTGAGCCAGCATGTGGTTTTCGTCACGGATCTGAAGCCCGTGAGGGCCGGGGGAAGGTTGTAAGGGTGTGATGGCGGGGGCAGGGATGGGACAAGGGGGCCTCGAGGTGGTCGTCGGGTGCGTAAGTTGGAAGGTGGGTAAATATGGTCAGGTTGGTATTATCGTGAACTTCTGCTTCATCATGGTCTTTGAAGCATGAGTATGTTGCAAGGTATTGCAAATTCACTTGTCTTCTAGATTTATCAAAACGCAGCCGGCCATGGAAGCATGACCAATAACACCTGTCACTCTGAACTAGATGAGCAGCAGGAAGACAAACGACAAATGCAGGATTAGAGAGGTTGAAACTGATCACATTCTTACTACTGATCTTGACATGCCAACATTCCTGCTGCCATTCTTATGTTTCGATTTGAAACCTTCAAGGCCGATGATCATACTCCAGATTAGGCGGGTAGGGCTCAGGGCTCGGGGCTAGGGTTGGTTGCTGTTAGGATGTAAGTTAGTGCTAGATACGGAAGAGTATACCTGCATATCTTCTACATAAACCCACAAGTTTTGGCTTTCTCGAACCATGCATTAGCATGGGATGCATTCTTTGAATACATGAGCTGGGTGATGTCTGAGCTTTTTGGTGGTCAGCCCCGCGGTAGCATGTCCTGTTCTAGACCATGGCTCTGATGCATGGAGACAAGCCCGCCATATGATCTATCAACTTCACCCCCTCCCCTCCCCCCTCCACCCACCTGCATTGCCAGCTGTAAAAGCCGGCGCCGGCTCAGCCGCACACACAAAAACCTTTTTTCTCTCTCTCGCCACTTTGTTCACTACTGTACGGGTGTGCCTGATAGTTTGAACAACATTTTCAGAATGGAAATACAAAAGATGTAGGGAATCAACAGCGGGGATAATGATCTTGCCCAGGGAACAGAACGGAAGAACGTTGAAGCGTGAGAAACACAAATCAGATGCCCTACTAAATGACATCACCACCAAGATACGAACCAGACGGGACCGACTCCAACAGATGATCGAACGCATAAACATGCCCGTGTAGCCGCTGCTGGATGTCATCCATGGGATGGAGGCCGGAGTGATTCCGATCGATACTGGAGGACGACGCATGGCCTCGTGGCTCAAAGCCAGAGATGGTCGGCAGGTCAGGCACAAGCGTCTTCTGAGCGCTCTTGTCCGACCGGGCGTTACCGTGTCTGGTGGGTATGAGGGCAGAAGAGACGCCAGCACCACCACCGGCAGGCGGGTCCACGATCATCAGGTCGTTGGGCTCCTTGCCTGGGGTCATGAGCCCGTAGGGCACGGCCTCGCTGCTCTCGCGCTTGAACTTCAGATCCTTCTTGTCCTCCTCCTCGGTGCTATCCTCTACAAAGATCGCCTGCACGAGCGAGCCACCGTGCGTGCCGCTGGTGCCGCTACCGCTTTTCGCGGGCCTAGTCGGCGTCTTCTGCGAGATGGTACGGCCGTCTTTGCGGGCGCGGGACGACGATGGAACGGACTGGCTGGCTTTGGTCACGCCGTTGCGAGGCCCTCGAGGGGTTCGCGGGGTCATGATCCCAGACGAGCTGTTGCGGGCCCGCAGTTCGGTGAAGTTGATGCCTCGCAATTCCAGCTCGCCGCGCAGTTCGTCGGCCATTTTCCGCCATTTCCGGAAGCGGCCTTCGATCGAGTCGTAGCTTGCACCCTGACCGAAAGCTGTGGCCATGGCCTTGTAGTCAAGCTGTATCGAATCAGTTAGATCATGCCCTGGGGCTAGAGAGGTTGGAGGCGGGGCACTGCACTGTACCTTCAATCCGGGGTGAGCCACGATCAGTGATGCAAGGAGCCGATCTGTCGACTCCGGAGCTTTCCAGTTGACCATCCTGTCACGAGAAAGTGAAGAGCTCTAGCACAATGCTTGTGTTTCGAGTCCGAGAAAGCTTGGGTTGCAAACGCACTGGGCTGCCAGGTACAACAAGACCAAAGAGCAGAGGAAGGAATTTGCAACAGCAGATGAAGAGAGAGCCCCAATCCTGTATTTATTCACAGTGCAGGACCAAGAATCCAGACGCCCGGCAGCCAGATCACAAAAGACGCTAACAGATTCCTCCAGCAACCAAAACGGAGCCATCAAAAGTCCCTCGAAATTGTGGTGAGAATCCTACTGTGACCGAGGGATAGGATAGGTAGAGAACCCTGTCCACTGGCGTTTTCTGTTTGTCGGGGACAGGCGGACAAGACAGGGATTGTACGATGCTGTGTCGCAGCGTAAGACTTCCACAAATTCGACGTGTAGAAATGAGATGGCTGAGAAAGGAGAATGATAGGCATACAGGATCTGGAACGGAGCAATGGCGTAGTGTACCTTTGTTCGAATCGGATGTATACAAAACGATCAGTCACCTCCAGAGATGCAGAATCCCGGTCGGAGGAAAAGTTCCAACAGCGGCTGCAGGCAAGTGGATTCCTGCAGCACAGGAACAAATCGAAGCAGTAACACGTCCCCGAGTCCTGTAAGTTATCAAGGAATCAAGAGTAACTTCAAGGAGAACGTTTGCAGATCGTGATGCAAACAGTGGGGGGTGGGAAGTTGTTGAGGGCAGCCTGAGAGTTGTAAGTGTGACCTTGGCGGCTTACACAATAAGACAGGTCCTGGCCACTGTTACCTGCGACGCTGGGTAAATTCACTTGAGCCTAGAGGTGAAAGTCCCTAGAGTGACTAGACCAAGCACTGACTATATACTCTTATCTTCTTCTGTTAAAATTGTCAGAACTCAACTCTCTTCTTCCCTACCTCCTCTTTCACTTTTCACTCTTCCAGATTCTGATCTATCATCGATTTCACTGAAGTGTCTATCCAGTGAGATTCTATACTGTACTGAACCGGGTACCATTTACTACAGTCCTCTTTCCATACTACCTCTCACCCACATCCACACATACACCAAGATGCGCTGGACTCCCGAAGCCGATCAGCTTGTATGACCTCTCCACTCTTTGTCTCTCTCCAATTCCATTTCCCCAGGCAACTAACATCAACACAGCTTCTGCTGAAGATCGTCGAGACGCACAATCTGTCCGTGAACTACAAGAAGGTCGCAGAAGCATGGCGTAGGTCCTCTCCCTCGGCCAGCCTCTCATCGTCCTCAGCCTCCTGAGAATCTACTCTGCTAATCCATGAGCTCTTCCTCATTTCCAGCCGTTGCCGAGGGAGAAATCCCCCCCACGCCACGAGCCATCAGCGAGAGGCTCATCAAAATCCGTAACATGGCAGGAACAACCGCCAGCACCAGCAAAGGAAACAATCAAGACGACAACAACAACAACAACCCCATCACCCCGAACGCCACCCCACGCAAACCTCGAAAGAGCATCGCACCCTCTACACCCAGCTCCACCAAGCGCAAGAGAGGAGATACTACCGTCAAAGCCGAGTCCATGCCAGCCAATTCCCCAATCAAGAGTGAAATGGGAACCGGACCCTCTCCCATCAAGATCGAGGCCCAGAGTAATCACTTCGGCATCGACACTCATGTGATAGAGACCACCCCAACGAGGAAGACCCCCCTCGCTCATGCAGCGGCGGGGGCGGCGAATCAGCTGGTATTTGCCGGCCATACGCTGTACCAGACGCATGGAACCGCGGCTGCTATCCAGGTCGAGCCGAATACCCCGTCCAAGAGAGTGCGTAAACCGGCTGCCCCGGCCCCCGGGATGGTCAACTGGACGACGCACCATCGCTTTGGCAGGGACGAGCAGGATGTGGATGTCGACAGCTCGGCCTCGGAGTACTACCCGGAGAATGAGATGGTTGCTGCGCCTCGCGGGGCGATGATGAATTTTATCTAGATGGTTGTCTTGGGGGTGGGTTGCGCTTTGTTTATTCTCCTTCTCGCGTTGAGCTCAGATTGTTCACAGTCATGTGTATGTACTTTACGGTGGTTTCGATTCAGTTTTTGGAATTGCTTCGCACTGGGAATTGGTACTGTCTTTCCTAGCAATGATGCCGGTTTTCACAAGAATGAGATACAAGAACCGCGATTACAGCTGGATCATAATCTTCCGCCGCTGCTTAATGTAGAACCAAACACCCCAACGTAGAACTGCGAGGAAGTCCATCTCATCTCCCGACATTCCAAAGCACAACCCAGCTTCGCCATCCTCATGATAAAGTTGCAGCCCAAGAGCCAGACAAACAGCATCACAAGACTCGGACCCGGAGCGCTATGAAAGCAACTCACACTCTTTCCATGAGGTAAGCATCTTCGATACTCTGATAGACGGGCTGAGATCCATCATCAGCACCCTCAGCCTTCGAACGCGGATCGTCTTCTTCCATCTGCTTAGACTTGGCCTGTTTAGCGCCGCCTCTCTTCTTCGGAGTCGCCGGAGCCTCAGGATCAGCGCCACCCTCCTCCTTGATCTTGCGAGGTCTTCCTCTCTTCCTCGGCACAGAAGCGGGGGTGCCCTGAGCGGAGGCAGGGCCCACGGCACCGGCGCCATCCCGGGTAGGAGTCGAGGGAAGGGCGGGATGGCCGTCGGCGGTGGTGGGTTCCAGGCAGGCGCGTTCTTTGAGACGTTGGATCCGGCGTTGGGCTGCGATGGGTGTACACTCTGGATTGCATCAGCTCAGATGTTAAGCGGAAGGCTCGGGGTAGAAGTGATGGTTGGGAAGGGCATTCGAGGGCAGGCGAGTTTTTGAAACATACCTGGACCCAGATACTGGGCGATGCGGTCGTAGTCGGGTTTCACGTTTGCAGTTTTTAGGATGGCTAGAAGAAGCTTTGTTGTCGGGTTGTTAGTTGGGTGGCTGCGAGAGGGAAAGACCAAAAGAGAGAGAAAGAGAGAGGAAGCACGCACCTTGGCATCTGCCGTGTTGTTCCAGGTCATGGGCATCTTTTGCAGTGAGGTTTGGGTCTTGTTTTGATAGACTGTGGTGTGGCTCGGAGTAAGTTAGGTCGATGTGATATCCGTGGATAAGTGGGAGGGTTGGATGTGTGTGGTCGGGGAAAGAGGGAGAGAGAAAATATGTGGAGGAGATAAAGAGTGGGAGAAATAATAAAAAAAGAGCAGATAAAGGAGATCAAAACAGGATGTAAAATAGGAAAGAATCTAGGCCGGAGTGTTATTCACTTGGAGGCCGAGTACCAGTAGATGTTACTGCCTGGCAATCAGTACACTAATAGTAATACTCTGCAGAGACTTGATTAGTGAATCCCATGCCGCGAGAGCGATTTGCTGATGGTCTGACCCTCAATATGATCTTTGATTAAGTGAAAACATAGAAAGAGACGCTACAGCTTACTCTTAGGCATAGAAGCAGCTGTCCATTCCGATGCTTTTGAGACCTTGCTCTACCAGATGATGTATGCACTGCACAGACAAGACGAAACAGATGAGTATCGAGGCCAATCAGCTAGCTACCATTGGATATACTTTTGGAGCAATATTTCTATATGAGAGATTCTGTCAATGACGGACGCTTTTTAGAAGGCGTACTATTCCCATAGTGAATTGCCCGTCCTTCTGGAACTGCAAGCTCAACAGTGTCCCAATGTCCCTGGTACTTTCACGTGCCTGAGACCAGCAACTGTACAAATATTCAACGCCGTCTAGGTACGCTTCGGAGTCGATTCATGAGATTTTGGCAATTACTATTTTGGAACTTACGGTATATTCCACATACATTGAATGTCTGTGCTAGATGGTGTGTGGAGGCTTCTGACCATAAACTGCGACACTAAGATACGCCAGGGAGATAAGTAAGCATTAGCCTGCCGGAAAGGGTCGCTCAGGACTTACACTTCAAAGTACGCATGAACATTTGGATCCCGCAGACCTTTGCGCATTTGCGCCAAGAAAACCTGTACTTCTGCGAAGGTCCACTAAGAGATTGTGAGATGCCGTCAGCGTCTATCGTTCCAAATGCTTTCCAGCACGCAACTAGCCCCAGCTCATCTCGAGGGCTCGAATTGGGATAAAAATCAATACGCATCGAGATCTCGTCACTTACCTTCATTACTCGCGTAAGCAACGCCATAGCCCAGCCCTCAATGCCATGCTCGCAATGAACTAGATTCCACATCCCGAGACTCTTCATCCTTTTGTCTCTGCTCCACGGACCCACCGGCAACTTGTACTGGTGCTCAACAACATTCTGAAAGCCTGCCTCTCGCATATAGCCAGCAGCTAGCTCAGCAATACGGAAAGTTTTCCCTAGTTTCTCGCCTGCCTCAAGGAACGTCTTCGACCAGACCGCCAGCACATGATCTTCTGATAATGTCTCGTCCTCTGATCGGAATTGTATGGACATCTCTAGCTGGTCGAACCATCCTCCAGGACGTAAATGTCTGCGACAATGTTGAACGATTATCAGATATGGCGACAGAACGCATAAGAAAACGAAAGACTTACCTGAGGGCTTTGCGGTAGAATTGCGGCCAGTCCGCAATTGCTCCGTACAAGGTACGGGTGTGAATCAAATCGAAGTAGTTCGCAGGATAGATCCAGTCCTCAGATGCATCATCAATCACGAATTGCAGGTTGGGGGGGATGAAGCTTGGCTGAATAGGTGACAAATCCGTACCGATGACTTCGGCAGAGGGATGTTCATCCGCAAAATCACTAATCACAGTACTGGTCAGAATGCATCATCTCACCCAGGCTGCCTCGACACGTACATGGCCCAAATCCCAGTACCCGTGCCAATGTCAAGTGCTCTCTGGGTACATTGTGAGCATAGTACGGGTCGTCTGATAAGGGTAATGTCTTTGAGACTAGCTCAATATACCTGAATGCTATTCCCTGTGGGTGCTAAATGTAACTTGCCATCCAACAATAATGTAAACATATGGTGACTGTTGCATGGTGTCAGCGCCGATTAGCGAATTCTCTACTACACCACTCACGCAATATCTAGCTGTGTATTTTGTTTATCATCATTTGGTGCCCTGGCAAGAGATCAGGTTTTTACAATTAGTCATTAGGATGATATTGGCCGTTGTGCTCACCAGTAAGCTCCGTCCTTGTAGGCATGATATCGCCGTCCATTTTCATAGCGATACGATGTTATCTCGGAGTCTAACGATGTAGTATCACTCGCTCTGTGGCATTTTGTGCTCGTCAGTCGTGTACGTTAAGCATATCCAACTCGAGAGCTACTTACAGCTCCTCCGCATAGTCTGAAAAGTCGTCCTCAAGCCCCTGTAATGAGCTGGAATAAGCGAATGACTCACGATCACAGAAGAGGATGAGGTGCTAGGCGGGTAAGTGCTAGCACCCTTGAGCACTCACTGAATCCAAGATCGCTTCGTCGTCATGACTCTCTCCGGGGAAGGCGGGTTGGGAAATGGCACTCGGGACGGTCAACGGAAGCGTGCTAGTCTGTTGTGTGAAGTCTGCGGCAGGATGTACCTCGTGCATAGAGAGAGGCCATGCCATGGTGAAGCTTGAAAGAGGGGGCGGTAGTAGTGGAGCAAGAAGGATCGGTGCACCGATAGACAAGTCCAGAGTCTACGCTCTGAATTCGACGAGCACTGATCACCTGGTGAACTCGGGGTCGGCGCCTCCCCTGTGGCGCTTGGTCCGTGATTTTAAGTTAAAAACCCCCATCCCTTAGTGGATTGGCGGTAGGGATGATGCACCTAGATACCTCTAGCCTTTAAAGATCACAGAAGACATCCGCCTCGATAAGGCACATGCGATTGGCCCCATACCATAAACAAGAAGTGGGTATCCCGCGCGTCCCCGGCACGACATGTGGGTTTCCCCACCGGCATTTGGACAGGATTAAGTGTTGAACCAGATGCGAATGGACTCGACCTGCTCCTAGCAGACAATGTTCTTGAGAAACTAGTGGACCGGAGTGAAGATCATTGGGTAGGCGTGGATGCAAGGCGTTTGCCGGTGTGGGGTGTCTTTTGTTCGTTTCCTTGACCGGGGCGGGTGCTCCGAAGGAGTACAGGCACAGTCCACGGTAAGGTAAGGTACTTTTGCCCGGCTGCCTTTCTTAGCCCGCCGGCCTGACTTGCGTTTTGATTCGCCGCGGAAAACAAATCCTGAGTTCTCCGCCGGTAGTCAGGGCAATCATATTCCAATCGTGGGACCTAATGCATCATATCTATCACCTACAGGTAGATCTATAAGGTGCTACAGCGCTTCATTCCTATTAAGCAACCGAACTACGTTGATCCATGGACCATTGCGGTGTTGCTGACCGCGAACTCGGGCAACGAGGCGGCGGAAACAGCACAATACGGATTATCTTTCACTTGCGCATTGGGAAGCATTGTTGTATTATTGAATATATACCAGCGCTTCGTGCTCAGTCGCTACACCTTCACCTTTCCTCAAGCGTCGCCCTTCACAAATCTCAACGCGCGTGGGTTCCCCCAGGTATCGCACGGCAGAAATCGCCAGGATCCAGAATGCTTGCCAGAGAAGAAGTAGTAAACAAACCATGCCGACAGCGGTGGCATAGTCGGCCACTGATTGCCTCCTTCAAAGGTGATGTCACGAAGTCCCAGCACCATTGGAGGGACCACATGCTGCAATCGAGTGTGTCAGAAATCCGGTGGAATGAGTAAGGGGCGGAAAGCACAATGAAAGTACTGTACCTTATCCTGCTTGCCTGCCTCGGCCTCGCATTCCTTGTAGACTTTCAGCAATGCGTCCCCGTCATACGGTTCCATAGAAAGTAAACTCGAAATTTCGTCGCTCAGATGCTGGCGAAAACTGGGTGCCATCTTTTCAATCAGCTGCCGGACCACAGACGCCTGGTATTCTGCCGGCTGGGTCTGGCTGCTGTACTCCAAGAGCCTCTTCAATAAAGGCTGGAAGGAGTGATGTTGCTCCACGTTGGTTTCAAGGAAATTGGGAATCCCGACGACTCTTTCGAATCCCGGGAACATCTTCTCCTCTTCTAGGACGTGATGATGCGATACCCAGCCTGCCCACGCGTGGATGAAGAAGAGAAAGTCGGAGACGTCCTGGGGCTCTTGGACAGAGAATGTCTGGAGATAGATGCTATTTAAACCCCTCAGCATGCTGTTATGGGCAAATGCCATTTCGTTCGCGATATAGACGGCGGGGTGTTCTGCCTGCAGGTATTCATCAGCATGAGACAGGTAGCTTTGAAGGAAGGAAAAAGGAACTCACGACATTCCGGGTCTTGGAAGGTGTCTCGATTAAGGGCCAGGGCCCGTCAGCCCAAGGACGAGCTGGCTCAGAGATATTGACCATGGTGCGATCGACAAGATGTCAGTAGTAGGTGGCATGCTGGCTTGATCGAGCTCGACAGGCAGCCATACTTATATACACAGATTGTATAACGGTGATTAGGCTGAATGCCGAGCAGAAAAACTGCCCTCCTAGAGCTGGACATGCTTCAAATTCCTAAAAAAAAAACCGCGTCGAACAGTGCCGTGGTCCGTGATCACAAGAGGCGCAAGCGGTCAAGCGAGCAGTGGGCGAGCAAATATAATTCGGAGCCATGCATTGGATGGCTCATTTATCGTAAGCTTTGACTAGAGTACGGCAACAAAACACTCCGCTAATCACCGACCGTAAGCTATTCGATAGCACAAGTGTTCTTTGTCCAGCCAACCCTAGCGTGGTCGAGTAATTGCTGGGGGAGTAAGCGCTACGGCACACTACGTGCGTTTTAGATCTGTTGGCCCTTGCCAGTCACCATGCCGGCGTGCTTATATCTACGCGGTTCAAGACAAGCTCTCACCAGTTCAGATAGAGAACTGCGTGAGTGCGAGTATTCTGAGATTTGCGTTTAGGGGCAATAAGCAAGCCTAGGCAATTGGCTTGCCCAATGACGCCTAAATTGAGCCTCTCCAGCGCAGCTGTCTGGGGCAACTAGCACTTGAATCATGAGCTATGCCTGGCTCGCAAGGCCCCGATCACCTGTCGCTGAGTACACGCGAGAAAGTCTGCCCACCAATGGTTCGGCAATATCTGGCGTCAATATCGATGTTTTGGGTGCTTTCTCAAAACCAGGGTATGGCTAGGATTCACGACGAGGCATGCGATTCGCGTGGAGCCGAGAATAGTGTATGAGATTCATGCATTTGCGCGAAGTACGGGCGCTGACCACCTTATCATAACAGGCATTATTCATGTCACTCATGTCACTGGACGATGTCGCAGCGGCTCTGTCAAGCAATAAGCCAGGATCTCAAGGGGAAGCGAATTGCTTCGACTCTGGCAACGTCTTGTGCTCCAACAGTAAGGAACACGACTAGATTATGAGTTATTGCTCAAGGTTGATGGCCAGTTATGACGGATATTCGCCCCATTCTGACATGGACACCCTGGTGAAACGGTGCTCGTCGGAAGACAGCCGCTGTATGCGCCCATGGGAAGAGGCAGGTATGTTCGCCAATGAACGGAAAATCGAGGACTGGGACAGCTCCTAATGCGAGTCTCCCTTATAAGCACGACGAGCAAGCTCTTCGCCCACGAGAAAGTGAGCCCATTGTTGACGAGAATGTGTAGACAACCAAAGGCATTAGATGAGAAAAAGGGGAGGAATTCACCGCCTTGCCTTGTCAGTGTCAGCCTGTCAGGAGAAGATCCAGCGAGGGGAAAGAGGGAAACTCCCCGCTTTTCCCCTCCCCACCTTGACATGGGCTCATATCGCTTGTACGAGTCTCCTTCCTCCTTACTTTCCCACTCACCTGACTTCAGATGGGAGCACCAGCCACCAACTACGTGCCCCGTGAGACTGGCATTATTTCAACCGTTGACACCCGTCAGCGGCTCCCGAATCTCTCCTATGCCAAGCACTCAGCCCTGCAAGGCGACGGAAGGGAAAGCAAAAATAACACTCCGTCCTACTGACAGCAAACAAAACCAAATCAACCACCACCCACCCTTTATTTATTACAGGAGGAACGGAAACTCAGCCACCTGACGGGGGGGGCAGCCTTGCGCCACTTTTTCCCAGACCACAGCTCCGTCGTAAAGACATCTCGTCATTCTTGGCACAGCCCTTCAAACCAATATCATTGCAATCACTTGTGGGGATTGTGGCTGTTCCGGAATCAAGGAACCTCACTATCGACGGAGTCAGACAGGAGCCGGACCAGGGTCTGGCCATACAAAATGAATCAATGATTCTCAATCGCTTTACCAAGACTTCTGCCTAAACAGCGAATACCTCCCAATCAATCACCTCGATCCCCTCCCCTCGAGACCGGCAGACAGAACAGAGAGCAACAACGTCACGTCTCACCTGCCCTTTGCTTCAGCCCGCGCAGGCGCCGGAGGGGGGCCAGAGGATGGGATACCTTTCAGGGTCCACTACTGCTGAATTGGCCGCCAAGAGGGACTAGGTGCGCGAGTGGGGAGGATTGTCTACGGTGAAACAAAACAATAGTGATAGGTGGCCGATACATGAATACGTACCCATTTCTCTTTCTAAGACATGATACTATTCTATTGTTATGGGGAGAAGGCCCGCTTCAGGCAGAGAAAGCATAGCAGAAAGACAATGATGCAATCATTGAAAGGCACACGCGCTTGTTTTGTTTGTTTGTTGTTTTTCGTAAGTGGCTTGATGATCGAATACAGCTTGCTTATGGTTGCATTGCAGCTTCTGATACATGTAGTGTATGCGCATACATACATACATCCCACCACACACTGAGACGAGAGGAGGGGCCCCCACGGAAGATCCAACAGAGCTTCTAGACTAGCCCGATGTCCACTCAATCGCGCGATTAAGCTAACTAATGAGACCCAGCCTAGTGTTGCAGTAACGCTCTTGGAAGAGGGAGGGGGAGAAATGGAGGGGAGGGCAAGTAGATCAGCCCCTTTCACAATCCTCATGGCAGAAAAGGTATAAGAAGGGTCTCCTCTTCCCCGTCCGCCAGTACACATTATTCTCAAACCATCGACACAAACACTCATCTTCCAAATCCAACCTCCAACCTGACAGTTTCTTCCCCTTTCTCCTTCATCACAAACCCCTTCACTTCAGTGCCACCATGAGCTTCCACTTAAGCGCCTCGGACGTCCACATTGACGACAACCATATCTTGGTTGCGGTCCTCAGAGACGAGGAGGGTGAGGAGCACGAATCCAGACTGGACCTGGATGAGTTTCTGGGAAACGACGAGGGTATGTCCATGACAGGCTCAATGCAGTATGGCGAATGATTCTGACTTCTGTGCCTATCTACCAGGCCGCTTTGACTGGGGTGGAAGCAGCTTCTCCGGCAGTGCTCGCGATGTGACCTTCTCCATTGAGGGCGGTGGTGAGGTCCCCGTGCTGCGCGCGGAGCTTGCCAACTCGGAGGGCGAGTACTTCCCCGCCGACGTCAACCTGTCCGAGCACATCGAGAACGACAACGGCAAGTTAGTTTACCAGTAGGCGAGTAAATGCTTGCCTGGGATGTTGGCTTGAGAGAATCATATCCACAGGGGGCACCTATATGGGTCGAAGTCAGAGGTTAGCTGGGCTAGAAATTTGGCATTGCTGCTCATCTCTCTACTGGGTAGTTTGAGATACCGTGTGGACCATTTTGTATTATTCCAGTCTGAATCTATACCAGTGATATTCGAGCGAGTACCACCAGTAGGCAGCTGAATTTCCGAAGAGATGGAAGATAATTAAGGCAACACGTCAAGTATTGGAACGCAATTAGTATACCCGGTCGAACTCAATTCCCGACGACTGCCGTTCAGAAACCCTCCCGAAAAAAATGAAGCCAGACGCCCTGGACTCGTACTCCTACCTGCCACCCATGTATAATATACCCTCTAAGATAAAAACTCATGCAGCAATGCAAATATGACTTGAACGTGAGCCAGTGCGAGCGTTGCAGTCGTGAAAAATGGATAAGACGAAAGACGAGTCGGGGCACAATCGCAAAAATTAACTTAAGTAAAGCACGGAGCAATTTGTAAGGAGATTGGAAGGTTGAGCATAATTTTCATCTACCATGCATGTCTGCCATCGTCAACGTCGAGGTCGTTGCCGTTCCAATCTTCGTCTCCGCTTAATTCGTCGTCGAGGAAGTCTTCTTCGTTGAACTGAGTCTCTGTCGGACGTTGATTGTCTATTCGAATCATGACGACATCACACAAGCCTTGAGTGGCGAGTGGTTCATCGTCGTCTTCAAAAGATCTTCGCCTCTTCCCTGTGACAATAGCTTCATCGTCAGAGTATCTTTTTTGAGCAATGCGCGCACTTTTCCGTTTGTTCGGTGTCATAGTGCCGCTGTGTTGAGTATCGGAATGATTGCTGGCGCCTTCATTGATCCTGGCTACTGCAGATTCGGAGGCATTGAGCAGTAGCGAAGTGCGAGGAATAGAACGAAGGTCAGGATTGGGCGGAGGACTTCGTCGCTGGAAAACTCTTTGCAGCTTGCCCTTCCATTTCTCGCGAAAAGTTGCTCGATCTCGCCACCCTATTTTCAGAATTGCGCTTATCACCAAGCGCCTCAAATTCTCTAAGCTAGGAGCGGCATTGAGAAGTGAGCTGAAAAAGACTTCTGCTGTTCTGTCATCCCAATTTCGCAACTGGAGGAGCTCGATCTCCCGAAGTGTTGATGGCCAGGTCGGGACCTCAGACTGTGAAAGTAGTTCCCGAAAATGAGGCTCAACGTCGTGGTAACTGGACCAATCATGCATGGATATATCCATCTTGAAGACTTCCAGTTGCTCACATGATACGGCCAAGTTGACAATGAAAGACATACTCAAATGACGGTTATGGCTTAGATTCAACTCTCGAAGATGGCGGCCATGCGTCGAAAGAAATGAACTAAAGTTAGTGGTCGTAATCTCATCACAGTTGTTTATTGTGAGAGAGGTGAGGGTTGTCGGAAGATTGGGCAAAAGGTGATCATTCACAATTGAGCATTCTATAAACTCTAAGCGCCGTAAATTGGGAAGGTCAGCAAGGGCTGCGGCCAAAAGTATCTCTTTTTCGGTGGAACTCTCTGGCAATTGTTTGTTGTATGGATCATCACACATAACGTGTAGAATTCTCAGATCCTGCATCATATGGAATGCGGGTTGAATGTGCATCTGTGACATCAGTTCGAGAAGCTTTTGAGTCTCCATGAAACGGCTGTTCCAGTCCCAGCTACGAAGGCGGATAGGGCTTGACGAAATCGCATGGAAAAGACTGTCCGGGTAAGTCCATTTTGAGCGCTGAATAAGCCACGGGGGAAGGCCGACAACGTAATCATGACTATGGTAGAGTCGTAGTGTTTTGACTTGAGGAGTCTTCTCCAGCAACTTGGGCAGCTCAAAATAACCCAGGGTCGACCCGCTCTTGTAGAACAGAAGGGCTTCCACATCAACATGCAGCTGTTTGATTTTATTGATATAGTTTGTAGAAAGTTGATCTTGAGGTTTGGCTAGCAAGTGTAGCAAACCGTGAGACTTAGCGGCCGGTATTAATGGAGGGCAATGGTAGAGAGCGGCCAAGGCAGGCTCATGGAAAGAACGGCATAGTAAAGCGACTTTGACAAGCCACTGCACGGAGCTCTTTCTGCTGGTAGTCCTTTCGTCAATCAGAGGGTATGATGCACGAACAAATATATCGAGGAGTATGTGATAGGGAAGCGTCTGCCACGGCGGTATAACGCCCGAACCAACATATGGAGCAGCATCCACTTCGAGCTTTCGACGCTTGTTAAGCGGACGTCCAACTTCCATCCGCCTCTTCTTGACAGGCCGCTTTGCCTTCGTTGTTTGTGATCTTGTTCTTACGGTTCGTGTGCGGGTAGGCTTAGATGGTCTGGCGTGGTTGCTTCCCTCCGCGAGAGTGAGAGGTGCGTGTGCGGGTGCTTCACTGCGAGTCATGGTATCCGTGCCTTCGTCGCTGAAGTCGTCAAGCTCATCGTCGGTGGTTTCCTCGCGATAGGAGGCCGGCATACGGTTAGAGTCTCGGGGGCGCAGAGAAAGCGACAACCGTTCAGCGCGTTCACGATCCGATTCGGTATCCTCATCGAGCCGATCGTCGGAACTGCTGTCTTCGTGGTAGGACTGTACTTGAGTTCGACTAGATCGGACAGGTCGAGATTGTCTGGAGGGGCGCTGACGAGGAGGGGTGCGAAGCGTGGGGGCCATTCTGGGGCGAGGTTATGACGCTGTCACTGTAATGTAGGGAAGTAAGGTAGAGTAGATAGTGGCGCATCTAGACTGAGACTGGAGAGGCGAGCACCAGATCACCGAAGGACATCGATAAGCTGGTCATCCCAGATGGACCGCCAGTAGTTGGAGAATGAAATGCCGAGGAAAGTTAGTGGTAAGAAGGAAGGCACCAGGTAGCTGGCAAAGTTGGATGAGGTCGATGGATGATGTCGCCTGCCTCCAGAAGTTCCAGTTCCAGTTCCAGTTTGGATCGAGGCTTCCCTGAACGGGACCGAAGGGGGTTTATCGATAAGACTGGAGTATGGGTAGACTGACTAGTCAAGTAACTAGCAGTGACGAGTGAGCGATTGGCGGAAAAGGCGTAGTGCCGGGAAGTGATGGCAGAATGAGGGTCGGAATGACTAATGATTATCAGAGGGGGTCGATCAGTAGATTCTTGTGGCCTGATTGCTCAGGCGAGCGGCGGCTAAACTGTTAAGGGGTGCATGTGACAGGGTGTGACTGCGTGACAGGCAATTGAATTGCACAGTGCAAGTGAATGAATGCAATTGAATGCGAATGGCGGCAGCCCGTCCAAAGGCACAGGCCCAGGCAGGCCCAGGCATCAATTTCCCCCGCCCTGAGGCCACGACGCTAAGCCTGGAGAGGGATCGAGGGGAGCCCCGAAATAGAAACAGTCAGCTCCTCTCGAGTTCCTAATCTATCATCGGCCTTCTTTAAAGCGCCGCCGTCGTCCAGCCACCCTCTCCTCTTTTTCCCTCTTTCCTCTCTCTTTCCTCTCTCTCTTTTTCGTCGAGCGCTTGCGCAACAATGTTGTTTGATCTTTACCTTCGCTGTTGCGATGATCCTGCATTGATTGCTCCAATGCCGTGTCACTAATCTCCATTGCTTGTTAAGTTTGTATATACTTATACACGTACAGCTGCTGTACGTTATCAACAATACCACTCACTGCACCTCACTCCACCAACCAACTAGGTACTTCCTCCGATTTGAACGACCCTATCACGAGGATCCGAATCCCTCCAATCGCGCACTGCAATTATTGGGCTGGCCCCCGAAATACCCGTGCTTTACAACCACCGTCTAATAGGACTTGACTTTATATTTTGGCCCGTTCCAGCCCCGGCCTCAATCTGAGACCTCCCGCTTCATTACTACCTATACCTATGCATTTTATCTTGTCTTGTCAGTTCCATCGCTTTTTCTCATTGATTTCCAAAAAGTCAGCAGCGGTAATTCGGTCTAGACCGTTTACCCGCGCCCTTTCAAGATGGAAGCTTCGTTTCCAAATGTAATGAACCAGCCGGTTCAGCCAGTTCATCCGGTCCAGCCAGACCGGGCGGAATTAGGGCCTCCGCCGATGATTATCCAGCAGTACGCCAGGTATCCTGCCCCGGAGCCTGGCTTACATAGCGCATCCTCGATAGGTAGTGCTCGCAGTCAGATTGCCACCTCCAAATCGCCCCCTCTTCACCGCAAAGCTACCCCGCGCAGCTTACAGGCATCGCCAACCGCTCCACGCCCTGGCGTGCCCCCAGCACTAGCACCGGCACAGGTACTCACTCCAGCACCAGCACCTGCACCATTGCCAGTACCAGTGCGCCAAGCACCCTCATTGTCTCCTCCCGACTATGACTCTTTGCGCCAGAGATCTACTCGAGAACAGATGGAACCGCCGGAGACCCGATCCCTTCCGTCTCGCGACATCACGGATGCGAACATCGACGATGCATACATTATGTTTATATTCTACTGTAACCCGAATGTCCCTTTGTCGATGGATACTTCGGAATTACGAAAGACCTTCAGATGTCCTCCACGAAGTGATGGAAAGAGCTTCAGTATATTTGCGCTTTACGAACTGATCAAGAAGCTCGATTGCAAAGAGTTAAAGACTTGGATTCAGCTGGCTATCGAGCTGGGGGTAGAGCCGCCTTGCATGGAAAAGAAACAAAGCACGCAGAAAGTTCAGCAATACGCAGTGCGACTGAAGGTCCGTTTGTTCATTTTATCTCTGACGTCTTGTACCATACCAAGAATGAGTTCGAGCGCTAACTTCCGACAGCGCTGGATGCGTGCAATGCATGTCGATGCCTTCTTCGAATACTGTCTAGGACACCCTCATCCTTATTACACTCAGCTCCCGCCTAGCGATATTGTAAGCGAGAGCCGGGACGGGGTCCCACTCGAAGAAGATCTCGCCTTGCGAGCGCTTGTTCCTCAATGGAAGCCCAAACGCGGGCGAAAGCGAGCCGAACTCGAGGCGATGGAAAAGGCCGCCAAACGACCACAACTCGACACATCCCTGAACGTGATTCACCCAGGTCCCTTTTCTGGGCAGACCTCAACATTTCCAACAAGCGCTATTCCATTCAGCGCCTTCCCTGATGAGATAGAGTCGACTGATCCGTGGATGGGGAATGCGCACACATTCTCAACGGAGGGTCCATCTGTGACTCATGCTCCCCAGCAAAGTCAAGATCTACGATGGAGACCTGTTGAACGCGATGCCTCGCCCAACGGCTATCCTCAATCTGCGATTATCCCCAGAAGTAATCATCAGTCGGAAATCTTCATCCAGCCTGCAGAACCCCGCTCAGCAGTGACACCATCCACCGGCGAGAAAACACGCCCCAAACGGCGTCATGGCCCCGCTGTGTCATCCGCCTGGCCTAGTAACAATGGGAGCAATGGAAAGACACGGGGCCGACCTCCAAATCGAGGAACAGTGTCAGGCCCATTTTCATCCTTCCCAGTAAACCCTGCCCGCTCCGAATCTACTCACCAGCCGAATTCCGCGATCCGATCATCTCCTGCCATTGTTCTCGACCAGGAGCACGCTAATCGGTTCAGTGACTCACCATACCAGCAATCACCTACACCATACAATTTAGGCCCCAAGCCGAATAAGTTGCAGCTTCAGGTTCCACAGCACCCTGGAGGACCTGTGCGCCTGGCGACACCGCCCACCTTGGCGGTAAACGGAGTCCATGGCGCCTCTGGCATGATGAAAACCGAGAATACTCAGCGCAATGGAACTCTGGCACCACTTTACGACTATGCTGGTAACATGGGTGTCACCAATCCCTCTTCTTATGCCAACCGCAACGTTGTGCAACAAACGGAGATTACAGCAGACGACGTTGTACGTGTTTTGGCAGGCGAGCTACTTCGTGGTAGAGTTGTCGGTCGGTCCGCTCCTCTCAGTGCGGAAGAGGGCCGGGGCTTGGCATCATCTGTTGTTTCAAATCTCGCATCCACATATGCGAAAATACCAGGCGGCTCAACAGCCCTCATGTCCGCATTACACCTGGGTCTGGGACACCAATTTGGCTATCCCGGAGTCACCGAAAGTGTGATGACCATCCACATCGAGGTGATGCCTTCAGCTTCCTCCACTGCGCCAAGCGTTGATGGAACCACTTCAAATCACGTATATACGATTACTCACGAGTACAAGCACGGGCTACGATTCTCCACCAAGGTGACATACGGAAACCTCAACATCGGAAGATCTGACAACAACAAATTCGAAAGCTCATTCAGGGCGACTGACGAGCTGGACAACAGTGTTGCTGAGTTGGACAGCGTCACCGATGCTGAATTCGAAGTGGAAGGCGCGGACGGAAACGTCTCCGAAGCCACGTGGAGGCAGCGGTACCTCAAGCTTCGTGCGCAGATGCAGAAAAAGGAACGGTCTCTATCTAATTATAAGCGCAAGATCTTAGAGTCTGTAATGGCAGACCTCTAAGCGGACGCACCTTAATCATCTTTAGCCCAGCCAGGTTCAACTGTGATACCCTACGAGACTATGTAACCTCGACAGGCAACACTGCCTGTGAGCCTTGTGCTATTTGGACATACATCTGCCGTTTATATTCCGGGTACAAGCCGGAGTGACTCTTTGTTGTTTGGGTTCTGTTCATTCGTTTTACTGATACCCTTTGAGCCAACTTACCTTGACATGCGTCTCCTTACTATAGAACTTAACTTCTCTACTTTCAATGCATGCTGTGATGTAACAGCTTCAATTGACTTCATGCATTCATGATATCTCCCCCGTAGATAAACCATCAGAAGGATCCATTGCTCTTCAACCATATTGCCATCAACCCGGGTTCCACATAAAAGGGCGTCGACCAATGCAAGGCTTATCACACCACACACCATCTACCATAAAAGCCGACGATATCGAGAGCCGCGCGCGTAAACCGTCCGATGAGACAAAGAAAAATCGATTGAGAAATCTCTCCCGAAGCACGCCTGCAGGCAAGGTGGAGGTCACCGCAGTCCAAGAACGAACCACAAAAGACCTGGAGACGGCATAGAACGAACGCTCTGCAAAAACCGACTACTCAACCTCCAACCGAGTTCTTCAGATCGCTTTACAAGATCATGTTCCCTAAGCCGTTCCCTCCTGGTCATGATCATCGAAGCCAGCCTCGTCCAAGCCCAGCATCTCTCTGCGATCCCCAATTTCCCTTTCCCCATTTTCGTCATCCACCAGCATCTCCTCATCGGCATCCTCCTTCTTGATGGCCATGCCTTTCTCCTCCTCGTCCTCCTCCCCATCTTCCTGCTTGATAGCGTCATCCCCGGAATCACTCATCCCAACCAATCTATGCGCTCTAGCCACCGCCATCTCCTTCATGAGCTGACCCTTTGTCTTCTTCCTCGCCAGCAGGCCACTCGTCTTCCCCTTTCGACCAGAGGCAGCAGCTGCAGTCCGCTTGCGACCCTTGCCTGCTCCTCCTCCCGTCGCGGCGGCCTTGAGTCCATCGGCTTCATCCTCATCAATGCTCTCATCGTTGGTGGGTTTCGAGGTAAGATTGCTGCTGCCCCCCGCTGGAGCGAAGTTGTTTGCTTTCAGGAGACGCTCGTAGCGTTTTGCGCTGGTTCGTCCATTCGTCTGTTAGTTCGGCTCTCTTCCTGTCTGCAGGAAAGATGTGTTGTGTGATTGAAAACGAGTGGCATGGAATGGCTCTGGGGAGAGATGACAGCGAAGGATAGAGGGAAAAGGAACTCGGCATCACTTACGCGGCTCCTTTGGTCACGATGTCGCACTCTTTGGCGACGCTGGCGAAGTCGATCTATCGTTGTTCGAGGTGGTGGTTTGTTAGTTGGGATTTCTGGGGATCGGTCTTGGTCCTTGGGTTTGCGTTGCTGGGATGAGGCACAGGGACTGGGAGTTGATGGTGTAGGGGTCGTATTGAGAGTACTAGATGGATGGGCCCAAGGGTGGAGGGAGGAGGTAGAGGACTTACTTTACCGCCGCCTGTGGCGTTGCGGATGCAGCTCAGGAGAAACTGCACTTGATCATCCGCGGTGAGGTGAGGCGCTCTCGGTTTCGAGGGTGTGTTGGCAGCCATCTTCTGCTGGGATGACCGGTGTGTTATCCTCAAGGTGTATCGTCGTGGTGAAAAGGGGAGGATGATGTCTTGAGTCGTGAAGGTTTTGATAATGGGGTGGAGATGAGGAATGATTTGATGGTAGGGGAGTGTAAATCGGTAAGGTGAGAGACAGGCGAAGCGGGGGGAAGATGAAGGTAAGATACCTGGGAAGTGAGTGGGAGAAGAATCCCTTATGGCCTAGCCCAGTTGAGTGAGAGGTTGCAGCAAGATTGGAGAGAAAAGAGCGAGTCCAAACAGATTAGGGGAATTGGGAATGAAGTATCAGCTTGACGTTGATTCACTGGTGGAACACGGTTCTGATTCTAACACAGGGACATGAGAGTATGAGGTCAATGTTTGGAAAATCACTTTGGACGATTGGAGAAAACGACTACTGAGCAGGAGAAGGAAGGCGCAATGGCAGTCAAGTACGTTTTGTATTGCATCTCCCAGATTTTCAAACCCCCAATCTGCTATCCAGAGTCCGATTTGCAGAGGCCAAGAGCATCAGCGTTCCTTCCCCAAGGCTATCAGAGTGGATATTTGACAACAAATGAGAAGCATTAGACTGCGCATAAACCAAATCTCATCCCCAGAGCTGTCGGAGCTAATTCCTCGAAAGAGTCAACAAATGAAATAAGAACGGAAGATTTAAGACCCTACCAACAACGGTCGGATACCCATCTGCCTGTGTAACAAAATCCAATTAGCGACAAAGCAAGCAAATCCTCTTTCAAGGCAATGTACCAGTATCGTAGACCATTCAAGAAACATTCAGACGACCTCATTTGCAAGATCGACCTCATCTGGGGTCTCAGACGCAACCACAACTTCCACCTTGGGAGCAGACTTGGCACGGGCAGCAGCGCCCTTCTTGCGACCCTTTTTGTTCGGTTTGGCATCGACATCAGACCCAGCCTGAGCTTCGTCGGAGGTGTTCAACTCAGCAGCCTCCTCAGCATTGGCCTTGGCTTTCTTTCGGGGGTTCCTCTTGGCAGGCGCCTTGCGTTTGGTCGGGGTAGTGACTTCAGGGGCGGCCTGCCCGTTCTGAGCATCCAGGGAGCCATTGCCTCCGGCCAACGCGGTGTCTATCTTGGTGGGGCTTCCACTTGTTTGGGTGGCTTCGAGCTCAAAACCGTAACGCTTGCGCAGGGCGCGGAATCGGTTCGCGGTGGAGGCAACGTTGGTGTAGCCAAGCGCAGCGGCCACTCGGTTCAGGTCAACCTGTTTGGAATGCTTAGCGACAGTAGTGAGAAAATGCGAGGAAGAAGAATGCTTGCCTGTCTGTCAGATGTCATGTTCATAACACAACGTACGATGAATTGAGCATCAGTCTGAGGAATCTCATCCTCGGTCTTTGTCTGCTTGGGTCCAGGCATGATGATTGAGGTGGAGTAGACCCGATCTTAGAAGTCAGGGTTTAATTGGACTGAAGGACTGGGTTTGACACGGTAGTCTGTATGATGGATGGGGGAATTCAGGGAGAAGGACTGTTTCGAGGAGGGGATGTGTGTAATGGATTGAGGACGGTTGCTGGGGTTATGCAAAACAGGTAGTGAGGGAAATAGTCCCAATCCTCACCCTTCTAGCTGGCTGAGAAGACATGAAAATGGATATTGGCTTACCTTAGTGAACTGACTCGATCAGAGTCGTGCGCTAATGACGTGTGGAGATAATGGGAGATATTAGAAGTGATAAGGTGGTTGTCGAGGGAGGATTGCAAAGAATGGAAACCGTCCAAAGCAAGGTCAGATTGAAGAGAAGGTCAGTCTCAGTCAAGGTTGGTGTTCACCACATCCAGCAAGCCAACTGTTGTAACACACCCACTACAGTACCACACTTATGTTCGGTGATTCCAGGAAGATGCAGTTGCTGCAGGAAGTAAACAAAATTCATATTGTCAGTGATGTGTTAATATTGTATTTCGACCGAAAGATTGAAACAAGCGCAGCAAACATGATGTATGACTTGGGCCACGAGCTTCATCAGTTGCAGTCAGACATGATAGCATACAAAATGATAGCAATAGCAATAGACCAAATTCCCAGACCCAAACCTACCCTACTCACCAGGAACATCACCATCCTCTAGCTGCTCCTCCTTAATTGCCTCTTCGATCTCCATATCCTCTCCCACTATCACCTGCTCCGGCTGAATCCTAGGCCACCAGAAACTATTCGGGTGCTGGGCTCCGAAGGACTCGTGGTAGAATGGCTCGGGTTGGAACGCAGGTCGAAACTCAGCTTGAAGCCCGGGTTGAAGTGCCGCTGCAGATGCGTAATTGGCCGGGTTGCCGGGGTCGGTAAACATAGAAGTGTCCGGCGCAACAGCTGGCGGGATTGTCGACATTGGGAAAGAGGTAGTAAGAGGTATATCCACCAGCGATGAGACGTGCTCGTCGTAGGGCTCGGGCTTGAACATATTCTCCAGGCAAGGCTCGAAAGCAGCCTCCAGAGGCTCGTGCTTTACCTCGGGTGTAGGAAGAGGAGGGGGGTGGTACGGTAGTCGTGCAGCTGGATGAGTGGGCGGCATCATAGGAGAGAGCGAAGGACCAAGAGACGGCATCATCAAGGAGGAAATATGCTCGCCGTAGGGAGCTGAAAATCTCTGGTTCGCCACCGACTCGGGAGAAGGGGATGGAAGACTCTTCTGTCCGTTTTCGCTGGGTAAACCACCCTTGTTCGACTTTGGGTTGTCTTTCTTAGCACGGGGAGCCCGGGTGGATGGAACATTGCCCTCCATCTGCTGTCTGAAGCGGGAGTATCGCATCCGTGCAGCGTGGCCGTTGGAGATTTCGAGATCAGTGGCCACTAGGTTCCAATCAACCTATCAAACTGTCATTGGGATGGGATATTTCCTTCTAGGTTGAAGTACAAACCGATCTAAGATCCAACTGTTTGAGTATAGCGTACAAGAATTTGGACGCCGGGGTGTCAGTCGGCACGGCCTTGCCACGTTTTGTGTTCTGCATGGTGGAGCTTGAAGTAGTCAAGAGATGGGACTTTCTGTGGTAGGAGAGTAGTCTTGACACGAAGTATGTAGATGATGCCTAGAAATCTGGAGAACTGGCTGAGATGTTTGCACCCCAATGCACGTAGAAGGATGGAATTTATAATTCATGATCCTGGGGTAGATTTCATCATCAAGATAATTTAGGCTCACAGTCACCATCATACTGCATCACCGACAAAGATTCCGGCCACTCTGAAAGGAAGTTTGTGGAGCCTCTACATTTCGCCCAATAATAATGCAAATTCAGTAGAGCTTTTTCATGCCGGCTAGTGGCATGCTGCAGGTGACAACAGCCTCATTCGCAAGATTGTTTAAACGTGCCTGGAGCATAAAACCCACGTTTGAGTAGAGGAACCACAAAGAAAGCTTGTACAAGGACCTTGTTTTTACACTCATCCTTCTTACAGCATGCGAGTAGGGTTGCACTAATGGTAAGCTGATGATCACGTGGTTCGTTATACCCTGATTGAACACATCTTTGGCTGATGGACGGAGGATAAAGACTACAACAGATGGTTCAACATTTCAGATCAACCAGCATGGCTTGTAAGAGGTGAATTGGATACTAGAGAGTCTTGTTTAAAGTATATTGTCTTACCCAGGGCTTGGCTAGAGTGACGGACAAGCGAGGTATTAATGCCACCTTTCATCTGTCCATCTATCAAACCTACCAGTGAGTCAACCAATGGATGATCTTACTCAACAGACTTAATATGGTCAAAAGTAGTTATTCTGAATCTTGTTTGAGGGTACTACGCAGAGAAAATAAATCTCCTTGCTATGTAGATTTTTAGCTTGAGAGATTCAGCCACGCTGCGTTGAATTGAGCTAGTCGTTAGTTGTCAATTTCCATACATTGCTTTTACTCTTGAGAAATAGTGGGTATGTTGACGGCCGCAAACCTACGCTTGTTAGTATGTCCAACACATGCTTTCTTAGAACCATGGATTAGGTCGCCTTTCAGGATCAGCTGGAGAAAGACCCATGTTCTCCCTTATAATATTTTCGTCCAGAAGTCTAACCTTGGAGAATAATTCGACGCAGACTCTCCAGAAGTACGCAACTACACTCCATATCTTCGTGCTAAACATCACTCATACACTACCTAGGTGCTGATCCTCAAAGGTTCCCTAGTCAAGCCTAGCAACGCCCAAGTCTTTACTGTAGCTACTCTCCGATAAACAGGTTCCTAGATTGTACTCGCCTTCATCATGCTTCTTGTTGTTCTCCTGTTGAAAGCAAAGTAGTCTTCATCTCATTATCTCCCACATCATAACGCCCAACATTCCCCATTTGAGTAGATCAGTCCTTATCCGGCTGAAAGAAGGTCAAAAACAGAAGAACATCATCCAGCGAGCCAATTAATTCGTGAAAGTTATTCTGTACAACCTACATAGGAAGCTCGGGTAGATTTCCATTGAGTGGCATCGACCACGATTTGCACAACTTTACTCCACTGTGAAGAAAGAGCGGCAAACGTCGATGAAATCGTGCAGGCCGACACGAAACGGGGTGAGACAGGCTAGGTTGCGCTGAGAATAACATTCTGAGTTATTCACTTGTCGATGCGCAAGGGTCAGCAGACCCTGGTCACTCTATGCGCAACCGCACTAGTCCGGGTCTTCTTGCGCTTCCACCTCTACCTGCAAACCACATCTCACTTATTCAAGAGGATCCATAATTCTTAACATTAGTAACTACCTACTCTATTTAAGACACCGTCCTGACTTGAAACACCATGGTTAAGCGCAAGACTGTCCCCACCCAGAGTGCTAATGCCTCGCAGAAGAAACGCACTTTGGGGCGCCCCAAGGCCGCTACGCCCGCGCGAGTCTCTTGGGACGACGAGAAGAGACTGGCTCTGCTCCTGGAGATAGCCTATCTAGAAGATATCCACCTCTCAGAAGCGAAATGGCACGACATCGCGAACAAACTCGGTACAACTTGGAATGCTGCTCGGTGAGTCTCATCTTCTGTGCTCAGAAGATGTCTGCTCTATATCGCTCCTTATGCGTCTAACAATTCATGTAGACTGCAGTACGGTACTCTGATGGGAAAGCGCTTTCCAGGTTGGAAACGTGGTTCTAAGAACAAGGAGCTATCGACCAATTTGACCAGGACTGATAGGTCTGTGGACGTTGGCGTTCAGGCCGGAGAAGTCGCCTCAACCGGTGGGTCTGCAGTTGTATCTGCCGACGTCGATGCACCTATGTTTGATGACGATAACGATGATGATGAGTGGGAGGATTGCCTGTCTGCAGACGACGATCTCGAGCCCGGAGAATCCGAAGACGTCACTCGTATTGACTCTGCCGACATTTAAGTTGGTCGCATTAGTTGGGGTAAGTCGTTACTCTAAGCATATCAAGCCATTGCTTCTGACGATATGATATAGGATTAGTAGCATGCATGTTACTCAGTCGATTGCTGCCATTCTCTGGTCTTATTGGAACTACTTTCTATCTAACTCTTGCAAACAGCACGAATATACCCACCAACTTTGATTTGATGCAAATCAAATTCTCTATTCCCGAACCGTCTCTATTGCAGTCACAACCTCTTTTTCATAGCTTGGTATTTCTGCTTCTTCATACTCGGCATGTATCTCAGCTACTTCCTTTCTGTCGTTGAATTCGCTTCGAGCCGCTTTAAGGGAATTCGAAATCGCTTTCTCACAACCAGACTATTTTGACAAGCTGGAATCATGTTGCTATGGGAGAAAAACTTGGACTTTGTATTTTAAAGCAACTCGCACTCGGCTTTCGTGCCTTGAGACTGGAAGATCGGGCTCGCATTAGGTGAAGTTGCGATGATGTCGACAGTGGGTCATGACTAATCCCACAGCAAATCAAGGTCAAGCTCCTCTCAACATTGGCGAGGCTCGTGCAGTACTTATTGGGCTCGAGTTATCGGTGTAATCTAGCTTCTGTATACCCGACAGTAAACAATCAAGTAACAGGATGTCGCTCGTTGCGGTAGGCGCATGCTATCTAGACACGATCCTAACGTGGGTGGATTTAGATTCTCTCCTCCCGTTTAACAGCCCAATCAACTCTGACGTCAATGTATCAGGACTCCCCATTACCCTGGAGAGGATGAAAAGCTTCGTGCTTCCAATATATCTCGCCGGCGAGGGGGCAACTGCCCCAACACACTTGAGGTTCTGCAGCAGTTGGTAGCTCACGGCTCATCGACCGCGCAACTATCATTAAACCTGGTTGCAATCCTGCCCGCCAGATCCTCAGCTGCTTCGCAGCAGATCCGGGCGGCATTCGAACCGCACGTGAACATGGATCACTGCATCTACCGGGAAGAGCTGACAGAGCCTGCTTCGAGTTACATCTTCAAAAGCCAGGCGACGGGGAGCCGGACCATCGTGAACTACAATGAGCTTCCGGAGATGACCGTTGATGAATTTGTCACGATTGCTGACACTCTAGGTCCAACGGTTTCGTGGTTTCATTTCGAGGTTCGCAGATCATCTAGATGGCTACCTGCTTGAGACTAATGACCTTATCTATAGGGCCGGATTCCTGAAGTCACCCTGTCTTGCATCCACTACCTGCGGCGACACTTCCCCTCGGTCACGATCAGCGTCGAAGTAGAGAAGCCAGGACGGCCAGGGCTGCAGGATCTCGCGAAGGAAGCCGATGTTATTTTCTATTCAAAGAGCTGGGCTCAGGTACATACTTCCCACTTCTCATGTCTCCGCTGCAATCGAGGCTGACAGCCGCAGGGAAATGGATATCAATCAGCTGAGCAATGTGTTCAAGAACAATCGTCTCTGACAAAGAAGGCGTATGCTAAGATCCATCAGCGTTTTCGAGCCCCAATTACTGATCTCTGACACCAGCTCCCTTTTGTGCTGCACATGGGGTGAACATGGAGCAGTAGCCCTGAGTACTGCTACCAAAGATGTGATTCATCAGCCCGCATACACCGCGCCAGACCTTCATATCATGGAGTAAGTGGAAATCAAGTGGCTGAATGCGCCACGACTACTGCATTAGACTTATCGCACCGGTCACTGACTCTGGTTAGTACCATTGGTGCTGGCGATAGTTTCAATGCCGGCATGCTGTACGCGCTTCTGTGTCAGCGTGATGAATGGAGTCTGTCGCAAAAGCTAAGCTTTGCAAATCGAGTTGCCGGAATGAAGGTATCTCAAGAGGGCTTTTCAGGGCTTCAACGTGCACTGGAGTCCGTACATTGAGATGAGTCTCTGACTAGCTCGGTATCTGCATCATGGCGCAATGGTTCGGCAAAGCGACAGGGAATCATTCAGAGCAGCCTTGAACCAGCTGTAAGAACAGGAATTACATGGAGCGAGGACTTAAGACACTACAGGGAGAGGCAGAAGTTGCCGATACACAGGGCGATGGATGACATTGAAGCTTGGGTATTGTGCCGTCGGGTTCAAGAGATAAGCCTGAAATTGACCTCGACTGTATTGAGGAGAAGATGCCAGCCATTTCTTGAATGGATTGGGAGTAGTGATAGCAATCATGAATTGAAGGAGGTAAATGGTGACAAGAGAATCATCAAACTTGAGATAGAACCTATTGAGTATAGAGCCACGTGATACAATCAAAGAATTCAGAGCACTGCATGGAAACGTGAATAGCTTCGCAAGGTAGACTAACCACATAAGGCTTCAGGGGTCCACAAAGTGATGAGAGAGTGAGCATGGTCACGTGATGTTGATCATCAATGGCGGTGTGAACCAAAAAATAATTCTGCCCGCATCTTCTGAATTTTGCGGGCGATCAACAGATTCGGACTTTCACAAATCACAGCATATCGCAATCACCATGGCGTCCGTCTACAAAACCGTTTCAAAGAAAGCCGCCCAGCGCATCGCTCGGGAGCAGGAGCTCGACGAGGAGGATATCGAAATGGAGGAACTCCTTGCTGACGCCGACGATTCGAGCGACAGCGAAGACGACGAGGAAATCACTACCGAAGCGGCGAAGAAGCAGCTTGCTTCTGGATTCATGCCGAAGACTCGCGTCCTGATGCTGACCTCCAGAGGTGTAACCTATCGGTATGTTCTCCTACATCTGAAACCGGGAATTGAGAGATGAGAATCCGTTTGCTGACCGTGGATTTTCTTACTTCCTCTCTAGCCACCGACACTTGCTCGCAGACCTTGCCTCTCTTCTCCCCCACACTCACAAGGAAAGCAAACTCGACACGAAAAAGAAGACCGCTGGTTACAACCTCCTCCTGAACTCTCTCGCCGATCTTCACTCTTGCAACGTCATCTTCTTCCTCGAGGCTCGTAAGCAGGGTCAAGATTTGTACCTCTGGCTTGCGCGCCCTCCCAATGGACCTACCATTAAGTTCCACGTCAACAACCTGCACACCATGGCCGAGTTGAATGCCGGGTTCAGCGGAAACTGCTTGAAGGGCGGTCGGGGTCTCGTGGTCTTCGACCGCTCGTTCGACGAGCAGGGCCCGCTCATGAGCTCCCCCGGCAGCGAATACCGGGGTTTAATCAGGGAGATGATCCGCGGTGTCTTCTGCGTTCCCAAGCGTGGTGTCAAGGGTATGAAGCCGTTTGTTGACCGCATTATTGGTGTCTTTGGTGTGGATGGCAAGATCTGGATCCGCGTCTATGAGATTCGGGAGTCTGAGGGCGAAAACAAGAAGGAGGAGGGCAAGGATGCGAAGCCCGCTCCCAAGAAGAAGGATGGACAGCCGGAGATTTCTCTCGTTGAGATTGGACCTCGCTTTGTCTTGACGCCGATTGTGATCCTGGAGGGCAGCTTTGGCGGTCCCGTCATCTACGAGAACAAGGAATACGTGAGCCCCAACCAGGTCCGCCGTGACATCCGCATTGGCAAGGCCGCTCGCCACGCCAACCGCAGGGATGCGGAGACGGACCGTTTCGCGAAGCGGTCGAATCTGGGATTGGGTGACGGCGAGAAGAAGCCCGGTGCTCTGGACACACGGCACCTGTTCGCATAGGTGGTTTTCTGTTCTGCATCGCTTTCTTCTGTTATTTCTACGCCCTATTAGACTCTGATATCCTGAAGGGATGTATATGTATTGATGTGGGGGGGTACATTCATGGTTTATTTTCAAGGCGTCTGGTGTGACAATAATAAAAGTACTTGACGTTATCGTTCAATTTGCACTCATTTCGATGAACCCCCAATGCATGTCACGTCATGCCTCTATCGGGCTGTTGCCATTAGTAACCCTTCTATACATATGTACTTGCAGTCATTGTGTAGAGAGCTATCATAGATTGGATTTTTCGATAATTGCCAAATTGCTTCGGGATAGGGAGTAAGGGAGCATATGCATCATATGTGATTTATAATTTGAGAATGTAGAGTAGCTCATTCTCTGCCTCCTTTTGGCCTTCATATGTAGAAGTGCGTTGGGTTTTAGATAAGAAAGGGTGAAGGGGAAGGAAGGCGATTGTGTCAAGTGACCTGACGTCCGCCTCTCCTTATCGCCTCGCCGGCTTCGCCATTGCCGCGACTGCAACTCCTTGACAGACATCATGGCATCTGCTTCACTCCCCAGCCCCTTGTGGCTGCTTGGAGATTGTCCTGTTCCTAACGCTATGGCAACAGTCCCTACCCTTTTTCATCCGTTTTGGTAATCTCCAGGGGTGGGGTCGCGATCTAGGTCCGAATCTCTATTGCGACAGCGGCCGCAGGGGTATTGAGCCTGCAGCGACGACAGCCCTGTACTTGACATCGACATTTGTCATCTAATCTTCTACAATCCGCTCTCGAAACTCTCTTAGAATATTACAATAGGTATGAATCTTCAAATACAGACACCAATCTCAATGTTAAATAAAATCCACCTAACACCGTATGAAGATAGCCATATTCCAGAACCATGTCCTTCAATATACTAGCCGCGGAGCTTCTGCTCCATATATTCCGCTCCTGCGAAAGTGTCACCGATGTTATAAACCTTGCCTCCACGTGCCGTCGACTGCACACTGTTTTTCACCGATCCAATAAACTACAGATCCTCTACAATGTCGCGGAGCTCGAGTTTGGCCCGCTGGATGATATCATCCAAATTGTGACTCAGAACACCAGCCAGGCAGCGCACGTGTCGCGCACCGCACCTCTGACTGACCCCCTTCTCCGACAGATCATCCATATCGGGTGCGTGGCCAAGAAATGGGAAGCCATATACCCGCTCAAGAAATGGAAGTTGGATTTCGAGAATCGCCGGACGCTCTCCGACGAGGAGCGATTTCGGCTCCGGCGCGCGATCTACCGGCTGTGGCTGTATCATCGCGCCTTCCACACGCACGACCATAGCCGGTTCACTCGCACCCTGCCTCATATCGTCAGCGAACGCGCGCAGCTGCTGCATAACTGGTCCACCGCCGACTTGGCTGAGATCGAAGATGTGCGCGCGATCATCGGGGATGTCGTGCAGAACCATATCTGCCCCAGCAACGGGACGATCCAGCGTAAGTTCAAGAAACGATACCCGGAGAGCACCCACCAATTGATGTTCAACATCCATCTCAATTATCCGACGACGACGACAACAACAACATCTGAATCGTCCACCGGTTCCCAGAGGTTGTTCGCGAAGCCTGCCGATTCGGTGGCCGAGCGGTACTTCCATACTACTCATCCGAGCAACTTTGAATCTTCGGCCAAGTACAGATCCCGCTTCCGGAACGATTTATTCCATGATCCCGGGTTCGAAGGGTGGGGAGATGAGATTCCGCACTACTACGTTGTGCAGGACATGATGAAGCTTGATCCGGGCCAGGTCCTGTGGCTGCGGGATCACGCCCTGCTCAAGGAACAGGTCGAGGCCTATGTTCGGGACATGGGAGACTGGTTCCGGGACAACGGGGAGACATTCGGGGACACCCTGGAGTGGGTGATAAGGGAGCGAGGCGAGGACATCGGGGAATTCCGCGCCGCCATCGCCGATCGTGGGATTGGGGTCGTCTGGGATTAGCGATTGTGCTGTCTGGCTGTCGATTACAAAGACTACTGTATATGTCTTGCCATCTACGGACGGTCTACTTTCCTTCCATCATATATGGCCCTTCCCCCCTAGATGGCCTTCTGAGACAGCACCCTTCCAGCCGAGCCAAGCAAAGACCATGAAGCGTCTACGCATCCCTAGGCCTTCCAGCACGAATCTAGACCATACATGACACCATAAGACCTGGCGGGCCTTTCCCCATCCAACCCATAATCAAAGGGGGGCAAATCAGCCAGGAGTAAAATAAGGCAAAGATATCCAACCAACCTCACCAAACCATCTGCCAGACAATATCCATCGATCCCAAATCCCAAGCTCTAAACCATAGATCCTTCCACTTCCCACACGACACAACGACTTCGATAAAATCAAGAATTAAGCTCACTACGAAACCCATCCACTGGTAACAACAACCCGGGGGAGAGCCCGCGCGTGCGACTCGACTCGAACACTTCCATGAATGGTTGACCGGTTTAACGGCCAACCCGTCCGTCCCCTGATCAGCCCACCCTAAACCGTACGGGGAAATGGAACTGAGCATGAGCAGAAAAGGGCAGAGGCTGAGCCGCCTGGAACCGGGGGCTAAAATTCCCCAAGTGGAGTGGAGTTTTTTGCGTACTGTGTTCTTTTTTGGGAGGGTGTGGGTGTGGGAATAGCGGGTGGTTACAAATGGGGCGGTTTGGTTCTTTTTGGGAGGGGGGTTATTGTGCCTAAGGTAGGAGAAGTTGGGAGGTTTATGAAGGTGTGTATTTGTTACAGAGGGAGGAGAGGCTTTGCAGGGAGATACTCGGTTTGAGTAGGGAAATGTCTAGGAGTGGATTGAAGGCAGGCTGTGGGATTTGAGTATCAATATTGAATGCAGTGGCATAAATAAATGCATACGGCTAGAGAAAATGGAGCAGGAACGGAAATGCCTCGTGGGGCTCCCGCGGTGAGGATGTGGGCCGCTTCGTTCGACCGACTTGGATGGCAACTGGCGAGGCCGGGAATAAGAAGACGTAATATAGGCGGGTAGAACGCGATGCTGCGAAATTCTCGACCACGGTCTCGGTCCTTAGAATGACATCTTTTTCATCAAGGAAAGAAAAGTAGGTAGATACAGCAGACAATGGCTTTCTGTATTCAAGATTGCTTCCTCTCCTCCTCCCTTGACTGACTTACATCACATGCTTTGGGGAATCTACACGTCATTGAGGGGGCAAGTCATATCAAGGCTCCCAAACATAGTGGAACATATAACATGCAGGGGGCAGAACGCAAGGAAGATTCACAAAAATATTCAATTTCGTCATCTTTAGAGTATAGAAAGAAAAGCATGAGGTTCGAACCACAAACAAAATAAAGAAAAAATAAAGTCGAAGACGTAAAAAGGTGCCAGAAACAAGGTGTCGGGAGTATTGTGATGTCCAGCAAACACCGCCATACCATGTCCATAACCCCAAATGCCATTCCTACCGACGTTCCTCTTGTGTATCATCTCCAGGAGGCTAAGTAACAGACAGAAAGAGAGCTCAAGACCGTTCAATTATCACATCACAAAATAAAATCGTTTCGGTTGGCATGTCACACATTCCCCGATATCATGGTTTCTTTAACAGCATCCCTGCTTGGTCTCGGAGGTATCCGACTGCTCAATCCTCACCATGTCGCGGCGGTCGCCCAGGACGGTCTGGCCCGCGTCACCACCCTCCAGAGCCTTGCTGGAGACAATGCGGTAGATTTCTGCAAAGAGGGTCAGGTCAGCGTGAAGAAGCAGGCGCATGGTTGGGTGGCGAAAGCGTACCTGTCAGGATGTTCTGGAAAGCAAGCTCGACGTTGCTTGCGTCGAGAGCGGACGTCTCAATGAAAGATAAGTTGTTCTCGCCTGCCAGGATATCATCAGCATACTAGCCCGCTGGACAAAGGAGCATGATGTCCAGCTAGATGGACAAAGGACATCCACGTACTGGCAAATTGCTTGGCCTCTTCCGTGGGCACGGCGCGCAGGTGTCTCAAATCGCTCTTGTTACCGACCAGCATGATCACGATGTTAGAGTCGGCATGGTCGCGAAGCTCCTTCAGCCACCGGTTAACATTGTCGTAGGTTTGGTGCTTGCTGATATCGTAGACGAGCAAGGCACCAACGGCACCACGGTAGTAAGCGGACGTAATGGCACGGTAACGTTCCTGACCAGCAGTATCCCAAATCTGCGCCTTGATCGTCTTCGAATCGACCTGGATGGAGCGGGTCGCGAATTCAACACCGATAGTGGACTTGGAGTCCAGGTTGAACTCGTTGCGGGTAAATCGACTCAAGAGGTTGGACTTTCCAACACCGGAGTCTCCAATGAGGACAACTATTCAGAGAAACGAAGAAAGTCGTCGCACGTTAGCCGAAGATTCTGACACAAACGCGATCTGCTTGCTAGGGAACGGTGACGAGAGGCGACTGCGGGGGGATAAAAGTGGCAACTTTACCTTTGAAGAGGAACTGCCAGCGGTATCCGTCAGTTACAAGTCTGCAAACGAATAAAGGAATAGATGAAGAAAGGGGTCACTCACATCATACTCGTCGTTAGCCATAATGGGTATTTTGTGAGCTCGCTAAGCTCTGTTACAGGTAAGATTTATAGGACGGGGAGGGATTTCGATGTGGCCGAGTCAAAGGGGAGGGGGTTGGGTGTGTGGCAGGCGATTCACGGGAAAACCGACAGCAGTTGAATCTCACTTTCTGGAAACGAGGGGCAGCAATGCTCTGATTAGTACTTCACTACCTAAACTCTGCAGTGATAGAGAGAGGAAGAGAGAGAGGGAGAGAGAAACAGAACTGAGTGCGCAGATAAGAGTCTTAAATCCAGGGAGCAAGAAGAGTAACTTACCGGGAAAGTCTAAGGGGTGGACACCGGGGAAGGGAGATTAGGAGGTTATCCAGACGGCAGACGGACTGGACTCTCTCTCTCTCTCTCTCTCTCTCTCCGTCCGTCTCTTCCTCCCCTACCGATTCCCGACTGGACTGTCGCCTCTTCGGGATTAGTGTCCAGTCACGTGATTCATTATCTTTATCGTCCCCAGCAACAAACTCGCGCCTTGTCGCCAGTTGGTGATACCAAAATATCAAGTTGATGCAGTGTACTGCACGCCGCAGGGGGGTTTCGGAAGTATTCACTTACTCACCCAATAAAGGAGATCGCGTCAACTCACAGGGTGCGATCGCACCCATAAGCTACAATTTTTTCCTCCGACTACTCACTGGCCTGCCATATTGGAAACGGATCTATATTCCCCACAAGAGACCGGTTCTTCACCACTGGCAATTCCAAGGGTTGCTCAACGCGGCTAGATCCATGTTAGGAACTCACCTCGCTTGTTGGGCTGACAATTACCATCTCCCATGCAATTGAAATGTTCCAGCGCTGTATTCATTCTGGCCTCGCTTCGCAAAAAGTAAAATGGTTCCCCGCCAAGAAGAAGAAAATGATGATGATGATGATGACATCTCAGTCACTTCCACGGTTGAGAGTGAGCAGAAATCGGAGTATGATGTCGAGGAAGTCCTAGCTGAGCAGCGCTTCGACGACGGTGTCAGGTATCTGGTGCAATGGACAGGCTACCCTCCTGAAAGGAACAGCTGGGAACCCACCGATGCCTTCACTGATAGGCAAACGATGATCGACTGGCGTCGGAAAAAGAAAGATATTGCAGCTGGAAAGTGCAAAGGTTATGATGTAGATGCCTGGATGCAATATATGGAAGACTTTGAAGCAAAGAGAGAGGACCGCAAGCGCAGACGCGAAGCTAAGAGACGAAGGCTAGGAGCATCAGCTGCTCATGATCACCGCCCAGAAGTATCTGGGACAAACGAGGATGCGCAGAAAACTGCTTCGGAGCGACCTCTACAGAAACCTTTGTCTCGACGCCATTCCAGCGGCCCAGGAGTACAGACACAGAGGCGCGTTCCCCAGGAAGTACCTCCGGTCTTGTTCGGCAGTGGCAAGCCGCCTCAAACTCATCCGCAGCGTCGGAGCTCTCTCCCATCGAATACGAGTATGAACTTAGGCAAATGGTTTCCAAATCTGTCATCGAAGTGGTGGCACCAGAAGGCCAGGGCCAGAGAGTTAGATCCGGTCCTTGACGGCTTGGACCTGAGACGACCATCAGAATGGCCTGAAAACCCCCCCGTCGCCCCTACTAGGACCACCGAACGCATTTCAGACATACAGCCCGCCCCTACTAGAACCACCGAGCGCATTTCAGGCATACAGCCCGCACCTGTGTCTGAACCAGAAGCCTCTAAATCAGCTCGAAATAGGTCTCCTGAAAAGCCGGATGAAAACACTACTCGAGTTATTGAGCCAGCGGACTTGTGCAGAAAACGGAACCATGAACCATCTATGAGCAGACCACTTCGAAGAAAAACCATCATGACCCTGTCAGGTCCCCGGCTGGTAGGCCTGGGCGAGCTGTTAGTTCGGATCTTATACGGTCCGGATAGGAGGATAATAGGCACTGCTAGGCTTTGTGGCCTCGGGCATAGGGTAAGAGCTCAGCTTATCAAGCTCAAGGAAGGCCACAACCTTGACATCTGGTTTCAACATGTCTGTACGTTGGGTCAATATCAAGCAATAGCTCCGAATGTGAGTGTCGTCTTACGTGTTCATTGGTCTCAAAGGACCTCATCTCGAGCCCACCTCTCCTTTCTTAAATTTATGAAGCCGAATGGCATGGTTTGATAGCTGATTTTGATCAACTTCCAGGCGATGGGCGGAGCCTATGATATTGGTTGGATCGAAGGATATGACGATACTTCGCCCGGTATCCGCTCCATGTCACAAGATCTCAAGCAAGAAAATACTGTGGCCATATACAACTCTGAAAGAGCGGGGCTGGCGTTTCTCGCTTACCCTCCCGATTCACTCGACTTTCGATGTCTGAGCAATGCACGCAAGGACATCCCCGTTGTGTATCTTCATGTTCATGTTAGAGAATCCCTGGATTCCATTGAGCAACTTCACCATAACACACACGCTCAAAAGTCAACCCCACGACATCCTGAAACCGAGATCGTCGGATCGACCGAGATTGTGAATAGATCCGACCATTTGTCAATGACAGAGGGGTATGAAGAGACCAGAAGGGAGTTTCCAAGGTCCATGAAAGTGGCAGATCAAACCGTGACAGATAACGCTCCAAAACGTCACATGTCCCCCGACCAACACCCTGACCAACACGTAGCAAAGGCTGTTGTGAACGCGCTCAGCCTACCGAATATACTCGAAGACATCACCACCAAACCATCTCTATCAGAACCAGCCGCTTATGAAGCAATGGATATCGATCATGAAGGATCACCACCCGCTCGTAAACAGAAGACAGCTCCCGCTGATGATCCGCCTAATTTGAAGACTGTCTTCAAGACACAATTCAGGACGAATATTGAGACTTTACTCAAGGTGAATGCAGGGTCCAAAACCCAAATAGCGAAGACACTATACCTTATGTACCCGGAAGATCCCCAATATAGTGAAGAATTTCAGCTGTTGGCCGAGTTTCTCAACCAGTACAATCCAGTCATATTTTCGAGCCAGTATGAGGGGGACTGGGAGAAGTTTGCGCGGACTGTCACTATCGGAGTCGTCTTCGTATGTGCCCTGTAGACCTGTTTTACTTCAACTTCACTTCTGGGCTGATTGTTCAATAGTTCCACGCGAGCTTTGCGGCCTTTCACACACTTCCATTCCTTAGGCAGCTCCTCGTCAAATCCTCCGTTGGTTTTTGGAGCGTTTCGTTGGTCAAGCAGCTGCAATCCGCCGACCATCCTACTCACTTTCGACGCATATTTCCCCACGGCTGCGTCATCTTGATGACCGAAGATTTCATGGAGCGTGAGCAGCATGGGACAATCGTCTTGCTGGCCTGGATGAACGATTGGATGAGGAAGAAGATCCCGGGGTATTGGAAGATGATGTTCCGCCCTAATATCCTGAACTGGGTTCTCCAGCAATGCGAAGTCAGCCCACAGGCGGATCAAGAAAAGTGAGTTTTTGAGATCCAATCAATCTGGCCTACCCCCCTCCGTCCAACAGCAGCAGCAGCAGCAGCAGCAGCAGCATCATGCAAGAACTAACTGTTCATCATTCCAAAAACCCAGTTGGTTGACCATGTACCGTTTGATCTCGCAACTCTGCGTCCCCTCCGCCTACGAGGCCCCCTCCGGCCAAATCCTATCCGGCTCCACCGACGAATACTTCGAAAGCAACGTCATCTCCCCGCCCGGACTCCAGGGCTACGGGTCCCGCACCGAGAAAGACAACCCCGATCTCCCCGCGGGCCTGTCGCGCGCGCACCTCGACGCCGACCACCTGATCGAATTCTTCGCCGGATGGGGCCTGGTCAATAGCCACCTCTACCGCCGATTCGTGGTCATCACCAGCCCCAACCTGAAGCTCGCGCGGTGGGCGGACTGGCACCACCATGAGCTGAAACACGGCGCGAGGGACTTCATCGGAACCTTCAAGATCGACTACAAATACTACTGGAACAAGCTGACTGAGAAGCCCGGTTCGCAGGCCGGAGGCAGGGACCTCCACAGCCACCAGGCCGCAACGCCTTACACGCCGCGTACTCCGGGCGGCCTCCGTTCGGCGACCGCTGAACACAAAGGGTCGAGGCTCACTCAAATCCAGAATACGGCTGTGGTTCAGTATAACTATCCCGAGCCTTACCAATGAAGCATCCCAGGATGGGCGTGTGCTGTGTTGATGCTGAAGCCGATCGTGATCGTGATCGTGATCGTTATTTGTGGTCATATCTTTCCGGGAAGCACCATTAATCTGAACAGAATTAACTTGAAAAATGCCCCATTGCATGCAAATATTCAAAAAGGTTCTTGTTACACATCACAGCGTGGAGTTTGTTATCAATACATATGTATCTGAGGAAGCTAGAATACCCTATGAAACTTACAAGCCCATTTCAGTTACACTGTTGAAATATGTTTAAGCATCTGTTGGGTTTCTCGTTTTAAGATCCCCTCCCCACCAGGAGATGGAAAACAGTACAAATGTCATCATGATATTCACAAGAGGATGCATGTTCGCGTATGAGAGATACAAAAAAGTGACTACTATGAGATAAAAACCGTGCAAGCCCTGCTGCCCCAGCGCCAAACGAACCAAAAAAAAGCAAAAGAGCAAAGGCCAATCGCTGCATGTGGAAAACCAACACGGGAGAGGGATATAGGGGATAGAAGATGAGAAATAACGCAGAAAGTTGTAGACCGGGGATTATCAACCTCGCCTCAGAAGCCAGCTGCTCGGTTACGATATTCCTTGAAGTTCGAGATTGCATGCATCTCCGGCGAAGCCTGCGGCTTGGGTTGTTTGTCTTTGGTCTTGACTTTCTTCTCGCGCCGCAGCCTCTCCTCCCATTTGCTTTCCTCGGCTGCGATGAGGGAATGGAAGCGTCCGCCTTGCCCGCGGGACAGATAGATCGGCTTCTCCTTGCGTTCCGCGACCGACTCGGTGACCAGAACGAATTTGACGCTGGAGCCCGGGGTTTCGAACATCGCGTCGCTGAGGATCGTCTCAAGCTCGGTCCGTAGAGCGCGGGCGCCCGTTCCCATGTTAAATGCGTTGGCGGCAACCTTGTGCAATGCGGGCGTGGTGAAGCGGAGCTCGATGCCGGAAAGAGAGAAGAGTGTCGTGTACTGGGCTAGTAGGGAGTTGCGAGGTTCGGTGAGAATGCGGACGAGTAGCGGTACCGTCAACGCTGATAGTGCCGCTGTGACCGGGACCCGACCCACTAACTCCGGAATGAATCCGTAATTTTGCAGGTCTGTTGGGTTCAAAAGATCTAGGGCGTTGAAATAGGCTGGCTCGCCGTTGGGTGATGCGGATGAGGCGGAGTTGAAAAAGGGGAGGTGTTTTTGGTAGAGTGCTTCCTCTTCGGAGCCAGGGAGAATTGGAACCGGCTGGTTGTTCGGCGAGCCTGATTCCCTTGTACGCTCGGATGAGCCTGACTGCGCCCGAACCGGCTGACCGAAGCCGATTGAGCCACGAGCTATCCTATCCATGACAACCTTTTGCAAGCCGACAAAAGCACCTGAGAAGATGAAGAGGATGTTATCGGTACGAACATTGTAGACCTCTCCTTTCTGCGGACTATGCCCGCCTCCAGATGGGGTGAACGGGGAGTTGCCTAGAGGACTGTTCGACGGATATGTGTTCGGGGTGTTGTTGACGCGAGGCGCGCTTCTCTCCTGCTTCGCTTGGACCTGGACGGTTGTACCCTCAATAAGCTTCAGAAGAGCTTGCTGTACTCCTTCGCCACTGACATCTTTGCCGTGGCTGATTTTCGTGGCTGCAAGCTTGTCCACTTCGTCCAGGACAATTATGCCTCGTTCTGCCTGCTCCACATCGTAATTCGCCGCGGCTAAGAGCCGGTGAACGCATACATCCGCATCTTCGCCGATGTAGCCGGCCTGGGTGAACGGAGTGCAATCGGAGATGCTGAATGGGACCGACAAGATCCTTGCTGATGTCTTTGCCATCAACGTTTTTCCAACACCCGATGGTCCCAGTAGTAGAATATTCGACTTCTCTAGCTGCAGTGGCGACGAGTCTGGTGAGTCTTCCAGTTCGACCGGAGCCGTCGTGGGCGCAAGCAGATCCGCTTTTGGAGGGAGAGGCACGGTTCGTTGTTGACCTGGAAATTCATCTGTATGCAAGTTAGGATCTATCGAAAGACCACGATTCCTAGCTAGTAAAGTGACTGCGGTTGGTTTTACTCACCCTCGACCGGGTGGCGCTCAAGGGCCTCCCTGCGTGCGCGCTTGGCCAGTGACTCTGCGTTTTCCTCTTCTCGCCTTTGCAGCTCCTGCACTCGTTGATAATGATTGAACACAGCAACGCTCAATATCCTCTTGGCACGGTCTTGTCCCACTACGAACTGATCTAGATACTGTTTCAAGGATCTCGGCGTGACCCGCGGTGCCCCGAAGGCCGGAGTAGACCCGAGAGGCCCAGCTGTTGGCAACCCTGCCTCATAACTTCCAGTCCATGGCTGACTGGTAAAGTCCGATCGGTCAAACTGAGAAAGTGTGGGATATGTTGCTGAAGAATTTGTGAACCCGCGACAATCGCCTTGGTATTGCGAGTTCGGCGCATGCCGATAGCGGAGGACAGAGTAGCGGTGCACCCTAGGGGAACCACATGCCCGAAGAGGCGACCGCAGCATGACCGTGAGAATGGGACAGGTATAGATGGTATTCTTATATGATCCTCTCCAGATGAACTCGATAAGCTTGAATAGAGGGAATGGGAAAGGGAGAGGTAGGACAGGAGCTCTCGGAGACGTCGCTTCCGATGGTGGCAGGTAAGATACAATCAACCCGACCGATAGCTTTCCCCGCAGCACGTGATGCTTATCAACCGATGCTATCCGCAGATGACGTGGTCCGGATAGTACAGTAGCAATTCTCTGAATAGTGTCTGATTTTTGTTGATATCAAGGGATGTCTGCCGATATAAGTCTTTAGTTTGATTGCCTGAAATGCTGACCTGGGCTACGGATACGCCAGAGCAGATGACAATAGAGTTATCCCATCACATTCCAGACAACGAACTGAAGGAGTAAACCGATGATAAAGAAGGATCTTGGGAATGCATGGAAAATCTCTGATTCTTCGATCATTTAAATAGCCAAATCGAACTCACGTAGGATCTTTGAGTTGATTGAAAAGGGATTTCGAGCACCGAAACAAGTTGCTGCATGGATTCACTTGTCCTTCGCCAGTGTCTTCATGCTCAGTCAACTATGGAGATGCGCCGAGCTGTTATGTATACAGAACATTCAATGCCTGAGCATACGTGTGTCTCATACTTGTCGAACCGCAATGCACGATCTTCAGTGTAAATATGTGGCCATGGCCGCTTGAAATTCCGCATCATTTCGATGCAGACTCTATGGGTGACTTTGAGCAAGATGAGCCAAGAATCGTCATCACGATTTGTTGATAGAACTGCATCGGAAGCCCCTCCACCAGGTAGCTCTCGAGTGCATACTCGCTTTATTCCGAGCGAGATAGATTCTCCGAGCCAGCTGCTACCGAGACGCCTGCGCCTCTAATGTCTTCCTCCATTGATCTCATTGATTCGTCTTGAAGGCCGGTTGTTGTTCCATTGTCTGCGATATAAAGTTTCGCAATGCTGCCCATCTACTGGTTCCTGCATTGGTGTCGGGGGTGGTATTGGCGTTCGACGAAGCAGCCGTCTCCATGCTTGACAGCTGTGCCATGTTCATTGCAAATCTGTCTCGTTCGACCTTCTCTAGTTTCTCTTTGCGCTTCTGGGCACCCTTCTTATGTTTCAAAGTCTTCTGCTTGATAATGTTCACCTGGTTGCTCGAATTGTTCGAGTCTTCCGCGGCTTCGGGCAGGGCATCCGCCAGGGAGTCCAGATTCGTAACGAGTTTTTTCGAGGCACGTCGCCGTTTGTGGTTTTTGTTCGAGCTCTTCTCAATCTTTGAAACGAAGCTGGCATGCTTGATCAAGCGTTTGTCTTTCTTTGTCGTGCGGAACTCATCGAAGAGGCTCGAGTTTGTAGGGAAGGTGCCACTCCCGCTGGCGGGCTTCTTAACAGCATCCTGTTTCTTTGCCGGTCTGACGGGGGCCTATAATAATAATTCGACCTGTCAGGGGGCAATTCTGTGGTTAATAGTGAAGTGGTACGACTGACCATGGCTATTGAATTTATTCTTTTACTGAACTGGAAAAGAGGGGAAAGACTTCAGTCGCATGTGCTCGTGACTATAATGATAATAACTTTTTGCAACTGCCGACTATTTTTTGAGATTAAGCCTCTTGTGGAATAGTGTACCAAATAGTTCCAGCCCCTGCGCTCACCGCCCGGGTTGTTGTCAGTCCCCGACTTCCCCCCCGAATCGGAAGAGCCGTAAAGACCTCTCGGACTTCATTGGCACATGATTAGCGTGGTTCCTTCTAGGCTGGTCGGAGGCAAATCCTCGGTCAGATTCTGTCCAACAAGCCCGTTTCTCGTTGGCCAAACACCTGATACAGATCTCTCGCCGGTGGGGAAGTTCTTACACCACTGCTATACCAAAACTGGGTTGATGTTGTACAAAAATTCCCAGGGAATCTTTTGATCGTCATCTTTTCATCAATACTTTTCTCAAGTCTCCGAGGGCTTTTGTATCTTCAATTGGGAGGGAGGAGATCCACAATTACGGCTATCGAACCCGTCTCTTTATCTTGCTCTTACATCAGGGAGCCACACTGCCACCCACCACACTTCGGCAGGCCAACTTCACTGATCTCATTTGTGACCTTTGCATGTGGATGCAGTCTCCAGTCCACCTTATATCACGCTGGTCTCCTCCACCTTGCTGGAAGACACTTGTGATTCTACCTCGGTCCCAAACACCCCAGCGCCTCCTTCCTACTTTATTACCTCCGAGAGCCTCGCCGCTTTCTGCCCCTTCAAGAAACTTTAATCCCTCATTTTCCCACCCCATTCAGCACTTCTCCTACACACATTCACGGCAGTTTAGTGAATCCCTAGGCAGTCACACGACAATGGGCTCTCTTGGACCTTTTCAGCGCAAGCACAGGGTTGCTGTGATCGGCTCAGGAAACTGGTATGTACACCTACGTGTGTTCTCGTTTTGGCAAGAGTCGGTAAGGGTGAATGGGTGCTAACAAGGCATAAGGGGTACCGCTATCGCCAAAATCGTCGCCGAAAACACTGCTGGAAACCCTGCCATCTTCGAGAAAGATGTTCAGATGTGGGTCTTTGAGGAGAAGGTCGAAATCGCCAAGGACTCACGCCACTACAACGCTTCCTCTCCATTGTGCCAAGGGCCACAGAACCTGACGGACATCATCAACACCGTTCACGAGAACGTGAAATACCTTCCTGGTATCACTCTTCCAGAGAACCTGCACGCTAACCCATCTGTGGTGGATGCTGTCAAAGACAGCACGATCCTTGTCTTCAACCTCCCTCATCAATTTATCATCAAGACTTGCGAACAAATTAAGGGGAAGATCGTGCCTTACGCACGGGGTATTTCCTGCATCAAGGGCGTGGATGTGAACGAAGAAGGAATCAGCCTTTTCTCAGAAACAATTGGCAAAATTCTGGGGATCTATTGCGGTGCGCTTTCAGGTGCCAACATCGCCAGTGAAGTCGCGCAAGAGAAATGGTCCGAGTCGAGTATTGCCTACGACCCCCCACACCTGGATTCCAAGGCTCCTTCGCCCAACCGCTCTCCCTCCGCATCTTCTGAGAATCTTGTTCACTTCGAGCACAAGGATGTATCAGGCCAGCTTTCTCAGGTGAAGCTGCAGGCTCTGCCGTCCGAGTTCCCTCCAGTTGATCATGCTGTTCTCAAATCCCTGTTCCATCGTCCTTATTTCCATATTCGTGTAGTGAATGACGTTGCTGGAGTCTCCCTTGGTGGTGCTTTGAAGAACGTCGTCGCGGTCGCTGCCGGCTGGGTAGTCGGCATGGGCTGGGGCGACAATGCCAAGGCTGCTATCATGCGGGTTGGACTTCTTGAGATGGTCAAATTCGGAGAGAAGTTCTTTGGCGCGACCATCGAGACCCGAACTTTCACTGAGGAGAGTGCAGGCGTCGCCGATCTGATTACCAGCTGCAGCGGTGGCCGTAACTTCCGTTGCGCAAAGCTCAGTGTGGAAAGGAAGCAATCAATTGAAGAAGTCGAAGAGACTGAACTGAACGGCCAGAAGCTCCAGGGCACCTTGACTGCAATTGAAGTCAACAACTTCCTGAAGAAGCAGGGCATGGAGGATGAATTCCCCTTGTTGACTGCTGTTTACCGTGAGTCACCTCTCCCAAGTTCTGACACTTTACACTTCCAGACGACTAACCTTTGGTAGGTGTTCTCACGGGAGCTATGTCGGTGGAAGACATTCCATCATTCATCGAGCGGTAAATGAGACCTGATGACATTTCCCTTTGGCTATGTTTTTGTTGTTAATTCACTGGGACTTGTTTCTTTCAATTATATAATAGAAAGCCGATTACTCCAACATACACGGAAACGAGCGAAGTGACGAGCGTTGGCGCAAACCAGGCTATCTTCAGCGCGCGGTTATAAAGACGGAAGGACACACGCACATACGACATACCCCTTCTTGCTCTCTTTTCTTCCCAGTCACTGTGTTCTCAAATGGATTTATATCCTTTGTTTACTTTCTGGCTTGTGGTTAATTTCTCTTCGTTATTTTTCCATGCACATAGATAGATGACCATAGACCTTTTATAACACTGGCTTGTTCTATATACTTATCTCGAATCGGTGTACGATGCTTCTCAATACAACTGACTATGACTAAATATGAAGCACAGGACAGAGCACTGTACAATGATTCTGTACTGCAGTCTGCCTACAGTCTGCCGAAAAGGAGTTGGGGATTCCGGCGATGACGGAGTCCGGAGTTAGTATCCATCATACGTACAGTACCACGAAGGCCGGCCTAGACTTTTTTTTTACCCGCTCCCGCGCTTCCCCGCTAAGCTACAGTACTGTACGGCTCGCCAACAACAACAACAAACGGTGGCCCATGATCATGATGTCAGGGTTCCCGCGCGGGGAGGAGTCAGCCACGGGGGTTGGGTTCAGGCGCAATCCAGGAACATGAGAGAAACTTGGTCAGGCCTGGATGCGTCTCCAATCATTCCAACTCTTCTCTCCTCTGTTACTTAGTACATTTATTTAAATAACCCCATAAGGCCCACTGCTCGTGCGTGACTGCTCCGATTCCTCATCTTGCAATCGATTTCCCCCATTTGTTCCCCTTCCCTACCTACATACCCATCCTATTCAGTGACATCGGTGGCTCCAGCAGGCGCGTTTCTCCTCTCACCACGGTCTTTACCACAGCAACGCTCTTGTCCGACCGTGATCATCCAAGGTCAATCGGAGGATCGCATACATCTGCTTAGGATCACACAATGTCTTCTCCCAGGCAGGTCTATCTGCTGCCGCTCAAGGATGATGGCTCTCCAGACGTTCCGGGAGGCTACATCTATCTCCCCGCACCTTCCGACCCGTCCTACCTTCTCCGCTTCGTGATCGAGGGGACGAGCTCGATTTGCAGGGAAGGTCAACTTTGGGTGAACATCCCTGAAGATGGTCACCCATTTGATCGGTCTGCTTTCCGCAGCTTCAGGTAAGAAGACAATTGGATTTCTCTTCTGTTGGTGACAGTCCAATTGTTGAGACCCTGGGTAGACTCTCTCCGGACTTCAACAAGAATATTCAAATCGACGTTCCCATCACATCTCCCGGTTCATTTGCCTTCTACGTGACCTTCTCTCCGCTTCCTGAGTTCTCGGTTTCTCAGACTGCAACTCCGGAGCCGACAAGGACTCCAACTTACTACATTGACGTCTCGCCTAAATTGACCCTCCGCGGTCGCGATCTGCCACTCAATGCTCTTTCCATCTACTCAGTCATTTCCAAGTTCTTGGGTAAGTATCCTACAGATTGGGACAAGCATCTTAATGGTATTAGCCAGCGCAATTACAACATGATCCATTTTACTCCTCTGATGAAACGCGGAGACTCCAACTCGCCGTACAGTATATTTGACCAGTTGCAGTTTGACGATGCCGTGTTTCCCAATGGGGAAGCAGACGTTGCTAACTTGGTCACGAAGATGGAGGAGAAGCACGGGCTCTTATCACTGACAGATGTTGTTTGGAATCACACAGCCAACAATAGCAAATGGCTTGAGGAACATCCAGAAGCTGGCTACAGCGTTGAAACTGCACCATGGCTGGAATCTGCCTTGGATCTGGACAATGCCTTGTTGGAAATCGGAGAAAACCTTGCTTCTCTCGGTTTGCCGACTGAATTCAAATCAGTGGACGATCTTGTCGCCGTCATGAATGCAATTCGTGAACAGGTCATCCACAAACTCAAGCTATGGGAGTTCTACGTCGTCAACGTTGCTGCGGATACACAGAAGGTCATTCAGCAATGGCAAACTTCCAAGAGCATCGACATAACGAGCGATGAGTGGTCGCAGCACAAGCTGAAGGACTTCGGCAACTGGACTCTGGAAGAGCAAGCGATCTTCGTCCGTGAAAAAGCTATTCCGACATCAAAGCAACTCCTTGGTCGGTACAGCCGAGCGGTTGAGCCGAAGTTTGGAGCAGCGATACTGACTGTGCTGCTTGGTCCTTCGGATGCCGCAAGTTCGGATACCACTGCGGCCGAGAAAGCTATCTCAAAGTTACTCGATGAGGTGAATCTCCCTTTCTACAAGGAATACGACGCAGATGTTGCAGAGATCATGAACCAGCTCTTCAATCGCATTAAATACCTTCGGATTGACAGTCACGGACCTAAGCTTGGTCCAGTCACGGAGCAGAACCCACTTATCGAGACGTACTTTACGAGGCTGCCGCTAAACGATACCACCAAGAAGCACGATAGCAAGGCTCTGGCTCTCGTCAATAACGGCTGGATTTGGAACGCTGACGCGCTGCGGGACAACGCTGGGCCTTTTTCCAGATCGTATCTCCGTCGAGAAGTCATTGTCTGGGGCGACTGTGTGAAATTGAGATATGGATCCTCTCCTGAAGATAATCCCTTCCTCTGGGAATTCATGACCAAATATACCCGTCTCATGGCTAAGTATTTTTCGGGTTTCCGCATTGACAATTGTCATTCTACGCCGTTGGTAGTGGCAGAATACCTTCTGGACGAGGCACGAAAAGTTCGGCCCAACCTCACAGTTTTCGCAGAACTCTTCACTGGTTCAGAAGAGGCGGATTACATCTTCGTCAAGCGACTTGGTATCAACGCGCTCATTCGCGAGGCAATGCAAGCCTGGAGCACCGGAGAGCTTAGCCGACTTGTGCATCGCCATGGAGGCCGTCCGATTGGAAGCTTCGGGGTTGATCTGCCTTCGTCCGGCAGTAGTCATGCTATAGCTTCATCAGGGATCGACGGTGGGAAGGAGAAGGTTTCTCACATTCGCCCCAATCCTGTGCAGGCTCTCTTCATGGATTGTACTCATGACAACGAAATGCCGGCCCAGAAGAGGACTGCGATAGACACGCTTCCGAATGCAGCTCTAGTAGCTATGTGCGCCTCGGCGATCGGAAGCGTCATTGGATACGATGAGATCTACCCCAAACTTGTCGACCTTGTTCATGAGACTCGTCTGTACTCTTCAAGATTCTCTGAGTCCTCCAAGGTTGACTTGGATTCGCTCGAAGGAGGTATCGGTGGCGTCAAGAAACTCCTCAACGAACTGCATACTATTATGGGTTCGGAAGGCTATGACGAGACTCACATTCATCACGATGGAGAGTACATCACGGTTCATAGGGTACATCCCAAAACGCGGAAAGGAGTTTTCCTAATCGCCCACACGGCGTTCCCAGGGCAAGATAGCAAAGCGATATTGGCACCCACCCGCCTGGTCGGTACTCGAGCAAAGCACATTGGGACGTGGCGGCTGGAGGTTGACTCGAGCGAGAGTACTAGGAAGGAAGTTTCAGAGGACAAGTCCTACTTACGGGGCTTACCCAGCCAAGTTCATGCTATCGAAGGCACAAAGGCCGAACAAGACGGCAACGACACAGTCATCTCAGTTCTGGAGTCGCTTGTTGCCGGATCTATCTCCCTCTATGAAACTTCCATCCCCAGTGCTGAGCATGCGTCTGGGCTTGATGTTCATATTACGGAAGGAGTAGACGAGGCTTTCTCAAACCTGGGCTTGGTTGATCTCAATTTTGTGCTTTATCGCTGTGAAGCAGAGGAGCGAGATTCTAGCAATGGCCAAGACGGGGTATACAGCATTCCAAACCACGGCTCTCTAGTCTATGCAGGTCTCCAGGGTTGGTGGAGTGTACTTGAGAATGTCATCAAGTACAACGAACTAGGTCATCCTCTTTGTGATCACCTGCGCAACGGCCAGTGGGCTCTAGACTTCATTGTTGGAAGACTGGAGAAGGTGGCTAAGACAGAAGGATATTCTGCTTTACACAAGCCTGCAGCCTGGTTGCGGGAGAAGTTTGATGCTGTGCGCAGTTTGCCAAGCTTCCTACTTCCCAGATATTTCGCCATCATAGTTCAAACTGCCTACAACGCAGCGTGGAAGCGCGGCATTCAGCTCCTCGGTGGCAACATACAGAAAGGACAAGAGTTCATCCACCAGCTGAGCATGGTGAGTGTGCAAATGACTGGATTTGTTAATTCTGCATCCCTATGGCCGACAAAGAGGGTGCCTAGTCTTGCAGCTGGCTTGCCGCATTTTGCTGTTGATTGGGCAAGATGCTGGGGTCGAGATGTTTTCATCTCCCTGCGAGGTCTTTTACTTTGCACCAGTCGGTTTGATGATGCCAGGGAGCATATATTCGCATTCGCGAGCGTCCTCAAACACGGAATGATTCCGAATCTACTCAGTAGTGGAAGGCTACCACGGTACAACTCTCGTGATTCAGTCTGGTTCTTTCTTCAGTCTATTCAGGATTACACCCTGATGGCACCGGACGGAATCAAACTCTTGGACGAGAAAGTGCCCAGAAGGTTTCTTCCTTATGACGATACGTGGTTCCCATTCGACGATCCGCGAGCCTACTCGAAGCACTCAACTATATCCGAAGTGATCCAGGAAGTGTTTCAACGACACGCTCGGGGCCTATCATTCCGAGAATACAATGCAGGGCCTGACCTTGACGTACAGATGAAGCCGGAGGGGTTCGAAATTAATGTTCAGGTTGACTGGGATACGGGCCTGATCTTCGGTGGTAGTCAGTTCAACTGTGGAACATGGCAAGACAAGATGGGAGAAAGCGAGAAAGCTAAGAACAAGGGAGTCCCTGGAACGCCGCGTGACGGAGCTGCCATTGAAATCACAGGTCTCGTCTACAGTGCATTGAACTGGGTAGCGAAGCTACATGAGCAGGGACTTTATCAGCACTCTGGGGTTGACCTTGGGGAAGGAAAGTCGGTGACTTTCAAGTCATGGGCGGCAAAGATCAAGGAGAATTTCGAGCGCTGCTACTATATTCCATCAAATCCGGAGGAGGATGCCAGTTACGTTGTTGATCGGAATGTGGTCAACCGGCGTGGAATCTACAAGGATCTCTACAAATCAGGAAAGCCATACGAAGATTACCAGCTTCGTTCGAACTTCCCGATTGCCATGACGGTTGCACCGGATTTGTTTACACCTTCAAAAGCATTGTCGGCCCTGGCACTTGCCGATGAGGTCCTGGTCGGCCCAGTCGGCATGGCTACTCTTGATCCTTCTGACCTCAATTATCGACCAAACTACAACAACTCCGAGGACTCCGAGGATTTCGCTACCTCCAAGGGTAGAAACTATCATCAAGGTCCGGAATGGGTGTGGCAGCGCGGGTTCTTCCTCCGTGCGTTTCTGCACTTTGATCTAGCTCGCAGAGCGACACGCGAGGAGCGAACTGAGGCCTACCAGCAGGTTACTCGACGACTGGAAGGCTGCAAAAAGGCTCTGAGAGAAAGCCCGTGGAGAGGTCTCACGGAACTTTCTAACAAGGACGGTGCATACTGCGCTGACTCGGTGAGCCTCAACAGACTACCCGTTTGAGCAAAATCACGTCACTAACTATAATATCTCTAACAGTCACCCACGCAAGCATGGTCCGCTGGATGCCTGCTTGATCTGTACTATGATGCCTCTCAGTACACTCAGGATGAGTGAGCGCTTTCAATTCATGCCTTGACGGACAAATCAAAGTCATCTACTGGTGGACTGGACATGATTTCTCACTCGATGCAGTAACTGGAACAGGTCACATAACCACTATTTAGCATATCTCTCTTTGCCAGACAGCCATAACTTCACGTATTTTGACTATTAATTGATGTGTAATAATTTTCTTTTAAGTTTCAACGCCGCTTGTATGGCTGCAGCTCGGCTGTACAAAATGAAGTAGACATGCGTCCTACAGTGCTGTAAGCGAGGCATAAAGGTGTGCTGAGTCAGCCAGCTGCACAAGTTTGTGAACGAGGACGGTTTGAGTTTGGGTTCGTTGAGACGCCCATCGAAGTGAAGCGATGCCCGACACGGCGAAGATCGCATTTTAGCGCAGAGATTGCGGTGTAGGTCCCTTGCTTCGAATGTTGCCTGACGTGGGTTTTTTTGGTTCTTCTGCTTTACACTTCGCCTTCGCAACAACCTCGAGGCTGTGACGCTGTGTACTACGTGTAATCTGGCCCCCTGACGTCAGTTGTTTTTAAGCTGCGCATTCCTCTCCGGACAGAAAGAGCTCCGCGTGCCCATATGCATTGATAATCCAAGACATCCGTCAAACGCACCCAAGCGCAGAACACAACCTCACCAGAGTCATGTCGCTCTCGCAATCTGCCGCGGCAGCGATGCTGACCGCGGTTGATGCGCCCATTGAAGTACATGAGCCGAGTTGGGGGGACCAAACGAACCCTCGCGACTTCTTAACTCAGTTTGTCATTAGTATGACTATCGGCCTGGGCGCTTTCCTTGCTTTCTGTGTAAGTACCTGGCTGCCACTTGGAATGCCTTCGTTTCTAACTAGTCAAATTGGCATAGGTTTTGCGACCAAAATGGACCGAGCTCTATGCCGCGCGGAGAAGACAGCGCTGCGCTGCATCCCACTTACCCGAACTCCCTGATAGCTTCTTTGGTTGGATACCTGTGCTGTATCGCATCACTGAAGAGCAGGTGCTCGAGTCGGCGGGCTTAGATGCATTTGTCGTAAGTGCGATGCGTGCTCCCCGTCAGCTTGTTCGTGATCTTGGTGGCTGACAATCCCGATGTCTGATTCAGTTCTTGACCTTCCTCAAATTCGCGATTCGGTTCCTCTCCGGCGTGTTCTTCTTCGCCTTGGTCATCATCCTTCCTATGCATTACAGGAATACCGGTAAATCGGGCGTCCCGGGCTGGGACGACGATGACGAGCCTGTTGACGTTTTTGATGGCGACAAGGATAAGAAGAAGATTATATCGGACCCGAATTACCTGTGGATGTATGTGGTATTCACGTACATCTTTACTGGACTCGCCGTCTACATGCTCGTTCAGGATACAAACAAGGTCATTCGCATCCGGCAGCAATATCTCGGGAGTCAGACAAGCACGACAGATAGGACAATTCGCCTCTCTGGTATTCCTCACGACATGGGGTCGGAGGAAAAGATCAGAGAGTTCATAGAAGGTCTGCAAATTGGAAAAGTGCAAAGCGTTACCTTGTGCAAAGACTGGCGCGAACTGGACCGGCTGATTGATGAGCGGCTCAAGATCCTTCGCAATCTGGAGTGGGCATGGACGAAGCACCTGGGCTATAAACGCGTCAAAGCCAACGCAAATCGATTGCCATTGTTGCAGCAACATGCGCGTGGATCCAGCATCGTTTCGGAGGAGGATAGCGAGCGCATACAGCTTATCTCTGACAGCACGCCAGCCCACGTCCTTGACTATGCTCACAAACGACCGACTACCCGCATCTGGTATGGACCATTCAAGCTGCGCTACCGGAATGTGGATGCTATCGACTATTACGAAGAGAAGCTCCGGAGGATTGATGAGCAGATCCAGCTTGCACGCCAAAAGGAGTACCCACCCACCGAGATTGCATTCGTCACAATGGAGTCTATTGCCGCCTCGCAGATGGTTGTTCAGGCCATCCTTGATCCGCAGCCAATGCAGCTTCTTGCTCGTTTGGCACCAGCTCCTGCCGATGTCGTATGGAAGAACACCTATATCCCTCGCTCGAGACGAATGATGCAATCCTGGTCCATCACAGTTGTCATCGGCTTCCTGACGGTTTTCTGGTCTGTGCTTTTGATTCCTGTGGCGTACTTGCTCGAGTATGAAACTCTTCACAAGGTGTTCCCCCAGCTGGCGGACGCTTTGTCACGGAACCCGCTTGCCAAATCCTTGGTTCAAACTGGTCTTCCCACTTTGGTCCTCTCGCTGTTGACCATCGCGGTGCCGTACCTCTACAGCTGTAAGTCACTGTTTCTTGTCTTCTATCGCTACAGGAACTGATCAGTTACTCAGGGCTGTCGCATCAGCAAGGTATGATGTCTCGCGGTGATATTGAGCTGTCCGTCATTTCGAAGACCTTCTTCTTCTCCTTTTTCAACCTCTTCCTTGTTTTTACCGTGTTCGGGACTGCAACAACATTCTTCGGTTTCTGGGAGAATCTCAGAGATGCATTCAAGGATGCCACCACCATTGCCTTCGCACTGGCCAAAACGCTGGAAAACTTCGCCCCTTTCTACATTAATTTCCTGTGTCTACAGGGAATAGGATTGCTTCCATTCCGTCTTCTGGAATTTGGGAGCGTGGCGATGTATCCCATAAACTTTCTCACGGCGAAGACACCCCGCGACTACGCCGAGCTCAACACGCCTCCCGTGTTCAGTTACGGGTACTCTATCCCACAGACGATTCTCAGCTTAATCATCTGTGTGGTTTATAGTGTATTCCCCAGCTCCTGGTTAATCTGTCTTTTCGGACTGATTTATTTCACCATCGGCAAGTTCATCTACAAGTACCAGCTTCTCTATGCCATGGACCACCAACAGCATTCAACCGGGCGAGCGTGGCCGATGATTTGTAGTCGTGTTTTGATGGGCTTGATCGTCTTTCAACTCGCGATGATTGGCGTCCTGGCATTACGCCGAGCAATCACCCGCTCTCTGCTCATCGTTCCCCTCTTGATGGCAACTGTGTGGTTCAGCTATTTCTTCTCGCGAAACTACGAGCCCCTGATGAAGTTCATCGCGCTGAAGAGTATCGACCGTGAACGTCCTGGTGGAGGAGATATCTCGCCTTCTCCATCGTCGACTTTCTCGCCGCCATCTGGTCTCGAGCGTGATGCGTTCCCGATCCGAATTGGTGGTCAAGAACTGGGGCTTAGACTCAAGAAATATGTGAATCCGAGTCTCATTTTGCCCCTTCATGACGCTTGGCTTCCGGGGCGCAGCACAGCCCCAGGATACCAGCATGATTCCGGTGTCGAGGAGACGCCAAATGTCGCAGCCGAAGAGAGTGTCTAAGGCTTCGCGAGCAATCCCATCTTGGCAGTATGCCTTCCCTTTTTCAATCATGCTTCCCGCACATACAACCTCCCTATACCTTGTTTGTATTTCCACGGCTCGTCTCTCATTCCTCTCCTTGTGGATGACGCTTGATGATCTATGATGCTACGCCCACAATATCTACGAGATAGCCATATTCTCTGACTTTAAAGTTTCATGTTTTTATGTTATGTGTATCAACCGCGCTTATAGACATATTGTTGAATTGTTGAGGCGGTGGGATTTGTCCACAGTTCGTCAGCATGTCTTGCTTTTCTGTACATTGATCTCTCGTTTTATTGATACCAGGAGCTGTTTCCCGTCGAGGGCCATACTAATATGTAACTCTATTTTGTGACATGACTTGATTCAATTGACTACAAAGAGTGTATTTAAGTGTAGGCAGGCGGCTAAGCAATCTTGAAGTAGCCCCTTCCTCATTGAACCTCCCACCAACCACCGAATCACGTATCGTTTTAGGAAAGTACCCAACCCTAGTGTCCCGTCCAGGTGCATATCTCCTCAGACGTCGAAGCGATCCGTGGGAGGTATAGTTATGCAATTTACTTTACGCCCCGAGTACGTCCAATGGTTCATATGACGATTTGGTTTGACTGTCGCTAGACGCAGCCAAGATGTAAGCAGGCCTACACTACCATACTAACTCCCCCCGGATAATACTCAGACTAACACATGTCAACCATGCGCGATCCGCTAGAGGACGTGACTGTATGGGTACTTAGTAGCTACGCGGCACGTCCACATGAACCCTTTCCCCTCTACGCATGATCCCACCCACGGTTCCATCACACCACGACCAAACTTGGAAGGGTATGTCCCAGCTAAGCAGTCCGAATACGGTGAAGAGTGTGATTGTCACGAAGATATCCGCTGTTCTGGTCTCATTGTATACCAGAGACGAGATCGTCGATAAGTCATCTGAGCACTTCCACAAGAGCATCGCCGAGGAACCTTATAATCAAACTGACATTGACCCATCGGTACCTTCCATTGTCTTTTTCCTTGAACTTTCAAGTAGGCCATAGCATTCTAATCAGTTGATTGGGGATAGAAACTTGGACCAAGCCCGAAGCTAGATGACTGTGAAGCGGAATTGCGCCGCAGTCCCAAATGCGAGATTCCCCAAGACGAGCAAACCGTCATAGACCTCGGACTTCAACCGTCTATGAAAATGCCTGATAGTCCGAGCGGTATACCGGTCAACAAGCGTGTGGCAAGGTGTCTCTCCAATACGGTAGATTGGGATGAGGATTTGAGGCCCAGCAACGAGCCAGCCGAAGTGACGGCATACCGGGGAAGCACAGAAGCCACTTCGGTCCCATCACCCTTACCTGGGGATACCTATACCTTCAATGACAGCCACAAACCTCGCAGAGCCACGAGTGCGTCCAAAGGGAAGGCGAAGCGGAAGAAGCTGTCGACAGGAAGACTTTCTACAACAGCCCAGCGGACTGTGTCGAAGAAGACCAACCCGAAAAAACGCGGAGCTCCTGTGTCAGATGAAGCGGGAAAGGGCGAGAAGCTTGGAAACCGGCGAAAGAGGCTGGTTGTGACCCTGCGACATGTTGGTAGCTCCCGTAGTGCCGGCACCCAATCTTCTCGAGCTCTTCTGGGTGATAAAGCGTCTGTTGATGCTGTGTTAAGCTCTGCGGCTACGGACAAGAACCTCGAAACTCTTTTGTCCGACAAGGAGAACATGGACTCAATCCTGTCTATCGTTCAAATTCCGGGAATTGACGGCAGTGACAGGGTAGAGCTCCATCGCTCTGGCCTCCAGGGTGAGAGCGTTGACATTGAAGGCATAACAGCGCCTATAATTCGCAGCCAATCGCTCGAATGCCTTGGAAGGGGACAGGTTCACCCAGTTGAAGGGTCGTTCGCAGCATTATATACGGTTGGTACAATGACAGACAGATCTCTTCACAGCAAGAGTGATGGACTCGAGAACTTGACAAGCAATGACAAGAGTCCTTTCGTACACCCCGAGTCAAGCATGGCATTCATGGAGGACATAAGCTGGAAAGCTCAAGAGATAGGTACCGAGATAATTCATCACGGAGCTATGTCGATCGAGAGTGATCCAGAGGGTATTTCCAGCTCAAAAAGTACATCAGCGTCCATGACATCGGCCGAGACTTCATTGAGAGAGCGTCGTACCCAGTCGAGCTCTCAGGAGAGTCTAAGCGCAGAGGCTGTCAGTATTTCACGCTGTTCTCCTCAAGGGACTCCTAGAAACACAATAGTCGATACCAATGGAAGTCCCCGCCTCTTTTCAGAGAGATATAAGGAACACTACAAGACACAGACACTTGTTCTAGACGACGCGGCATCCTCATCTGATTTCTACAGAGGCCATACGACCGGGAAAGGGCCAGCTTCCTTCGCTAACCGGCTGAAACTATGCGCAGCTAGAGACGACCGGCCGGAAATATCCGGACCTATCCTAAAAACTGCCGTGCATAAAATGCTGTTGGAGACTAGCGAGGTGGGTCAAGCACTCTACGAGCGCGGAATTACGGAAAAGGGTTGCTTGTGCTGACTGCGACGATTGTGCCAAGTCCCTCAACCGCCACATCGAGAGCGAGAACACCACTATAAGCGAGGTGTTTGAGTCATTCCGGAAGAACTGCCATGACATGCTTGACCAGCTATCAGAAGCCCAGGAGGCACGGATTAGATTATGCCAGCAACAGATGGAAGGCATTCGCAAACATCATTCCAAGATCTGCGAGGAACTGGTTCACCGGATGGAAAGAGATGAGCAGCGATTCCAGAAGCTCCTCGACATCACTTAACCTTCTAGATATACTTTCAAGCGATCTTGCATATGGCATCTGACGCCAACAAGAAGTTCACAATGGGAGAGAAGCTTTGATTTTACATATTCAGCTACTTGTGCCAATTAGAGTTGACGAGGGTGAGGTGATTGACAATCTATGAATACCGCATTCATGCCCGCGGCCAACTCAAGTAATGGATTGTTTGTTCCATATTGATGGAGTTCATAGTACATCTAGTTCGGAATGCCAATGCCTCATGAAAGGTATGCCTCAGTACCCGAAATGGTAGGGAGCAGCAATGCCTAGGACGCCTGGTTGCTAGAAGCGCATTTTGTGAGCGATCTTGAGTATTGATTCTCAAGAACGCGCTTCCAAGCAATAGTCTTCCAGCCGTCGCAGGTCGATCGTGTTTGCTTCTAGTCTCAGCTAACCTTGAGAAAAATGGATCAACGATGACAATTTGTAGTAATCGACTACTGAGCTCCATGCAATACAGCTGCAGAACGTGCTCAGCTGGGCTGTGCGTAGTACGTACTTAGTATGTTTCCAGGTGGGCGAGGCATTCCAGGGGCACAGCCAATGGGAAGCACAGTTTTGGGCATTTGTCCTGTCCGCACACCGAAGTCACGTGGATCGACAGATTATGACTCGAATGGAAATGCGCCGCCCGCCGACTTAAGGAGCCGGCCAGAGCGAGTGAACAAGCAGGTTTGACAATTTCTTATAAGAGTCAATTGAACAACAACCTAGTCATTTTTGTGCAATTGATTCTCCTCGCCTTTTTTTCTCCCCATCTTCTTCTTGGTTGCTTTCGTTCAAATCAACCCTATCATCTCCCTCTTCTTCATATAGTCCATCGGGCATACTATCTGCCTATCTCTCTCTATCGCCATCTCTTCCCACCCCGCCGCCGCCCACTATGTCGGTGAGTCACCTGCGGCCACCCACGATGTTTTGGATCCCATGCTCACCATAGCCCATACAGTTCTTCATCGAAAACCCTAATGTCGGAGACAGAACATCGTTGGAAGACTCGAGAAGTATGTGTGCCCCCATTTTCTTCATTTACCATGCCATTGTGACTAACAACTTGCGCTCTTCCACCACAGTTCGAGGATACAACCCCCTCACTCCGCCCAACCTTCTACAACATGAGATCGCCTTGACGGATAAGTCGAGACAAACAGTCCTCGAAGGCCGTGAGGAGGCCACAGCCATCGTTCAAGGCACGGACACTGACCGGCACCGCTTGATGGTCGTCATCGGACCATGCTCGATCCACGACCCGGAGATGGCCCTCGAATACTGCGATCGGCTGTTGAAGTTGAAGGAGAAATACCAGGACGAGTTGCTGATTGTCATGCGCTCTTACCTCGAGAAGCCCCGGACTACTGTCGGCTGGAAGGGTCTGATCAATGACCCCGACATCGACAACAGCTTCAAGATCAACAAGGGCCTGCGCGTCTCTCGCCAGCTCTTCGTCGACCTCACCAACAAGGGCATGCCGATTGCCAGCGAGATGCTCGATACCATCTCCCCACAGTTCCTGGCCGACTGCCTGTCGGTTGGAGCCGTGGGTGCTCGCACCACGGAGTCGCAGGTCCACCGGGAGCTGGCCTCGGGTCTGTCCTTCCCCGTCGGGTTCAAGAACGGCACCGATGGCTCGCTGGGCGTGGCGGTCGATGCCATTGGCTCCGTCAAGCATCCCCATCACTTCCTGTCCGTCACCAAGCCCGGTGTCGCCGCCATCGTCGGCACCGTCGGCAACCCGGATTGCTTCGTCATCCTTCGCGGTGGCACCAAGGGCCCCAACTACGACGCGCAGAGCATCACGGAGGCCAAGGCGAAGCTGGCGGCCCAAGGCCTGCCGCCCCGTCTGATGGTGGACTGCAGCCACGGCAACTCGCAGAAGAACCACAAGAACCAGCCCAAGGTCGCTGCCGTTCTGGCGGAGCAGATCGCTGCGGGAGAGACCGCGATCATGGGCGTGATGATCGAAAGCAACATCAACGAGGGTATGTAGGATTCTTCTCATGTCTGGTTCGTTTGCTAATGCTTTGTTCTGCAGGTAACCAGAAAGTCCCTCCCGAGGGCAAGGCCGGCCTGAAGTACGGTGTCAGTATCACCGACGCCTGCATTCACTGGGAGGATACGGAGCTGGTGCTGGAGAACCTGGCCCAGGCTGTGCGCACTCGCAGAGAGAAATTGACCTCTTCCCAGTGAGCGGCTCGCCGGGTTTTGTTTTGTTCTTCGATATTACTGTAACCAAGGCACGACTATAATCGGATGTGGGGAGCGGGGTAAACACAAAAGTGATCTATGGTTTCTGTTGCATTGGATCTTCTACGCCCTTGCGGCGGGTAATAAGCTAGGTAATGAATATCAATGAATCGTATTCTAAGTAGCTTTTTCACCTAGGCACTCGCCAGGCGGCACCCATGTTCACTACCTCTATGTGTCCTCCGATGCGGACGGAGGTTGGCCGAGGTAAGCTAGTAGTTGTAGTTAGTATCTTAGCCCAATTCCCTATCCTTGAGCTTGACCAAAACAAAAAGCTAACGACAACGACGCGATTTGAACGCGCGCGGGCGAACCCAACAGCTTGCAGTGCTATCAGATAGCATTCGAGGCTGTCGCCTTAACCACTCGGCCACGTTGCCTTGATGAAGACAAGAAGGCGGCGCTTGCAATCATAGCGATAAAAAGGGCCAGGATGCTTACACTGCCTTCATGAAGTATATTCAGGCAAGGTTAAGAATAGAAGCATTCTGAAAGGGGCAGGCAATAGGGCTTTTACGAAGCTGAAGGATAGCCCCGTTGGGCAGACCCCAAAAGGTAAAGAAGACGCGGCAGAGCACCAATTCGAGGTCACATCACTGACTACGTTGTCATTGAGCATTGGCGTAGATCATAGATCGTAGACAAGATTTCTAGCAGTGATCAGTCCGGACAAAGATGGGGAAGCGAGGAGGTATGCCCCAATATGGCACATGATGAGGGAGATCCGATCAGATCTAATCTCCGCACTGAAGGCACCGAGAGCTATGCGGTACCATTACTGCATTCAACTGCGGGATTGCGCAATCCACTACCCGCTGCTTGCTGCTCTATGGTCACAACTAGGGACCATAAGCTTATATCAGAGCCGCATCGTGAGTGATGCTCAAGGTACATGAACAGAATCATCCCAGAACGAAACACGAACACAGCAGCAGCAGCAGTTGCAACTCTCTCATCGACCGGATGTGAGAGGTATTGGTAATCAACCCCGGCAGGTCGAGGATCCGTTCCGATAACCCCGGCTTCGCCGACCAACAACAGTTCCAGTTCCCATATAAACCCCATCATGTTGCTCACAGGCTGCCAGCAAGTCATGTCCATGTTTAACGGGCTTACTGAGGTGGTCTTCCTTCGTTACACCGATTCCATCGATTGAGTTCCAGCGTTATTCCCAGCAAGCGCTCGATTGTACACTACATACAATCGCGGAGTATTCCACGATGGTTCACATAGATGCTTCGGGCATGGGCGATGCACCCCAGCAGCAGCAGCAGCAGCAGCAGCCCAGCTCCCCCATCACCACCAGCATGGCGAACCCCGCCCTCAACAGAGACACCCACCTCGCCGCAAAGCTCGCCGCGCTACAAGCCCACGGCGTCAGCGCGCAATCGCTCCCGGCCTCCGACGAATCCGTCCTCTATCTCGCCTACGGCTCGAACCTGAACTCGCAAACCTTCCTCGGCATGCGGGGCATCCGCCCTCTCTCGCAGACGAACGTCGTCGTCCCCAGTCTGTGGCTCACCTTCGATCTCCCGGGCATACCGTACGCGGAGCCGTGTTTCGCGGCGACGAGATACCGTCGGGGTGCTACTGAGGGCATTGAGGAGAGCAGGTACCGGGATGAGGAGGGCAGCGACACCGACACGGACAACACCTCGACGATGCCCCAGCAGAAGGAAACAGACCCCTCCCTCCCCCTCCTCACCACCACCACCACCACCCACAATTCTCCCACAGGAGGAGAACCAGACTACAGCCCGCGCATGCCGCTCGTCGGCGTCGTCTACGAAGTCACCCTCTCCGACTACGCGCGCATCATCGCCACCGAAGGCGGCGGCCGCGGCTACATCGACACCGTGATCGACTGCTACGCCTTCCCCACGAACTACAACCCCCAAACGGACCCGGTCCCCGAACACCCCGGCACCGTGCCCTTCCAAGCTCACACGTTACTGTCCCCTGGTGCTGCCGCCGCCATCACCACAACCGCAACCACAACCCCAGCACCCAAAACCAAAACTCCCACCCGCCCCAACCCCTTCTACGCCCAGCCCTCAGCGCGCTACCTGGGCCTCATCCGCGCCGGCGCCGCCGAGCACAACCTGCCCCGCGCGTACCGCGCCTATCTGGCCGGCATCCGGCCGTACCGGATCACGACGCTGCGGCAGCGGGCCGGGCATGTCGCGTTCCTGGCGGCGTGGGGGCCCGTGTTGATGGGGCTGATCGGGCTGGGGCGCGCGCTGGCCGGTCCGGATGGGCGGCATCCTGGGTGGTTGGTGCGGGCGCAGGACGCGGTGTTTGGGGCGATGTGGCGGTCGTATGATTCGTTTTTTGTGGGGGTGTTTGGGGATGGGGAGCGGACGGTTGGGGGTGTTGCCGTTGCTGAGGATGAGGACGGGGTGGTGAAAGTAGAAGAGGGGGAGGGGGTTTGTTGATGCTACCCGTTGTTAGAATATAGTCGGTTACTAGCTAGAGGCGGTCACTTGCTAGAGGTAAGGATATGAGGCGTAATGTAATGATGTGGATGGGGTGGGTCTACGCAGGAAAAAGAGGTATTTGTGCTCTAGATACAAGAGTACAGTGCCTGAAAGAACATTCTAGTACATGTCTCAACGCTCACCATACATGCAATCTGAGATAATAAGCTGCTACCTAGCTCCTACCCTTTTTCTACATGTAGCGAGAGAGAGAGAGAGAAGCTTACATCCCACACCAGCCACACCCACACCCACAACCACAACACGCAGAAACTGTCCATACCGAGGATCACGAGATCGAATCAAAACATAAGAAAATTGTGACATTGCGGGGGGGAACCTTCAAAAAAAACAACATTTTCAAAGGAGAATAAATATCTAGGATACAAGATACAGGTGTCCTGTGGAGTAGGTAGGAAAAAACAACACACACACTTCTAACAAAACATAAAGCAGAGAGACAGACCACACCGAATAAATGTCCGTGAAACAGCAAAAGTCTTTGCAGAAAGGAAAGAAAAACAAAACCACATGAGGACGACTCGCAGGTTGTTATGATACAGGCATTTATATCAAAAAAGCTTTCGCCCGTCGCCGGAAATTGTTCTTTGATTTTTCTTTGATCTCCCATTCTGGCAGCCTCCCAATTTCACTTGGTTTTCGGGTGTTTGTCATAAACATCTTCGGATGGAAGTCGTTTCCGCCTTTGCAAGGCCTCTCCTCCTTCTAGCGCCGGGAAACGGGGGGGCTGTACACGATCTTTCTCGTCTTAATCGGGGACCACTTGTAACGCTTGACCCAGACGCTCAGGGCGAAGAGACCGGTCAGAAGGGTGATGGCCTTGACACCCATCTTCTTGCGGTCGTCCATCTCGGGCTCGGCGGCCCAGTTGAGGAACTCCACGACGTCCTTGGCCATCTGGGAGGTGGTGGCGGGGGTGCCGTCCTCGTACTCGACGACACCGTCGAAGAGAACACGACCCATGGCAATACCTGGAATCCAAGTCAGATGAGAACAATCGTCGATCAGATTCCAATCGGATACATACCGGTACCGGGGAAGTAGGGGTTGAAGTTCATGCCCTCACCGAGGACAACACCAGCTGGGGGCTCGTCGGGGTAACCAGTCAACAGACTGAAGATGTAATTGCAGCCACCGTGACGGCCCTTGACGATCAAGCTGAGATCCGGGGGCAGAGCACCACCGTTGGCAGCACGGGCGGCCTCCTCGTTGGGGTAGGGGGCGGGGATGTAGTCGGACAGCTTTCCGGGACGCTTCTCGATCTCACCCTGGTCGTTGGGCTCGGTGTCGTACTCGTACTCTTCGGCCATGGCCTTCATCTCATCGACGGTGTGGAGGACACCGACGAACGAGCGCCAGGGCACACGGGTCAGGGAGTGGCAGCTGGCGCAGACTTCACGGTAGACCTGGAAACCACGGCGGAGACTGTATTTTGATATGAGCACAATTGCCGAGGTTGCGGGAGTCGCCAGTGAGGTCCAGGGTGGGCTTCCTGGTGTCGGGAAAAAAAGGTAAAGAGGTTACTCACGCGGCGTGATCGAATGTCTTGTTCCACTTGGCGTGCTCCCAAGGGTATGCGGTAGCGTGCAGACTGTATTTCGATGCTGTTAGCTTTGTGGTGGTGTGATTGGCCGGGCTGGGACGAGCCATTCGTTCCGGGGTAGCGGAGCTGGTCTGGTCGAAGGCCAATTCAGGATTCTTTCTAGTGTGTTACTCACCCCTCCTCAGCAGGCGTCATGGCGTGAGCCTCTTGGCCATAGAGATAGGCGGCCGATCCGATAGCGACGGCGGTGGCGGCGGAGGCAGTGAGTGTGAGGTTGAAGGGGGAGCTGGCGGATTCGGGACCGGCGGCAGAGGAAGACGCACGCTGTTCAGCAAGTCAGTCAAACGGTCTTGCTGAAGGCTTGGGTGATCGATTGCACGTCGATTGACCTCATGGATTGGGGTCAATGGGCGTCGAAGGTCGGGGAATAGCGTACCGTGGAGGTCTTGCTCAAGGTCTGACGTGCGACACCCCGGAAGGGCACGCTGCGCAAAACAGTACGGCCCAGCATACTGACGATATGTATAACCCTCCGAACGATGGGTAATTAGGACGGCACAATAGCCACAAGAAGGGGTGGGGGGAGGAGGAGGGGAGGGGGGAGACAAGGCTGGAGCGCAGTGGGAGAATGTGCTTTTGGAGGTTCAATTGAAGTCGAGGTTGGTCGAACGGGTCAAGTTTCTCTTGGGCTTGGAATTGCCTAAACCCTCCCGCTGATTGGCTGCTGGCCGGGTGCTAACTGGCTTCGGTGAAAACCGCGACTTTTCGGAACAAACAATTTTCGAGGCCGGAATCACTTGGTCTGATCAACTGCACCGTCACTTCCTCGGACCACTACTCGATTTGATACTCTTCGAGGCATTACAGACTTTCTAATGCTGTCCTTCCTTCTCCCTATACCTCCATGTCCTGGTCTACAGCCCTCAATGGCTGTTGATCCCTCCCCTTATCCCCCTTCACCTTACTGACTTCGGGGTTGCAATCGGCCTGCTCTAATTGGTTAGTCAGTCTTTCCGCCGCAATGCCCTTTCTCAGCGCACGAATGGCCTTGCGAATATCACTTCTTCCTTCCTCGCCATACATCACTAGCGATAGAATGGCTAGTCGACGAACCGTTCGGCCGCTCAGTCCCTACGTTAGAAAGTCACGAGTCAGCGTTGTGTTCACTGAAACTCCACAGACTGCACTGACCAGACTCTCCGACACCGCCTCGGCCAGCAGTGTGGGGACGGCCTCTGGAAACATCGGGTAGTTGACAATCATCTCATCATACGTCGGTAACGTGAGCTGCTCGGCTGGCTCTTCCATGTACGACAAGCTCGCTTGAGGATTGTCCGATTGACTCAGTCTCACCTCAAATGCGGCGCCTTCGATGATACCATTACGACTCATCTCCTCGAGGCAATCTTTGTAGATGCGATAGATCGATCGGCTGGATAAATTTGGTACACATTGCTTGATATCGACGCGGTCGAGAAACGCCGGGTCCTACACAAGGCGACGATGCTTGTCAGCCGCTTCCATACTGTGCTATGGTTGAATGCTTACCAGTGCAGTCAACAAGTTGCTCGTACAGACCACAATCACATTTGGATGGGCCTTGATTTTGTCGAGGCCTGTCAACAGAGCGTTCACGGCTCGAATGGCATCAAATGGCTCGTTGCTACTCAAAGCTCGATCTCTATTGGCAGCGAGCGTCTCGATTTCATCGATAAATACGCAGACGAGCGTTTCGTCCTCCTCTTCAAGCAGCAGATCTATGCGCTCAAACATCTGGTCCACTAATTTCGCTCCCTCGCTGAAGAACTTACTCCCTAGCGCGTGCGCGTTGATCTCGAACATTTTACTCTGGGGATAGTCTTTCCCCAGGCGTATGGCAAGCTTCTGAGCTAGACCGCGACTAGGATACTTTTAGTGTTTGGACTCATGGTCTCGTGCTGGAACGCACCACAAGCTTGTTTTGCCCGTTCCAGGTGGGCCCCATAGGAGAACCAGCTTGTTCCAGTTAATAGTCCATCTGTCGAGCTTGCAGGCAGAGAACGAGACTGGACGTCTGTAATTAGGAAACCGCGGAGCATATGCCTGTGTCGTAGATCACGTACGCATTCTGCTGATAGCAGTAAGGAGCGTTAACTGGATAGGCTCAGCGAAGTGCAAGCTACCAAGCATAGATTAGACCAGCACGCGAGCATGGAACTGGAGATGGGGGTAGAGCTTCCGTACGATTCCCAGAGTCCATTCAGATCTGAGTTGGGCAGGGCCATGACCCTGGCCCTCGTTGAGTTCATACTATTCTCGGTGTGACCATTGAGTGTCTGGGCGAGGTGAGGGTCATCGGACTCCAGTTGCGTATGGAGCTGGTATGCTTGCACATCCAACCTTACCTGATCCAGCGGATATGCTCCGGATTCCATGGTACCACCGGTGCACTCGCAAACGAGCACGGAATCCAGAGCCTGAGCATGGGAGTTGCTTAGCCCATCTGATCAACTATTAACAGTTTTGTCTGGATCTGTTGGCTGCGGATGACTTGCCGAACGAGACGATCTCTTGTCCAAGAGAGAGAACCACGAACTTATCAGTCAGCCACTTGGTGAGTTCGTCTCGGATCTAATCAGGGGTCAGAGGGGGGAAATTGATCCGTTCTTCTGGTTGCGTACTAAGTCCGTGCGGATGATGATGCCGTCGTTGTTGGTCTTGACACGAGCTTCGATGTGGAGAACTGGCTGGTGCACATCCATTGTACGCGAGATGCAGCTGGTAGAGCCCATCTTCAGCTCAAGATTCCGTATGACTGGCGACACATGTAGCACCATTCATTGATGGGCGGATATGAAGTACAGTAGACATGAGATGCTAGTGGTCAGGAAGTCGACGAAAAGAGCAGGTACCTCGACATGCCATGTGGCCTGGGGCACCTTCTGGATCCGCTTTTCGAAAGCATCAATGTCATTTCATAGTTGCCTTACAATCACTATCATTTTAACCTCAATGTTTAGGAGCACGGGTCTCAAGAACCGAAGGTTACTAGAAGCCTGAGTGGAAGCTGGCCCTTTCCTGTGCGAAACCCCTCCACCAAATATATCTACATCCTTGAGGTTTCGGGAACCACGAATGGATCATAATTGATGGGAAGTACTTCACTGTGTATGATTCCATTGTCCAGATCTAGAATAAACATTCACTGATTGGTTTGAGCTAGCTTAGGTCACTATCTCTAAGTGATGCCATTTATCCACGTCGTTGGTTGTTGATGTTGGTAAAGCATGATCGAACCGGCGGCTTGGGCCGGAAGGGAAAAACATCCGGCTGATCCATTCCCATAGCCCGTTTTCTGGGGTTGGCGGTTGACACGGACCGTTGAGGAGTGCCAATAGGTGCTCACAACCTCTTTATTTGATACAAAGCAGATTTCCTTTTCACATGTGCAGCTGTACAGGTGCCTTATCAACATTATGATACCAGGATACCGTGGATTCGAGCTCAAGCTTATCGTGACCTGAATTTGGGGCCGCCCCGCGGAGCGAACTACTTACTACTAGTAGTTTCCTGGTGGGCACCGCCCACTGGGACCCTGACCGACTTGCCCGGCCGGACTTCAGCTGCGCCGGTGCTCACTGAACCACAATTCATATCTCGATGCCAAATCGCAGTTGATCAAGATGCAGAACGCCAGGAATGGGCCAGGGAACAAACAGAAGCCTCGCAGAGATGTTTTGGCTTCACTCAGAATGGCCTCCATGGAGGAGATCTCCAGGGCGGCCCTTCCAGCAGGTATGTTCCATAAACTGCGGCTTGGGCCAGAATCTAAGGAAGGTTGCTTGGGATTCTAATGTTGACCGATCGCGACCCAGAGATCATGTCGTCCATCCTTGATTATCTCTCCCCTGTCGACCTCATCCGAGTCGCTCGGTCATCGAAACTCTTGCGCGAAATGGCATACGATGACACTAGATGGGTGCAGAAGCTGAAACAAATTGGGTGCTGGGATGAGTTGGAGGCTCGCAAACATGTCGAAGACACCTTTGGAACCATAGCCGACATGAAAACCATCGAGCACAAAGAGGCGGTGGATCTCCAAGAAGCAGTTGATGCGACTCAGCGCAAACCTGACCACGCTTTGGGTTCGCTCGCCGATGGCTTCGACCAAATACAACTGTCTACCCCTGCTGCTACCAATGTCAAAGATAGTTCGGAGGACGATCCCGTCTTGGGCGTGTTGAGACAGGTCAAATCAGTGCGCGGAGAAGCTCGTCAAGAGTATGGAAAGATACACGCGGCGCTGGCACCGTATTACAATGACATCGTTATCTCAGGAGCTTCGGCCGACAGTCTGCTGTTTCGAGACTACAGCAATCCGCAACACCAGGCACAAATACTCTCTCAGTTGCAGGCGTTCTCCAACAGTGATTGTACTGACGGTTGGCATGAACGAACCCAACAGCTGCAGTCAGCTGTGTCGGCCTTCGAAACAAACGCGGTCAAAGAGTTTCGACACGGCTACGAGACTGAAGACATTGAAAACAGAATGCGGGAATATGCCCACGTGTTATATACGTTGAACGGTGGTGGCGCAGCCATCGAGCTCTTCATCCACCACAACCACCTGGTTACGCGCAAATCGGATTTTGGAAGTGTGACCGACTGTCTCGACACTTTCGCAGGAAGTGTCAAGTTGGAACATACCCAGGCTTTCTTTACCCGGATGAGTGTCGCCTACAACGAGGAGGTCTCGATTATCAACCGTGCTTTCCCCCCGCAATTACAGGTCGGCACGCCATTTGTCGAAAAAGTCGGACAAGATGTACTATTCCCATACTTGACAGCCATCTTTGACGAATTACATCGCACAAATATTGAGTCTTACCTCACAGCGGTATCGGGAACATTCGCACAATGTCTCAATCTATCGGATACACTGCTGCCCATTCAAAATTCACCCGATACATTCGACGAGTTCTTGCAGCACGTTATTGCGAAAACATACGAACCTCACTTGGATTTGTATTTTGCAGAAGAATTAGACCATTTCCGGAAAAAGTCCGAAGCAGCGGTGGGGGAATGGGATCGGCAACTTTCAGAGCAGGCTGCATCAACCGAGCTGTTTCTGATGTCCAACGTCAACCGACAGGCTGACAAACGGGACTTTCTGACCTCGTTCAAAAAAGTGATTATGGCGCCTGTTAATATCCTCCCCAGCTTTTCAGGGAGCAAGACAACAGAAACCAAGTCGACGCCAGATCCCTCTCCTGATGATACGTCATCCTTGAAGAGCCCAAACCGATTTTCCACGATCGGTTCACCTGCCACACCTCCAGTGACGGAAGCACCGACCACAGAACTTGCAGCAAAGGCTGCGGTAATGAAATCCAAGCTAGAAGGTATTCGATCTCTGTTCAGCATTGAGATCGCTTTGAGCCTTGTGCACGCTGCGAAAAGCAGCCTAGAACGAGCTGCGCAGTTTGTCAACGTGGGAGGCGAATATGGAAGTGCAGCCAAACAGCAGTGCGAGGCCATTTTTGTAACTTTAGTGCGCATTCTTGGGCACCGCCATCTGATCGGCGGCTTTGACAAGGCTGTTAGCCATTTATCCAATTATCGGCCCCGCGAACAGGGAGAACGGGATCAGTCCGGGGTTGAGCCGTTGGTAACTTTTCTGGAGTTGGTTAATGTTGGCGATCTTATCTTGCAGATGATCGATGTTTTCTACGAGCAGGAGCTTGTTGGCGCTAAGTTAACCGACCGGAACGACTTCCTCGACCCGGCCGTAAAGGAAAAGAAAAAGTTCGAGCAGAACCTCGATGAGCGGGTGGCTGCTGGACTGAACAAAGGCATTGACGTGCTCATGGAGGAAGTGGATTATATCCTCGCGACACGACAGTTAGCGACAGACTTCAACCCCAGTGTTTCCCAGGATCCGTACCGAAAGACCATGGATGTGAGCATCACTGAGGCGGCGGCTGCCGTGGTAGATGTGGTATCTTCGCATACTCAGATGCTTGTGGGCAGCACAGACAAGAGCATGCTGGATGTCTTCAATCAGGAGGTAGGACTACGCCTTTTTGCCGCCTTGTGCAAGCACCTCAAGCGACAGCGGATCAGCATCGAGGGATCTTTGAAGCTTATCAGGTAAGCGCTCTCACCTGTTTCACACTACATGATTGAACCCAGCTAACAACCTCTCAAGCGACATGACCCACTATTTCAAATTCATTCAAGGGTTCAAGAATCAGGACCTCCTGATCTATTTCAAGGCGTTACGGGAATTGTCGCAAATATACCTGATTGACTCGTCCGATGCCAAAGAGTTAGCCACGATCATTGCTGATGCGGATCGGTTCTATGGGATCTGGCGGGTGGAGGAAGTGTACGAATTCGCCGAGCGACGAGCAGACTGGCTGCTAGTCAAGCGGGATGTGGAACGAGCCATGTATGGCATTGGATGTAGTGTTATGTGAACCATGAATATACCATGTATATAGAGAGCTATGAATACCCCTCGACAGAACTTGGAGCGCATTTCGAGACGTAATTTGGGTCGTCAGGTAGCATCCGGGACGGTCCGAAGGGTCGATCCTCTATTCTAGATCTACACTTAAGTCATAGACCCTGCTTCTTCGAGGCGCCGTTGCATCATGCAGTCATAATATATCGGAATATCCAGAGAGTCTCTCCGTTTCAGGATGTCTTGGTGGTCTGGGTCTGCCAGCCCGTCACAGACCCTGTTTTTGAACTGTAAACAGTGAGCAAACGGACAATTGGTGGACTGGCATCTGGGCCTGCATCCTCTCACCCCGGTTCTATTCTTCCTTTCTTTCTCTCTTTCTCTCAATGCTGCCCTTTCCCCATCCCATCGGAACGACCTAACGATAACACCATGACAGTTATCTGAATGATAACCGACCACCAAGATGCCCACCAACAACCTACTACCACCGACAACAACATCAGCCACCACCACCACCACCCTTCTCCTCCGCTGGCTCTCCATCACCATCCTCCTCCTCCTCGCAATCCTAAGCGCCGCCGAAGCAGCCCTCGCCCCCCAGCAGCAAACGACGACCATCATCGTCGTCACGGTGACAGCTACCACCGTCGCAACGCCCACCGTCCCCCACCCGGCCTCCTACACCTCGCTCGACCTCTTCGAGAACACCATCCTCAGCGTCACCAACACCTACCGCCAAGCCCACAACGCCAGCAACCTCATCTGGAACAAGAGCCTCGCCGAATATGCCAAGAAATGGGCCGAAGGGTGTAGATGGGCGCATTCGGTGAGTTCGGTTTTCTGTGCAGCTTTCCTTCGCTCTTCGCCACCACTGTTCGTTTCCTCAACCCCATCCCACACGCAGCCCGGACCCAGATACCCCGAGAGTCCTCCCCCCGAGCATATACGCCAATTTGTTGACTAAAGGGTGAAGCACGGCCCTCACGGCGAGAACCTCGCCTTCGGGTTCCCGAACGCGACGACCGCCGTGGCCGCGTGGGGCGACGAGGGCCTGCGCTACAACTTCCGGGACCCGACGGGGTTCACCGAGGAGACGGGCCATTTCACGCAGCTGGTGTGGCGGGCGACGACGGAGGTGGGCTGCGCGGCCGTGGACTGCGGCGTGGATGTGAATGATGGGAAGAGCTCGCAGGGGACGAAGAATGGGGATCCCAGTAAGAATGGTGGCGAGGGGATTAATGGGATCCAGCGGCCGCAGGGCTGGTACGTGGTGTGCGAGTATGCGCCCCCCGGGAACGTGCTGGGCGGCAATGAGAAACTGGGCGATAAGGCGTTCTTTCGCATCAATGTGCAGGCGGCGAGTACGTATTCCGGGCCGTGGCAGACTGGTGGGAATAATAATGGGGGGAGTAGGACTTCGGTGGCGTCGGGAACGTCGGGGGCTGCTCCAGCTGCTGGTGCGATTTTGGGGGGCAAGGGTTGGACGTTGGTTGCGTATGGGCTTGCTGTTCTGGGGTCGGGGGATATGGGTCAGTGGGTGTGGGATTATCTGGATGTTTAGTTTATTGTTTGATAGTTCTGGTGCAGGGCCAAAAGGAAGCACGTAATCACTTAATCATAGTTGCAAGAACTGCTTTGAGTTTCATCATTGTCTGTCATCTCTCATACTACCGAACGTCACGCATATCATTTAGTCTCCCCCACACGCTTGGGGATAAAGTGAAATATGCAATACAGATCTATTCGCTTTTTTTTTCTTTGGGTTTCGATGTTCCAGCAAAAGGTCTGCTCCCCACTGCTTTTGCAAGCTGGAACCGAGCCAAGGGGCGTATCATGGAAGGAAGCTCACAGGAAGAAAATGTGAAAACTTCGAAGAGAGAGGGAGAGGTAGAGGGAGGAAAAAAATAGGAGGATATCGACAGACAAGATGCAGGAATGGAGAAAAGAGAAAAAATGGGCAATGGGATGGAAATGGAACACATTAAATACGGCAAAAAAAGGAACCCCAATCAACCAATGATCTCCTCGCTCTCCTCGACGATCTCCTCGACAATCTCCTCGACAACGGTGTCGCCCTGTTCGCTGGAGACCGCGGATGCATCCTTGGCCAGCTTGGGAGTATCGGCCTCCTCGGAGAGGCCGTAGGCCTCGCGCTCTTCGGCCAAGAGCTCCTTCTCCCGACGCATCCAGGCAACCCACTCGTTGAGAACGCGCTTGCGCGTCTCCACCACCGCGGTGTTGGCAATGTCGACAGCGTACTTGTCCTCCTCGTCGAACTCCTTGGAGTATTCGCGCAGGTTCTTGCGCACCTGCTTCTGCTCCTCCTTGCTGAGAAGAGTAGGGGGGCGAGGGCGCCAGACGAACTGCTTGAACTTTTCGGTCGGGTTCTCGGAGAGGGTCTGACCGGCGAAAGTGTGGATGTTCCAGCCGTTTTCCATCTACAGGTACAGGTTAGCGATGGTGTCTCAGCGAGTGGGAAGGCTTTGAAATTCAAATATGAACGTACCGAGTGGGTCCACACACTAGCACTGGTGACAACGTAACGACCGGTGGGATCCCAGTCAATGTCCGTAACACCGTAGTGCTCGACCGTCTTCATCAGCTGCAGATTGGCGGCCAAATCCTTCTCACCCTCGGGCTTCTCACCCTCGAAATCCATATCCCAGAAGTCGATGTCGAAGCTCGATTGAGAGTGAACCGTGGCAACGACAACGAAGCGACCCTTGGGCGACCAGTAGATGGCGTTGCTCGTCTTCTTCTCAATGGTGCGCACAAGCTTGAAGTTACCGGCAGAAACACCCTTCTTCTCGGGGGCGAAGAAGGAAACTGCCGTCTTGGGGGGAGCGCCAGCACCGCCGGCAGCCTCACCGTTCGTGATCAGGACGAAACGTCCTCCATTCGGCTCCCAGGCGAAGTTGATCACGGTATCCTTGAGACTGTCAACAACCTCGACCGGAACACCCTTCTCACGGATGCGGAAAATCTCCAGGTTGGTGGCCATGGATTTCTTGGACTTGGAGTGACGATCCACCTTCACACAGACGTAGGTACCTTGTGATTGCCAGTGCAGCTTGACATCGGAGACGTTGAAAAGGTTACGGGTACGAACGATTTCTTTCGAGGGAACGCTCATCAGGGCGACACGAGCGGGGTTGCTGCCGATTTCGGGAGTCCAAAAGCAGAGCAGCTGTTCGTATTGCTTCACGCCCTCGCGGGTAACAGTGGCGGGGGACCATTCGAAGTCCATAACACCATCGATCTTGACGGAGGTCTTGCCCAGCAAGTTCATCCGGGGAAGTTCGTAGATGGAGATCGACTGGGATTGCTGCATTCTCGCAACGTACTTCTCATCAGCAGACCACTTGAAAGCGGGCCACTGAACCTTCTTCTTGGGCTGGGCATCACCCTCGGCACCAGGGCCAGCGGCGAGATCGTTGGAAACGAACGAACGCAGGGGCTTTCCGGTAACGATATCCCAGATGATGATGTTCTTTCCTTCTTCCTCGTAGGTCAAAACAGGGTGACCCTCCTCAACCTGAATGGGGCGCGCGGACCAGGTGGTGATGTAGTTCTCACCGGGCGAGAACTCAACCAACTGCACAAACGGGTGAGGGAACTGCTTTTGCTTCGAGAAAGCCGGGCCACCCCAGAGTTGAATGCCCTGAGGGTGGACAGAGGCGAGGTAGGTACCCTTGGGGGACCACTGGACGAACAGCTGCGTCCAGTGGGCACGATCGACAACATTCTCGGGCGGGTGGTTCTTGTTGTTCCAGAAAACGCCGACCTTGTCGCCACGGTAGAGGGCGAACTGGTCGCGAGCATTGGGGTCGGCGAGCCACGAGCGGAGGTGCTCCTTCTCCTTAAAGGGTTCGATAGTGGGGGGCTTGTATTCCTCGTCGACACGTCCTTCACGACCGTAGCGGTCGATATCCATCAATTTGTTGACAGCGAGAGTGTGCTTCTTGTCGAGGGGGACACCGTGCAGGGCCTTCACGGCAGCGACGGCTTGTTCGGGAGTCTCATATTCGACGAAGGCGAAACTACGACCCAACGTTAATTTTTCCCTGCAGTTCCAGCCCGAGTTCCTAGTACATACCCTTCGGACATGTTCTTGTCGTTGATGGGCATGAAAACAGCATCTTCGGAGGTGTTGCCGGCGGTGGTGAGCTTCCTCAACAAGAACTTAATGAGCTTCTGCCTGCTCTCCTCGGGCACGATCGGAAGCCCATCGATGACAACAAATGTATCCAAACCCTCATCAAGCTTCACTTCGAATTGTTCCTTCAGGTCTGCGAGACCAAAAACCGATCGCGGTTAGTGACGAGGGACGAGGGGCACGGGCAATAGGACAGGACAGGACAAAGAACGCGAGTCGGGTCGCACTCACCGGAGAAGTCAATCTCCTCCTCCTCCTCTTCGTGGAGGTCCTGCTCGGAGAGGGTGTCGAAACTGGGCGCCATATTTGCACTCACAGCGGACGGCGATAAAGAGGGGGGAGGGGAACGGGGTGGAGAGCGTTGATACGGAGGAGGAAAGATCCTGTTCTGGATTTTCTGCTGGTCGACCCCGTTTTGGCTGATTTTAGGGCAAAAAGAGCAAATCCCAAACCGCAAGCGCTTCTGTGTGCGAAGCAGCTGAGTCAGCTATAGATCAGGTGATTGTGAGTCACCTGACTTGGTGTGGCTGGGCGGGAACTCGAAAGGAAAGGAGAAGGAGTGGGGGAAGTCGGGGACTAGTGTCATGCACGTGATCTGGATTAACTAAGCCGTGTCCCCCAGCTTCTCGACCGGCTGATGATGATTGTCACTCTAACCGACCCGACCTGTACATCGGCTTGGCCTGGACATCATAACAATCGCGATCCCACGTATCGTCCCCCTCCCCGCCTCGTCTTCCGTCTTGCTCGTGTGGGTGAGAGCTGTTGGTAGTCCTGGACCGGCCATCTTCCAGTCATTATCTCTTTTCCTCGTTGTTCGTTGCACAATCCCTCGTCTTGCATCGCATCCTCCGGGCATTTCTCTATCGTTCTCCCTCTTATGCCCCGCCGGTCCTAAGCGCCAGCGCTACGCCCAGATCTAGACGCTTCCTCCTCCCAGAGCACCACCACCCGCGCCCTAGACCCTGCCATTTGCTGCCATATTAGCCTCCGTTCAGCTTCTGGCCAGCAATTGGCATCTTTTCGAGTCTTCGTTCACATTTGTTTTGGAACTAACGCGGATAGCGAAGCCACTGGAACAAAATGTCGCGTAAGTTCGGAGTCCGATGTACCCGGGTCATGCAGCAGTGCCGAGATCGCTCTCAACTGACATCACCTTATTTTTGCGCCAGTCTCACCAGAAGCTCGTGTTCAGTTCACTCCGATCATTGATTCGATCTTAGCAAAAAGCGACTTGAATACTATCTCCGAGAAGCGCATTCGCAAAGGCCTTCAGGAAGAGATCGGATATGACCTTACCCCGCAAAAGGTCAGCTCCCCGGACTTGGACTCTCCTCGCGACACCCTGCTTTTTATACTGCCAGCGTCAGCGTATCATACTGCTAACCTCGTTTTTGTATTCAGGCTGCCGTCAAGCAGCTTATCATGGAGCGTTTCGACATCTTCGCGGCCAAAGGGGGCATTGTAGCTGCACCCGAGCCGGCTGTGACTGCTGTCCCAACTACCAATGGCCATGGTCCCAGCCATGGCTCCGAAACTCCCCCTCCGGAACCATCGTCTCCTGCACAGTCCTCAATCTCTCACAAACGCCAAGCGGATAGTGAGGATAATTCGGACCTTTCGAGCAAGACGCCCCCGGCAAAGAAGAAGAAGCCGGACAATGACATTGATGCGGATGCCCTTTACGCTGCAAAGCTACAGGCCGAGGAGAATATGCGCGCTCGTCAAACCCGTGGGGGCAATGCGCGCAGAGCTCCTCCCGTGAAGAAGAAGACCAAGGCGAAGACATCTAAGAAGGTCAAGGCGGAAGATGATTCTGATGTTGAGTCGGGTTCAGAATCGGGGAAGAAAATCAACCGGTCAGGCGGTTTTCATGTGAGCTTCAGATTACTCTCTCAAGTCTAATATATTCGCTAACACTACCTCAGAAACCCCTCACTCTTTCACCAGCGCTTTCCGCTCTGTTGGGTGGCGAGGTTACTGTCTGTTTACCCCTTGTCTGTTATGTTTTTTTCTCATCCTCTGGCGTTGTTGCTGACTAGACCACAGCTCTCTCGTCCGCAGACAGTCAAGCGACTCTGGCAGTATATTCACGAGCATGATCTTCAAGACCCTAGTGATAGGCGACAGATCTGCTGCGACGACGCCATGCGCGCAGTCTTCAAACAAGACCGTATACATATGTTTACCATGACCAAAATCCTGAGTCAAAACTTATATAGCCCCGACGAATGACCTGTTGCCGTTGATCGAGAATTACGGTGACCGGTTGCCTTCAGGACAGGGCAGCCTGCGGCGAATATGTTGCTGCACTTTACGACTATCTTATTTCCACTCATTGCACCGCATAAGGAGACCCGGCGCTACATTGCTTTGTTTCTTATTTATTCTCTCATTGCCCTCTCATAGTGTCTCATCCCTGGCATTTCCCCTTCTCTTGGTTTTATTTACTGATATTGTCATTGGCGAGATGCTTGCCTCATGTTTCCTTTTGTTGATTTGATAGTTTCTCTCCAGCGGGAGTTGGTGCTGCCTTTGAACTAGGCGCGATGGATAATTCTATTTAGAGATCATATATGATTCTGATGGTGGGCTCGTATAGCCTGTCGCCTTACAGCGTAGGCATTAGTGATGAATGCCAGAAATCCAACTGAGTGTGCATAAGCAATTGGATCGCCTTCCCCCTCACATCGAAGAGTGGTAGGCCATGGGGCAGTTTGGGGAGAAGATAAGACACAACCTCGACTCGGCTTTTATTTGAATGTTGTTGATGAGTTATCATGACTCGAGATGAGTCATAGCATGAGCTGGGCCAGTTTGCATACTCGGTAGTCAGTCTCAGTGAATTAAGGAGGGGAAAGGGGGGGAAGGAGGGGGATGTCATCGATGATGCTTATTTGCTCACTAAGCATGCCGCAAACCCGAACTTTTTGCCCGCCGCCGCTTGCACTGGAAAGCTGGTCATTAGCAGCAACCCCTCCGTCGCAATAAACGCTTGGTCGCAAAGGCTCCAGGGAGCCAGAGCTCTTCTCGTCACTCAGAGTTCCTGTTAATCTTCGATCTCTTCAACTGGCTTCGCCAATTTCATCCACTAGTTCTCCAACACCTCCTGATGTCTGAGACTCAACCTGCCCAGGCCCCCTCCGGACCGCAAGGCTCAAACCGAGGCGGCCGTCGGCGCGGACGAGGGGGTGGATTCGGAGCTGCTCGCCAACCTGGACAGGCGGAAGTTTCGCAACAAACCAACGACGGTCCAGGAAGAGGATCAAGATCCAGAGGTCATGGACCCCGCCGCGGCGGCGGCGGCGGGGGAGGTCGCGACAAACAGAAGTCCGCCGCGAACACGATTGATGCCAAATCCACAACCACAACCACACCTGAGAGTAATAAAGGAAAGCAGGCGGTCGCAGAGGACTCCGACGACGCGGATGATGGGGAGCTTTGCTTCATCTGTGCGTCGAAGGTTGAGCATACTTCCGTCTCACCTTGCAACCACCGGACCTGTCATATCTGCGCGTTGCGGTTGAGAGCATTGTATAAGAACAAAGCTTGTGCACACTGTCGGGTATGTGCTTCTGCTTTGCCCCCATGCCGTTATTTGGCCATGCGCTAACGATTGTGCTGCGGCAGACGGAATCCAGCTTTGTGATCTTCACAGATGACCATGCCAAGCGCTTCGAGGACCTCACAGAAGCAGATTTCTCCCAGAAGGATGACAACCTTGGAATCAAGTATGAGAGTGGCGAGATCTTCGAGGACACTGTTTTATTACTGCGGTACAATTGTCCTGAAAGGAGCTGTGATGTCGCCTGTTTGGGATGGCCTGACCTGCATCGCCATGTTAAGACCAAGCATGGCAGAGTGATGTGGTGAGTACCTTAGCTCTCGAGTGAACATTTGTGCATTGACTTACAAATATTTCTACCTCTAGTGATCTTTGCACACGAAACAAGAAGGTTTTTACTCACGAGCATGAGCTCTTCACTAACCAGGAATTGCGCCGACACGAGAGACATGGAGACGATGTTCCTGGTGCGATTGACCAAAGTGGATTCAAAGGACACCCAGAGTGTGGTTTCTGTCGACAGCGTTTCTACGGCGATGACGAACTCTACGCTCACTGTCGTGACCGTCATGAGCGGTGCCACATCTGCGATCGACAGTCAAGCAACCGTCAACAACAGTACTACATTGACTACAACGCGCTAGAGGACCACTTCCAAAAAGATCATTTTCTCTGCTTGGATCAGGAGTGCTTGGAGAAGAAGTTCGTCGTCTTCGAATCTCAGATGGATCTTAAAGCACACCAGCTGGAAAACCATCCCAACGGGCTCTCGAAGGATGCAAGACGTGACGCCCGTACGGTCGACCTCTCCACATTTGACTACAGAGCTCCCTACCAGCCTCAACGACAACGCCGTGGTGCAGGTCGCGGACGCGATCCCAACTCAGAGCCTCTGCCTGTCTCGAGCGCACAGCCCCTAAGACGAGACGAGATTGCCTATCAACGACAGATGGCCATTCAAAGTGCACAATCTGTTTCCACCCGGAGTTTTGGCGGCCAGCTCACCCGCAGCGACACTCAACCCGTGCGCGCCCCCGCTCGATCCGCGGCTGCCACGCCTGTGCAGACGCCTCCAGCCGCTTCCACTCCGGTGGCTGAAATGAGCGATCTCAGTCTGAACGCAGATGCGGGCCCCGTCTCCCCTCAGGAACAAGCACGCCGCCTGCGCCATGCTGCCGTCGTAGAACGCGCCTCGAATCTGCTCGGTAATGATAAGAACAAACTCAACGAATTCCGCAGCAGAGTTTCCAGCTATCGCACTTCCTCCATCTCGGCCACCGAGCTAATCGACGCCTTTTTCTCCCTCTTTGACACCGCCAGCACCGAGCTCGGTAAACTGATCAAAGAGCTCGCAGAGATCTACGAGGATGACAACCAGCGCAATGCATTGCTGAAGTCCTGGAATGACTGGCGTGCGATCAACGAAGACTACCCTGCCCTTCCCGGCCCTGGCGGCACTATCCCCGGCATGTCGCCAGGAACCGTCAACGGCAGCGGCGTGGGAGGCAAGCGTGTCCTGCGTCTCAAATCCTCCACTGCTCAGTCCTCCCGATCCGCCGTCGGCAGGAGTGGTGCCATGCCCTCCGCATCCTCTTCGACCAGTGCTTTCCCTCCCCTTTCCTCTGCGACTGCTCGCTCTGCCCCACGATCCACGCCAGCTTCATCCACCCCGTGGGCAAGCTCAGCAGCAGCACCCACTTCAGGTTCCGCCGCCCCCTCACCCTCCATCACCCCCCGCACCTACTCCACTCGCTCCGCCGCTCCCGCCACCTCCCGGCCGGCCCAGACAAACAGTGTCGACGCCTTCCCTGCTCTCCCCGCAGCGGCCAAACCCAACGTCCTCATGGCAGGTCTCACCCGCGGCACCGTCCGCTGGGATAACCGCGCACCGCAGGTGAACGCCTGGAGCTCCTCGTCACGGAACGACTCCGGCGCCAACTCCACTGCGGAGGACGAGGACTTCCCTGCCGTCGGAGGGAAAAAGGGCAAAGGCAAAAAGGGCAAACAGACCTTGTTCCATTTCGGTTAACTGAGGGAGGGAATTTCCGTCTTTCCCCGAAATCTGATACCACAAGCAGTATCTATTTACATAGACGATTTACACCCACGAGCTCTGTAACCCCCTCCACCTCTTCTGAAGAAGTCTTTTGCATGTTTGAGCCTGTTTTTAAGCGTGTTTGTTTCACTCAGAGTTGGCTCGGGGAATTGCTTAAGAATACAATAAAAGTAGAAGTTTCATATTGTATATTGTTTTCCTGATACGGTTAGCCATACTTTTCTGCTTGAAATATAGTAGGACGATCAAGATTGAAGGCCAAACAAAGAGACTGACTGTCCTTCTCTTTGCGAATGCCTGTCTGGAGTGGCCTTGTTGTTGCAAGTTGGGGATGATGAGTTAGGCCTTGTTGAACGACTAGAAAGCTCGATGTGATACTACCAGGCGCCGGACGAGAAGTAGACATTTCTCGAATCAGCCCTGAGAGGGCAGTGGCTCGATGCCTGGAGACTACTAGGAGATGCTACCGGGTACTATACATATATGTTACTATTTGCCTCCCCTGGACATACTTTATCCTATATTAGACTGGACAGCAAGTACGGTAGGTCTACAATGCTAATATCTACATGTTAAGAATCACATCACTTGTGCTATAAGTATGCCGGGAGGGCCAAAGGGAACGCATCATTCCGACCAGCTCAGGCTGTCCTCGGGCGCTTCTGAATCCATCGGAGATTCGGGACTCTCACCTTTATCATCATCGCTGTCGCCATCTTCAGCATCATCAATATCGTCGTCTTCAGTATCATTAGTATAATCATCTTCAGTGTCGTCTTGAGCGTCGTCTTCAAGGTCGTCTTCCGCGCCATCATCATCACCACCACTCTCCTCCGCCGCCTCCCCGTCAATCGCTGCCATGCGCAGGAGAAACTCATCCTGGAGACCCTTCAGCCACCGCCAAAGAGCCTTATTACCTAGTGTCCCATCACGCGCCAACAGCAACTGCTCCCTGAGCGAAAGGATCAGATTGCGTTTGCGCGTGACGGCCAATGCACTGGTCTTCGCGTACCGACGCCTGGCCATCCGGTCCAAGTTCTCAGCGACCTCCTGCGCCGTTTCGAGGACTCCCGGCGGGAAGTCGACCAGTTTGGCCAGGGCCAGGCCGTAGAAGCGGGTGGTATCGGGCCCTTCGGCGACTTTGTAGAGCATGGTCATCTTGGACGCGTCGGGGCTGATCTCGGCGGCCAGGTGGAGGCTGGCAACGCCGTTGCGCTGGCCCATGATCACCGCCAGATCGCGGAAGTGCGTCACGAACCAGACCAGGGCGTGGCTCTCGACCAGCACCTCGGCGATGGCGATGGCGATGGCCAGGCCGTCGGCGGTGCTGGTGCCGCGGCCGAGCTCGTCGACGATCACCATGCTCGGCTGCTCGGGCTGGACGTTCCGCAGGATGCACGCCATCTCGCGCATCTCGGCGGCAAAGGTGGAGACGTTGGCCTCGACGTCGTCCGCCGTGGACACCCGCGCGAACAGCTGGTGGATGACCGGGAGCGAGGCATACTCCGCGGGCACGAAGCAGCCGATCTGCGCCATCACAGTCATCAGGGCGATCGAGCGGATGTAGGTCGATTTGCCGCTCATGTTGCAGCCCGTGATGACGTTGAACCGCGTCTGCGGCGTGGCGTAGACGTCGTTCGGGATGAATTTCTTCGCGTGGATCTTCTCGCGGATGGGGTGGCGGCCGGCTTTGATGGCGAGCACGTTGGTGATCTCCGGGCGAATGTACTCGTGGCTTGTGGCTAACTGTGCGAAGGAGACTAGCATGTCAAGGATGGCAATGGCTTCGCTGATCTTGAACAAACTCGATATCTCGGAGCAGATGCTCGTGATCAGATCTTGTACTGTCTCGTCGCTCATGTTGATCACTTCGTTGTGCGCGTCTCGGATCTTGTGGTTCAGTTTGACGAGATCGAGCGTCTGGCATTCAATGCGGTTCTTCTTGCGGTAAACATTGATGAAGACCTCGGGTAGTGTATGGGTCTCTATTGTAGGGATGCTGATGTAGTATTGGCGGGCTCTGTCATACCTCAGATCGAGCGCAAGGTCATGGCATTCTACAGGCGTTAGAGAGATTACCAGATGCAAAATAATCTAGGGGATGGCACTTGCCCGCTAACGCTGTGACCAGCTCTGTAGCATCTGTATTGGCCTCTTTATAAGCCTGTCTTGCGACATCAAGCAAGCTATTTACCCCTGCCTGGGACCCGGATTAGAGATCGAAGTGGTCAGCTCAGACAGTAGAGCACGGGAAAGGACCGTTACCCTGACGCAGTATATCCTCTGGTTCCTGAGATCGAGTGGCTTTGTCTGATAGGTGACTTCTTCATTTAAAGTTTCGTCGATCAGCTGCTCCAGTGCTTGATGACCCTCCAGGGCGCATAACTAGAGACTATGATTAGCCTGATCTTTCATGGAGCCGACTAGGCTCTACCTCTCTGATGTTCAGGAGCAGATTGCTCTGAGCCGGGGCAAGTGCTTTGTATATCGACTTGATGGACGAGACATATGTCTTCACCATGATGACATTGTTTACGGATTGCTCGACGTATCCAATTGCTCGTTTGGTGGGGACAAGGATAAGCTAGGGGGTTATTTCTTGCATGCAAGATCGGTTCGAACCCACTCACTGAAGTCAGAGCCTTGTCGACGTCAAGGTACCCCTTGAGGGCTTTTTCCACGGCTATGTCAGCACAGAAGAGAATTTGAGCAGCCAATGACTAACCCTGTCTAATTGAAACAAACATATCCTCTTTCGTGGTCAGGTCCTCGATCGCGTCGTAGCGGGCCAGTAGCTGCGATTTATCGGTAGAAGGCTGCAGAATGTTAGCTCTGAGCAGCCGCATGCCCATGGGAGTCAGTGTCTCGTTGAGTAGTCCAAAAAGACTATCCTTTGACCTTGCTACTTGTAAGTTCTGAGTGAGCTCCAGGGAGACAATAGTAGACAAGTCAATCGACATTGATCCCTGAGATGGCTCGTGTTTTATTCGCAGAGAATGGCAGGTGAAAGCCTTGTTGAGTTCTACTTCGACGTATTTCAGAATCTGTCAAAGGTTAATGGCTGTCTCGCTCATTCTCGACACTTCTGTAAGCAAGCGCATACGGCAGCAAAACAGCAAGAAGCAAAATAGTTCCCCTCGAGGACCATCTTGATCGGTTCGACATCCTCTGCAAAAGCCAGTCTCTCCACGTATTCGTGTCCTGTTGTTTCAGACCAGAACTTCCGATCCACTGGGGTGAACGTTGTGTCTGGGATGTTCTCCTTCAGTATGTAGGCGAGCTTGGATTCCTGGGCGCTGTTCATTAGGAGAATCTCCGTTGGCTCATACACGCCGATCTTCGTGACGGTCTTGACATAGGTCTGGTTGTCGCAAATCTGACATAGCACCGCCTCTGCAGTAGACAGATTGACGAAGGCCAAGCCAACCGTTGCAGAGACACCGCGAGACTCGCTGACAGCACAGACAATATCTTGAGATGCGACGCTCGTCGCCGATGTTGTCGGTCGTGTTGCTGTTCGAGGCCGTGAACTACTTGCTCGAGTGAGGGCGACGAAGGAACCCGAAGCTCCCACTGAGGAAGCCCTGGAGTAGATGGAGGCCATAGTGGTTGCCTGGAGAGTATGCAGTCTTTGCGCGGAAGTCTTGAAGTAGAAGTGTATGCAATGCAGAGGTAGTAAACTCGCCCGATTGCCCGATTCAGATGCCGCCCGCTTCTATAAGGGCTACCTACACGTGATTCGGCGTACCCCCTCTTATCAGACCCCTTGTTAGTGATGTTGTCCGCAGACTCGATTTACCGATAGGGCCAGGCAGTCGAGGGATTTGGAATTGGAATGCTTTAGTCCATTTGTTGGTTGGCCTACAAATCCGCCTCATGTATTCGATGGGCGTATATCATTTGGGAATTGTAATTGCAAGGGTCTGTGCAGGCAACGTCCAGAATCCCAATTTCCACCGCTAAGCTAGCATTTCCCGGAGGTCTCACGGTCAGACTATACGAAGTATGGCCGCTATCATACTTCTCGACATTCATAGTGAGATTCTAGAGATGAGCTACTTGGATGAAGGAAGGCATTTAAATGCAATCAACTGGAAGGGACCCTGGGATACCCTTTGGCAGAAAGATTAATAATTGTCCGTGTTTCCAAACCCACCAACCAAACAATGGTAACTTACAGGGTACACTATTTACCACGGTATCAAGAGCGTACCTATGATATACTGGCAGTCTTTGACAGGGAGCAAAAAATCCTCCTTTCCCATGATGGAAGGCAATGAAGTATGAAATTTGATCTTTTCTCTATCCCAAAGCTTCGGTGCATGTCAAGCGCAATGTGCCACTAGGACTATCTGATTTCGACTCGTGTCAATCTTTGCTGTTGTCACGACAGGCTCTCCTTTATTGATAGCATATCGACAATGTATATGTACTACCCACTTCCCATTTTCATATTTTCCTAAATAGATTACCTAGGTTCAGAAGCAATGATCAACTGTGGAAGATTTATCTAGCGGCTTGATTGTTATTCTCCAAAAGTCAGATATATCGCTTTTCTTACACACTACATCGAGCGACAAAGCCTTGCCTTGAGGCTAGAAACAGGCAGTTCTGCTTTTGCTTCGCGAAACTGGGACACAAATCAAGCAGAAGCAGCTATATTATATTATAGACTAGCAGTCATTTCTTACCTCTATATTGCGCCTCAATGCCATACTCCTCACAAGGCCATACTGAGAAATGTATATGGTGATGCTCTGATGTCCGAAAGCGGGTTAGTGCCGATCTTCCCCCACCGCAGCGATAAGTCCGGACGGGATTCTTTATCGATTTTTTTTTCTGAAGGCTAGAAGACCTTCACACAACAAACCCCCCCAATCACTCTCACAATGGCGACTCTTCTGCCTCCTCCTACCAAGCGTCAGAAGACGGAGATTGCCGAGAAGGCCCGTCTTCAGCAAGAGATCGAGAGCATCCCGGAGAACCTGGGCAGTGTCCGAGTTCAGTTTTTCGACCAAGCGACAGGAGCGCCAACCGGGCCAGCAGTGTCCGTCCCAGTGGCCGATGCCAACGTAAAGAACTTGGAGACGCTTCTCAACACCTTACAAGGCAATGTAGGTACGCGACACATGCAATGACGGTGACCTCATACCGGAGATACTAACTCCGCTCCTCCGCAAAACACACAGGAAGATGATGAGCGGGTGCCATACCGGTTTACCTACCAGTCGGACGATAAGGACAATCAGACGATCGACATCCTAGCACATCTGTACCACTCCCTGCTCAAGCCCGGCCTCAAGACCACCGAAGACACTGTTCACCTCTACTACACGCCGCAGGCGGTGTTCCGAGTCAAGGCGGTCTCGCGATGCTCTGCTTCCATTGCCGGACACGGTGAAGCGATCCTGGCCACATCCTTCTCCCCCGTGAACTCGTCCACCATGGTCACCGGCAGCGGTGACTCGACGGCCCGCATCTGGGACTGCGACACCGGAACCCCCCTGCATACCTTGAAGGGTCACACTAGCTGGGTGCTGGCGGTCAGCTACTCCCCCAACGGCGCGATGATCGCGACCGGAAGCATGGACAACACAGTGCGGGTGTGGGACGCGAAGAAGGGCACAGCGCTCGGGGCCCCGTTGAAGGGCCATGCGAAGTGGATCACCAGCCTGGCGTGGGAGCCCTACCACCTACAGCAGCCGGGGCGGCCGCGCCTGGCGTCTGCCTCCAAGGACTCGACGGTCCGCGTCTGGGACGTTGTCAGCAAGCGCATCGACATGGTCCTCACCGGCCACAAGGGCTCGGTCACCTGCGTCAAGTGGGGCGGCACGGGCAAGATCTACACGGCCTCCCACGACAAGACGGTCAAGGTGTGGAACGCGGAGAACGGCACCCTGATCCAGACCCTGTCTGCCCACGCCCACCGCGTGAACCACCTGGCGCTGTCCACAGACTTCGTCCTCCGGACCGCCTACCACGACCACACGGGCCAGGTCCCGCAGGCCGACACCGAGAAGGTCGCCGCCGCGAAGCAGCGCTACGAGCACGCCGCCACCATCAACAACAAGATCGTCGAGAAGCTCGTCTCGGCCAGCGACGACTTCACCATGTATCTCTGGGAGCCGGAGAACTCCAGCAAGCCCGTCGCGCGTCTGCTCGGTCACCAGAAGGAGGTCAACCATGTCACATTCTCGCCGGATATGGCGTACATCGCCTCGGCGGGCTTCGACAACCACGTCAAGCTCTGGAATGCCCGGGACGGAAAGTGAGTGCACCCTTTAGTTTCCGCGTCTCATCCGGAACTTTGAGACTAACCAATGCTCCTCCACAGGTTCATCACGACCCTCCGCGGCCACGTTGGAGCCGTCTACCAATGCTGTTTCTCCGCCGACTCGCGCATGCTCGTCTCCTCGTCGAAAGACACCACCCTGAAGGTGTGGAACGTCCGCACGGGTAAGCTCTCCGAGGATCTGCCGGGACACAAGGATGAAGTGTTCGCGGTGGACTGGAGTCCCGACGGACAGAAGGTGGGCAGTGGTGGCAAGGACAAGGCCGTACGGATATGGCGCAACTAATGTCGCGGGGAAAAAAAAAGCTCCTTGTTTTACTGTCTGTTAATCGTGATGAACAACGTATATAGAACCAGATACCCTGTTTTTACCCTGGACAGTATGTGCTACGTGTTTGCCGCTATCGTTTGGTTCGTAAGATGAACAATTGGGGCAATGGATAAGCTGACCCTGCGTACCCTCTCTCCACACTTGACCCTGTATTCGACCATGAATGCTCTAGTGAGCACCTATTCCACTAACTTAAGACCGCAGTGAAGAACTCCCTAGCAAACAGGCTGAAAACCGGAGGAGCGTTCGAATTGGTGGTCAGTAGCCAGTAGTCAAGGCAATTGCAATAGTGAATCTGCTGCTCTGAGACATGGTTCTACCCCACGTGCTCGCTCTTGTTGCACGAATGGTGCGGGTTCATTGTGTCAACCTTAAACCACCTGAGATGCACAGCACAGTACAATAAATAACCCTACCTATCTGGGGACGTCCGGCTAATCGCTGTTCTTGCCTATGCTATCCAATTCCGAGTATCCCGGTGTTCTAATCTGGCAAAGGACAAAAAACGGGGTCCTGTACACCCAAGGAATCGATTAGAGCAGCGATACAGTCAAAAGCCTAGCGTAGTAGGGAATGCGATTTGCAATTTTCCACCAGCCGGTGAAGTAAAGTCTAAAACTCGAATCTTCAAGAGACCAGCCAAACAGGTTGTTGCTTGCGGTGCGTTTCATTATGAGCCTCTGAAGAAGTGAAGAGGCGAAGAGAGAAGTACAGTACATATAAGTTATGAGAATGAGATGCAGTGGTGGATGTGCACCACGATGCTCACCCACAAGTGTCAGATTATTGACCCATATGACCCCGCCCTTTGCCTTTGGCATAGACATAAACATACTAGAAGACGAGGTTGCTGACGATGAAGGATTGATCCAGTTTAGACATTCGACGGACTGTCTTCTACCCCCGTTATCCACGGGTGGGGGGGAACACGCAGGTAAAAAAAAGCAGAGTACTATTCGCACAGAGGGGCAGCAACACAGACTCGGAAGCATTTGGGGTAAAATTAATAAGGCAAAGAAAAAAAGTCGAGGAAAGCGAGTGAGGACTGGAAGAGATATAGAGCAAAGAAGAAACTCAGAAGACTAATTGAACAGAAAAAAAAAGAACAAAAAAAAAAAAAAAAAAGCCCGCGACACCGGTCCCGATACCAATACACCCAATCCGTATGACGAAAACAAACCCCTTCCCCAAACCCCCGAACCAGTCCCTTTAGAGAAACACCGCATTCCCAGGAACCCAGGTCATATTACCAGAAGCCATAAAACGTTGCGCCAGAGGAGGTATTAGGCAAACAGCAAACTGAAGCAAATCAAGGAAAGGCCAATCTCACAGACCAGACAGCGCATCATCGGCTTTCTAGTCGTAGTCGTCTCCACCGTCATCGTTGTCACTGTGCCGCCCGCGCGATCCCTTCACGCCGTCCTTTCGGATCGGGATTTTGATGCCTTGGAGCGCGAAGCATTTGCTGAGGGACGTGCTTTCGATGACGCCAGGGAATTTCTTGGCGGAGTATACATGGAAGGGTTCGGAGAATACCGATGCCAGTACGGGTGCCGACCCGTGGTTGATCACCGACACGCCGTTGGGAGATTCTCCGGATTGAGTGCCCACGTTGATAAAGCTCATTTTCAGGCTGCGGGCGAGCAGTCAGCTAAGCAGTAGCATGGCAGGGGATTACTGTTGAAAGCACGTACCGGAAGGAACCCTCTGTCCGTACACTCAGATCCTGCAGAATGAACCAGACACCAATCTTGTTCTCCGGATCCGTCAGCCGGAATGCGCTGGCGCTCAAACTGCCGATGAGATTTCGCGTGAACATCCCAGCACCTGGAGCGGCGGTAACAGGCTGCGCTGGGGAGATGTTGGCGGGTGGCATGTGACCCCCGGCGTAGTAGGGGTAGTAAGGTTGGGCTTGCGGATTCGCTCCATAGGGGTTTTGGTATTGAAGTTGCGGGTTTCCGGCGTAGTAGTTATTCATGTGCGGGTAACCGACAGGCTGACCATAGGCATTTTGCGCGTACGGAGGGTACGAGGGTGAGACGTTCTGCAACGGGGGTGGGTATGAGGAGGACATGGCGGTAGATATCGACGGAGATGTAGCCGAGTGCTTCACCAAGTTGACTTCGCTCGTCCCCTCGGCATTCCACAGATCGACCATGAGTACATAAAAGGATGTATCGATCTCACTGGTTCCATTTGATCAGTGTGCTGTCGCATCACCATCGGCGACCGGGGGCGTCGACTTACTTGATATCAATTTCCTTTTCTGTTTGAGCATCCCGGACAATTAGACGGATACATGGAGGAGGCGTAATGGGCCGTCGATCCTGATTATAGTCAGCAGTGGTAACGACGATTTGACAAGAACACAGCGCCGGGCTCGCTCTGGGTTAAGAACTTCTGTCACGTGCGAAATTCTCTTCATCCAAGAACAGGTCAAACCCAAGATGCAGATCCATGCGACTTCGAATCTCAACAAAAGAGCGCTAGCAATCCAAAGCAGCCAATTGCGGACAAGAGCTGAGATTCAATGCGTTCGCGACTCAACGTCCCCGAGCTTCACGAACCATCCGAGCCATGCAGGTTTGGCGACAACCCAATCGGACACCATGCCTCTGCCAAGCGATTGCCTAACGGAACTGCATCTGGACCAATATCCGAGTCGCATGGATCCAATATCTCCGGTCTTTCCCACGTCTAAAGAGGAATTCGAGCACAATGCGACAAACGGAAAACTCAGATCCATGCGCTAGCCCGAGAGAGCTTGCGGGTATCGACAAGACTGACCTTGTCACCAAAGCCGCACATGCGAGCGCGAATCGGCTGCTGTACCACTTGTAGAGACCAAATGCGACCCTCGTGCACGGTAGAGAGCGGAGCGAGATGGGCTGCGGAGGTCATGGCGGGGGGCACTGGGCCGGCGGACCCAGGCGTGGGGTAGGAAGAAGAGGGCGGAATTCGATCCATGGCGAGAGGCGGCGGAGGAATACGATCCATGAAGTGAGACAGGAGGGGGGGGGGGAAGGTGAGCTCGTGGCTTGTCTGCAATAGCGCGGGTTCAGCCAAGCGGAGGAAGGTGAAGCTGAAAAAGGCGGGGTTGCATACGAGCGCGGTGCGCGTGGTGAGGAACTTGGCTGACAGTGAGGGGGGAAATGTAAAAAAGAGATAAATAGAAAAAGCAAAGAAGGAAGTAGATTGGAGAGGGAGTAAGGAAAGGGAAGAAAAGAAGGCTAAAGGTAGCTAACTTTGGAGTAGCGGGGAGAGGGAAGAGAAAGTCAGGAAGAGAAGAGAAGAGAGAGCAGTCAGTCAGTGGGCAGTGTGGGCGGAGTCACGGGCAGCTTTTTTGGAGTTCCAGATCTGTACGGAGTATGAGCTCATCTCTTTGGCTCTCTTTGCTTCATGCCCGTCATTCCCTTTCTATTTTCTGTTCAGAAACACAGCTGATTGGGATGTGATACTAGGTAGTCTAGCACGTTGCTTATTCAAAGAATTTGATACTTGTCTGATGGAAAGAATAAGGTATTTGCTTGTGATCCATACGTCGGGGCTCCTGAGGATCCCACGGGTCTGTGGGCGTCAGGCTTCAGCTTCTGTTGGTTAGGGGCATCCCGGATTACGGAGCTGTAATATTGCTAGAACACCCACGGACTGCCCGCTAACATTTTAGCTGGGTATTTTGGGGATGAACTGGGCGTGGAGGGTACCCGAGAGATACCAGAGGTATACCAGAGGAATACCAGAGGAATACCAGAAGAATACCGGTGCAGCGTGAGGTTTAGAGGGTTTGCTGGGCCAGCAAAGTTACACTCCGTCACCAATTCCCTCCCGCGACCTCACTATTCTGTACCCGGCTGAAACCGCTCGCTGCATGCCCAGACCCGACATGTTACTAGCGCCAAAACCGATAGGCCTTAGTCGCGTCACGGATCAGGAGGCGATCAGCACTCAAGCCGGCGCAGGAACCTGGACCCAGACAGTCGGGTTCGGCCTCTTGCCCAGTCCGGGGCTTTGCTTGCCGTGTGAATCCTACTGGGGGAAGGGGGGGGTGCTGTTCACGGAGCTGAGCTGAGCAATCGGTCATCGCCTAGAACCCTAGTTTCATGCATAGTGAGTACAGTACGTCCTCAGTTTGCATCCTTTCACTGTTGATCTACTATTTATTTTATTTCTTTGAGTATTCCCTATCCCCGTAGTCTTTTATTTTTGACATGCTGCAGCATGTTGCCGTGTGCGCCCGGGGCGCTGTCACTCTGGTCTGTCCGTGTACAGTACTGTCACTGCTGCACACTGCCAGTAAGTCGGTGGTTGTCAGAATGTAACACCGGAAGAGGGGGAAGGCACTCGACAAATGAAATTCTTGATTAACCGGCTGCGGCGATTCCCCGGGCCCGACTATACCAGATCAGGCATAAAGTGGGCCGTCCATCCACTCTAGCAGCCAATCTCATTCCCGTATGCCCTCCTGCAGGCGTTTTCGTTCCTCCGCGTTGGGTCGACAGAAGCTGACGCCCGACGCAGAACTGATCTCTCATCCACCCGTTCGAGATGGCTGCAGTCAATTCATCTCGGTGATAAGGCCGTTCACGGTGTCGAAATCAGCGACTGGGCTTGGGTCTGCTGCCGGCATGAGCCAATGGGGCGATTTCATATTAGTGCCTTTGCCAATTCGGGACGCTTGCGTGCATGATGCTATATCGTCTTATCTCGATCGAGGCAATACCTTGAGTGGCCGTGTCTCCAACTCCTTCGCCAATGCCGTCTATGAAATATCTTACATTGGTTTCATCAATGTTTCAATCCGGGGATTTTTTGGGACAGAAGTCGAGAATTATAGTAACTCATGGATAGGCCAATAAAACATAGCTTTCATTCAAGATGGAGGCAATATTCTGACCATCGTCCTCTCAGGAAGACCTCCCCTCCAACCGAAACCTGAGAAAAGGCATCAATAAAGGGGGCATGAAACAGACACAGGCTTGAATACTTGAACTGAGGATATGAACACCTCCACAAGTGGATCAGGCCTCATCACCTTCCAGCCATAACAGCATTCGAAGTCAACAAACCTGGATCGAAAGAAGCGGAACACTCTTTTGGACAGAACAGCTAAGCAATTTTTCACGTTCCTTACGAGCCTGTGATGCGCAGAGATCTAGTCCATTGTTGGTGTCAACTGGAGAAGGAATGAAGAACGACAGTTGAGACAGAATCCTCAATATGTTCCTCCATCTACGAAAGGATCATAGCATGTTTGCAGAATGATCAATAGCCAATACAAGCTCATCCTGATCATTAATTGTCTTATATACAGATGAAATCAGGATTTGAAACCGCTCTTTAAAGCAAAGGATCCTATCAAGGATCCAGATACGGGCCGGAGATCTTAGATTCACAACAGAGTACAGTATATCTATGTCAATGTAACCCGTCCTCAGGGCTATGCTGGTATTACCCGGGATGCGCTTGCCTAGCGGGCCCGAGCGGCTGCTTTATCCGCGGGGCTAAACACTACCGCGTCTTGATTGGTGCCCTGCTTTTGCTAGTGCCTGGTAACCCACCCAGGGCTTCCACTTTCCGTTGCTTAGCCTGGAGGTTGGTAGAGTATTGGAGATACGCTCTCTGCAGGTGTTCATTGCTACACAACGCATCGTTCGCTTCTCTTAGTCGTTAATTCCCTTCAAGTATTATCTAGGCTCTAGACTTGTCCGCCTCATGTGTCTTGCCCTCAGTGCTTCTTGCAATCCATCCGTTCTGCGTAGGTGAATCCTATCTGGTCGCAAAAATCGCGCTTCATCGCCCTTCGTTGATGCTACCTTCTTCCCTGGAAATGTCGAGGTCGCATGTTTAAGACCGCACTGGGAAGAACAATTAGAACAGAGATGGGAAATCAAAGAGCAAAAGCTCACAATATCTTTTTCCGCGACAGTAGCTATTGAGATGCAGAGCTGCTGTAAGCCCTATGAACCTACTCGGGTACAGTCTTTATGTCATGGCACTGGAAGTGCACCCGGGCTGAAAAGAGCGAAATCGACTTCGATTCGGTACATCTCTAATGACAGCACGGAGGAACTGCATGTGCTATCATCATTTGATCTTTGACAAGTTGGGAGTGTCGCGCAACATTAGCACCTCAAAGGTTTCCGTTTCTTGGGTGTGGATGAGACATCTCATCGCCTACTCCACCCCACTCGATGCAACAGAGCAAACTCCGCTTCCACGAAACGTTCAAGCTCATTTGATCTTCGGAAAATGCCGTATTCTCCGCTGATCAGATCCAGAAGATCGAAGATCTATACGGCTCTAAGAATGCGGTGGCAGAGTCTCCGCTGCCCTCAGTCCACGCTTCGTTGTTACGGGGTTATGGTGTCTTGCTGGGTCTGCTAAAAGTGCAGTTAGCTGTTGATGATTCTCCGGGAATGTCTGTTTCTCTTCACATGTTCTTCCGCTCTCAAAACATATATCTCAAAAGGTCACCACGGCTTTTACCTCTACCCAGGAGTGAGAGTCACTGAAAGAACAATCACGAGGTGGATTGGAGCTCCACCGACAAAATGCTCGCATCCCATCTTCTGTAGTCAGAACGAGGGCGCGCATGAGCATCAGTTCGATGTATGCTGGGTCGCCAGTTCGGGCTCGGGGGCACTTATCAGGGTCTGTCCAATGCGAGCAGGAAGAAGGCTTTCTCGTCCCGGATAGCATGCGATTTTGGCAGTTTCACTGCCAATTTGCCGTGATTGTCTTAGGAATAGCACACGGCGGAGCGAAGAACAATGAATAAGTGTTTTGAAAGGTGTGAATAGTCTTTTGAGACAGTCCGTCTGTTAGTAAGTAAGTATCTCTTTGGTGTCGACCTCACCACGACCAGTATACAGGGCTTATAGTCTTGTGTTCCCTACATTCATCATATGCACCTGCAACTATCAGAGAGAGGTAGCCTGCTCGAGGGTCCAGGGTAAGTTATTGCACTGCACCCAGAATAAGAACAACGAGGCAAACCAGCTCTGGATGCATGATGCAACCAACACCCGATCGAGGATGGGCAACGATCCAATAAATCATGGCCCCATACTGCATTCAAAGCAACAACATATGAGCTGTTTGTCTTCCTCTCGCATGCTTCGCTATCGTCATGTGCGGAGTCAAATACGGTATGCCCGGCCCTCACCTTTGCGCCAAGATACTATGACGATAAGTTCAATGGGGGCTCGAGCCGTGCCTCCGCGGAGCGGAAGTCCAGGTATTCATAGACACCAAGCGTAGAGAACGCTGATATGTCCCTCAACTGCACTGACATTCAAGACGCACACGCCACGTTGCTATCCATGATATGTCCTTCATCTCGGCCCCGCCTCGATCACTCGATAGTCTAAATGATCCGACTGGCTAGTTCGTTCATAGAGTAGACCAAAGCGTCAAAAAGTGTCCAAGAGAGCGGAGAAACCCATGCCACGCCGCGCGAAGTTCAAGCGCACAAGCACTGCATTTTCCTACTCGGGAATGGCTCCGACGTTTTGCCAACGTTGCTGAAAGGACAAGAAAGAAGGTAAAGCCCATTCGGAGACTAAAAGAATAAGACGCTTACCCTAAGTTTAGGATGCTGACACTACGGACTCAACGGCGAATACGTACGTAGTTGCAAACTCATTCCATTGATCCATCCATCCATCGCCAGACGACACACACCATACATTCGGTTCTTTACCCCACCCCCCGACTCATGCCATCTCACGGTCAGATGCCTCGAGGCTGCCTGATGAGTTTCGCTACGCTTTCCCTGATACAGTAAAAGAAACAAAACAGGATCCAAACGCAATGTCATCAATGCCATTAATTGTACGTAGCTAGCTGTAAGCGAAACCCAACCCAAAAAGATGGGTGGATAAACGGTAAAGTCAGCATGACAAGAAGAAGGGGACGCTAGAAGCCCAGGATCTTGGAGTAAAATGTTCTCTGGGGCGGAGAAATGTGGATGGCTAGTGACTATCTCAGTTCCTCTCTCAATCTCAATCTCCCTCCTTCGCAGTCTTGGGACCCACCGCGGCCGGGTTCAGTGTTATGATTCAATTTATCTCAGCTCTCCCTGATCCTGATCCTCTTTCTTTCCTCCGCTCCGGCCGAAACGTGCCCCCATCGCCGCCGCCGCCGCCGCCCGCCCGCACCCCCTAAACTTACTCAGTAAACCGCCCTAAATTCTCCTTAGTTTCTCCAAACCTGGCTAACTGGATGGATGCAATCAGATGGAGTACACGAGCACGGCCCGCAAATGTGGTTGACCAGGATCGGGACGGTCGGGACTTCGGGACTTTAATCTAGATTCCTTTCTTTTCCTTTGCTTTTTTTTTGGTGTTTTTCTGCTGTCCTGTATGCAGTCGTCATATGTAGATGGGATCTCGATCGCTGGATGGGGGCTAGCCACATTTTTGATTTCAGAGGCTCGGTCCTATTTCAAGGTGATAGATTGGTGGCTTAGGAGTTCCTTCTCGATCATTTACAGCCGATAACTTAGATGTGGGGTCGGCCTAACGTTACGTGAGCAGCTTCCGTTGTTGGTTGTCTGTCTATCTTGATTGTTATTCCTCGGATGCATAGCATTAAGATATCATCCCATCCGAATGTTCGAATGATTTGCGTAGTCCACTGAGACATCGAGGCGAGCATGACCTGGATATACCATGTAATCGCTATTCTTGGTGACCTCCCCTCTAGTTCTCTTGCCTAATTTTAGAAGCTTTTTCGGGAAGACAAGTTCGGCGGTATCCAGTGTTGAAGCGAGGGAACCGAGACAAGTGACTAGTATAGCAATGATCCGGAAAAACATCGTGTGAGAGTAGAGACTTCTTCGTGGCAGTGAAGGCATGGATAGATTGGGGATTAGATAGACAAATAGTTATAGAACTCGACCGGCAGTATTCACTCTGGGCGATAGTTCTCCCAGGCTTATCGGCGTAACCTTTTGCGGCACATTGTCGCAGTAAACGTGCAAATGGAAGATACTAGATAGTAAAACAGAAGTATAGAGGTAGGGTCGGTTATGGCAGATGCAATGCTCCTCCTACTGGCTTCGAGCGCAGGGGGTTGGTGGGAAGCTAGTTACCTTGAAAAAGACAACTGATGTTTGTGCACCAAAGCTTACGTGAGCAGTAGTCTGCGACAGAAATCGCTGACTGTCGATCCATAAAGGAGCAAGTACATATGTAACAATAATGGCAACTGGATTCCAACATGACAGTAACCTGCGATGTATGCCTGAGGACGAAAAATGCTCCTTTTCCGGAAAAATACGATAACCTGATCGCGATCGTTCCGGCTCCTGGAGGGCAATCTGTCTCGTCGACATCTCTGCGATCGTTGGTAAAGTACTTAGTACCTTCATAAACAGTAATGGATACAAGCTACGAAGTCGACGAGTGGGTGTTGTACAGGTCTTCGTATAGTTTACTAGATCTAGGTTTGGTGCTCACGTTCTAGTCAAATTCAAAAGTTAGTCCTCGAGAATAGAATGTTTAATCGCAGTAGCGCAGTCAATGTGTCTTGATCCATAGTATCGATTGAGTAATGGTCGAGCCCAGTGAATGTCCCTAGATAGACTCTGTGAGTCTGTGTTGTTGCATCATCAAGCTAAGGTATGAGAGATTGTTCTCCCATTCAGGAAGAGAGATCCGTCGGGAAAGGAGGCCCACTACGTAGTACCCAGAGCCACTATCGTGAACGAACAACCAACAAGGTTTCCCTTGCCCTTCCTAGGACAAGATCGATGGAAGTGATACAGACATGGTGAATCAAATGTGAAACCATTTCAATGAGTTCCGCGCAAGGCCATTTGTCCATATCAAAGCCAGATCTACCACCTTCATATTCATAAGGCTAGCGGTTTGATAATCAAAGATTCAAAGTTGACTGTGCCGTACCACGGGCCGAGCTCAACCTTATGCCTGATCAGGAAGACGACAGAAAGTCCTGGGTGCTGTGCCCAATCACACGAGGGGAAAACACCAAGAATCTTGATTACCCTAAACGGCAAAAGCAGGGTTCATCACTTGGTGGGGCTAGACTGCGATAGGGAAGGGGGGCGGGGAGGGCGACGGGGTGATGGGTTTGGGATTTGAGAAAATACTGTTTTGGGTTTGGCCTGCAAGTGGCCGGGGGCCCACCCGGGGTGGGCAGGCGGGCGGGCGGGCGCGGCGTGGATGATTTTTGTCCCAAGACGGCATGACGAGGAGAGACTGAGATCCATCCAGTGAGTCCAGAGGAGAATGGAGGAGAGAAGGTGCGGGTGCGCAATGCTTTGCTGGCCAGAATCATGATTCATCCAGAGATCCCGGGATTGGATTTCGTTGCTTCATGACTCTTTCAACTGTATCACGAATAGAATAACAGAAGTGTTCTCCAGCCCTAGTAGGAATGGTTGTCCTACCACGGAGGTAACCTGACGAATCCATGACTTACGTCAGTCACTCGCTCTGCACGGACTGCAAAAGTCAGCAGCAGTAGCAGTACTGGTCAATGCAACCTCCCTTTTTCCCTCTTCGGTTTTTGTGTACTCTTCCCACAGGGTGCATCTCCACCTGGATGAACCCATGCTTTCAAGAGAAACTGGGATCCCAGCGAACAGAGTGAACCTGATGATGTTGATGAGGATGCATCTTGCAGATTGTTTCAGGGGGTGGACTGTCTTGGAATCCCGGGAAGGAGGTAGCTACCTCCTCCGTTTTCCGTCCGTTCATCCAAGATGCGATGGAAAAAACAGAAAAGATTTATGAGGATCAAGCCCAGAGAAGAAGTCAATCGCCTGATTGGGTGGCTCGTTCGGGATTATGTGGAGGTCACGTCAAAGAGAATCCAGTTAAGGAAAAGTCGCGATCGATGATGGATGAATGGATGAATAGATGGATAATGAAAGTTTGGAACGTCTGGATGCAGTCGCATAGCCAAATAGTCAAGCAGTCAAAAAGCATCCACGAATCGCGGAACTCTCCCCTCTCTCGGCAGGACTAACTGGAAATAGACTGTAGTCGAGCATAGGCTGTTGCTTTTCAATGATGGATCGTCCAATTTTTTCGTCCATCTCAACGGTAGTCGTTCTTGGAGGGGGGAGAAATGGATAATCATGACTTGGCTGGGGAGCGGAGATCCCGACGCCCGTCAATCTTCGTCGACTCGTTCGAGGGTCCTGCCTGAGACCGGCAACCCTCCATGCCAATCGGTCGGTATCGATGCTTTCATACCACCATCGTAGGGGCAATGAATAATGGAGATCGTAGTACTATGTAGATAGTAACTCAAGTAGGTGAGGTAGTCCTGCAGGTTTAGGCAAGAGGCCACTCCGCATTTACTGGTTTGGTGTGCACATGCCACGGCACTGGCAGTCAGACATTTCGAACTGGTTCATTGATTCAGGGGAGGGGGGAGGAAGAATTTAAAACAAGAAAAAACGAATCGAAACAGAGACAATGCTACACTTGATAGTTGAAAAGAAGTAGTCACAACGTTGAGAAGATTAGTTAGCTAATGTTTAGAGAGCTATGAGTCCTGCCGTACAAGTCTACAGTACAGTCCAACAGCCATGTTGAGTGCTGCAGAGAGTATCAGAATGGATAGTGTATCTTTCTGGGTCAATCCTTCCCACTCTGTTGTTCCAAGACCCACTCCGAACAACGATCTATCGGTTAGTTGGAGACCGAATGCCAAAAGTAGTGTCCACTGAAGGGGCGCCCGGAAGGGGCAAAGAAGGACAAAAAGAAAATGAAGAATTAATCAAAAAATAAAAAAGGCAAATGGGAAAAAGGAAAAAAAATAGAGGTGCGCGGGTAGGCAGGGAAATTCTATTAGATTATGCTAGAGTATTAAAAGACCAGACCTCGAACATGGCGCGCCAACAGGATATCTCAGGTTTTATATGTGGATGTGTTTGTTTTCGAGTGTTTGGTGCAGGAGAAATTACTTATTATCATTCTGTTTATTATCCTTATCCTTATTCTGACTTCCAGCTGTCTTGTTGGCATTATCAGACCGCAAGCTGCCTTTCACTCGTTCTGCCTCTCTCTCCCTCCTCTCTTACTCTATATTCCTTTTTCCCCTGCGAGACAATCCGCAACCCTAATTCCTTCTACTATTCCTACTATTACTCCTCCTATAAACACCTCCCCTTCTCCTCTCTCTTCCCCCACCCACTTGGCCTTTTCCCCCTTCCCCTGTCTCTTGTACCAGGCAGAGCAGGTGCGATGCCTGTCGGTTTGTTATGAAACATACCTTGCGCCAAGTTACACCAACATCCAGAGGAAAGGTTCGACAATGCCTGCACGGCGCAGTTACAGAGCCCCATCACGGAATGGCTGCTATGGGTGCAGGAACCGGCAGATCAAGGTAGGCTCGCTAAAGTTTAAGTAAAAGTTGATGTTCCTGCCTGCGGTTGTCATTCGAATATTGGTCGCGCTTCTTTTCTTCGGCCTCTCCCTCCCCTCTTTCTTTCTTTCCTTCTTCCTTTTCTGTTGTCTGACTCTCTTTGCTTTCCTTTCTGCTCTTCCTTCTTAAATGTTCGTGGTGGTTGTCTTTCTCCTTCCTCTTGCTTCAACTTCCCCGGGCCTGCCTTATCCCCTCCCCTTCCCTTCCCTCTTCCCCCTTTTGGTTCTCAATGCCTGAATGCCTTAGGATGCAGTGATCCTCATCCGTCAGGCACCTTACCGTGTGTCGGCGTTTGACGCATAACCATTTCCCCAATTCGGAACCTTTAACTCAAACTTGAATCTATCCCACCGGCCTTGACCCGGCTCATCGTCTCACACCCCCCTACCCCTTTCTGTTTCCTCCACGCTGAGCTTCAATTGTGACTGGATGGTCCTGATATCGCCTTTCCGTTACTGATTGGCAGATGCAGTGCCCAAAAGAACACCCCCAGTGCTCCCATTGCACCAGTGACAACATAATATGCCAATATATCTCCTCGTCTAGCTCATTGGTGTGGCCCAGGGTCAAGTCCCGCTCCACTACTCCAACCATTCCGCCAGCACGGACAACAGCGTCTCAATCGCAACCCAACACCAGGATTTATGCCCAGTATCGCCTTGTAATGGACCATTCCATCAGTCCATGCTCTCCTCCGGGAGGCGAACTCAACATCCAGGACTTGGAACTAATGATGCAGTGGTGCACCACCACTTACCGATCCGTCTCGCGCAATAGCACCGTGGAAGGCATTTGGCAGGGCGTGGTCCCGCGCGAGGCAATGCGCCACCCATTCCTCATGCATGGCATTCTGGCCCTGTCAGCCCTACATCTGGCCTCCGCCACCTCTTCCAACACCGGAGCCAGCAAAGAGGATTATCTGCGCACCGCCAAGAGTCATCAGCAACAGGCCGTTGCGGGCTTGGCCAAGGTCGCGGACCATCTAGACCGGTCCAATTGCAACGCGGCGTTTGCCCTCTCCAGCATCATGGTCGTCTTCGCGTTCGCCTTTCAGGGAAACCCAATTCCCACCGTCAACACGCAATCCAATGCCTTGGATGCGCTCATGGACATTTTCCAGTTCACCAGGGGCTCCATCGATGTACAGGGCGAGATTATCGAATGGGTCGCTGACGGAGAGTTCAGCGCTCTCCTAGAATACGACAACTCTCAGCCCAAGATGCCGGATACTTCGCGCCTGGCCATTATGTCTCTCTCTAGGCGAAATACTAACTTGGCGACCAAGGATCCGACGCACGAAAAGGATGTGTACGATGCGACCATCAACCACCTTGGATTCTCCCTGGACAAGCTCGCGCGCGGAGGGGAGACCATGATCATCGCCTTTCAATGGATATTCCGCATCCCGTCGCGATATGTGGAATTGGTCCGGGAGCGAAAACCGTTCGCATTGGCGATTCTCGCCCACTACGCTGTCATCATCCACTCGTTGCGAGGGCATTGGTGGATTGGCGAATGGGGGACTCGACTGATTCGAGATATCGGCCAGCATCTGGATGCCGGCTGGAGAGAGTCGATCAGTTGGGTCATTGACGCCACAGGCTGTTATATCCCTCCGGTCTGAACAAGCCCACCCGCCTTTTTCTCTACGACCACCACGGATTTTCGCCTGAATCGCACTCTGAAGCGATGTCCCCTCCACGACGCATGTCACCATAGCACTACGCCAAATCTGCTAGGCTGCATCCAGCGAAGCGGATGCACTTCCCGCAGCATGGGAAAGTCGCAGCAAATCCAGTCTCTATCTCGCGAGTGTATAGATTCTCGCGTGGGCTCTTACCACACTGAACACTGCGCTACTCTTCCTTTCCGCGATCGAGTCTGGTATTTCACTACCCAGCCCCGCTCATTCAATGATCAAAATCATATATCTGTTCTGCCAATATTACCCCGGGAAGCTGATCATCGAATCTTTGACGCGCCCTCAACCTCCAACTCCTCACCAGCTGAACCGCTCTGTTATGAGAACAAAACACCACTGGATTCCGCCATGACAGCCAGCCTGTCCCCCACCAGTCCCCCAACCCCAACCCGGCACGGGCTCAATCACAAAATAGAATCAAGGGTGCTGGACATCTTAACGGAACGGCCATGACACATAAACGAAGATTTTTCTTTTTAGGTTTTCGTTGAGATGGAACAGCGTTAATCTTGGCTACTTGACCACTACTAACTAGCCTCCATAGCGGTTTCTTCCGCGCGCACGCCTCTCATAGCATACAATTTGGCCTTCTTCGTTTTTCATAGCGACCGCATCATCTATAATATTCTTTTGGATAGAATACCACTACTCGGCATGCATACAATCATGCGACAAGAAGATACATTTCTCGTGCTCGAATTACGGTCCCGTGCCGGTGTAGTTTTGTTCTCTCTATCCCTCGTTGGGCAAAATAGGATGGACAAGGGTAAGATGATTTCGCTACAGTTGGTATGATTTATTAAATTAAGGAGATTTCGGGGGAGGAAGGAGGGGGGGAGGCTACTTCTGATAAGCCCGTGCATTCTCATTGGAGACTTTTTGTCTCTGTTTTAGTGCCGTCACAAGCGACAAGCATACAAAAAGCCGACGACGTGCAGCAGAACCTATGGTTATTTTCTTGAAAGGTAAGCATGCAGGATTTATGAACATGACAAAACAACACAAAGAAAGAAGCAGCCCATCCTCCGCTGTTGCGGGCGGATCAGAACAAAACCAGTGAATTAAAACAACACAAACACCTTGACCAAACCAAACCATACACCGGCGCCTGTTTCCTGGTTTTGACGCAAGTCTACATGGGTATTGATTAATTAAACATATGTGTGAGAAGGCGAAAAAGAAGAAAGGAAAGGAAAAGGGGACCGGAAGCGAATCGAGACAAGACAAGCTACGCCTGCTGCCTTGCGAAACCTCTCCACCAGGGTATGACGAAGAAGGGAGCAGAGTCTGAGAGAGTCGAAAGGAGATAAGAAACCCGAGAGGCCTCTTCCAGGATCATCAGCAGCATCAGCGACATTTGTGCCACTGACACCATCATCACCACTATCGCCACCACCATGCAGCATTTTGTTCAAACTCCCCTCCTGGACAAAGAGTCGAAGCTGCCCATTAGTGACCAGAATCGATCACAAATCTATCACCCCCGCATCAACCACCGAGGGTTACCAAATATGTAGTCATGTTTGGAGAAGAACCAGAAAACCCGACCGGGGACAAGGAGAACAGGAGCGTTCCGTGTCGGACGCTCCCATACCTGTCCCACAGCGCCCTCGTCCGCCAGTAGTTGCCAAGTACCGACTGCCAACGAAAAAAGCATATCGAGTTTTGAGTGAATCAACTCCAAACGTGTGCTAGTCAACTGGACGAGGGTTGTCGCTCCTCGCTGGCCGGGCGACTCTCGCTACCGCTGAGAGCCCCGGCCGTGTGCTCGAGATCCTTCCGGCGATCCTTGGACTGGGTTCTCACGCGGGCCAGTTGGGCCTCTTGGGTCTTGACGCGCGCCAACTGCGCCTCGCCTTGTTCCCGCATGCGCTTCTCTTCTTCAGGGGTGGGGAAATATGCGTTTGCGATACCGCCTGTGGGAGATGGGGCATAGACTCATTAGCTTTTGATATGAGGCATTTCATCTCGACTATAACCAGGAAAACAGAGAAGAGAGACGGAACAAAAACAAGGCTGAAACCCACCTCGTCCGGTATGATGCGGCGCCTCCTCCATGCGCAACGGCGGGGTCTCGACGTCTTGCAGTTCGCGCGCCAGTTCGGGATGTTGCGGGTCGTTCTGCATCATGTTGCCGGAGCCGCCGCGGCCGGTGGTGAAGACATCTTGTTTGATGGTCGGGGTAACGAGGTCCTTGGTGGTGGTGCGTGATTGGCCGGTGCTGGAGAAGATGTTCCCTGTCGGTATTCAATTTGATTTAGCTAACGAGTTCTTTCTTTCGTTGTTGCAATTGTTGCAATGTCCCTGGAGGGGGGTGGATGACCGGGGCAGGAAGTAGTGAGTGGGGTCTTTTTTTGGGGGAGGGGGGGGGGAACGGAAATTGAAGACGTACCCGCGCCACCGCGACCATGAGAAATATTCCTGCCCATGACTTTTTGGCAGGTTCTCTGGCGGACGATCCTGTGGAAGATTGGGGGGAAATGAATTGGTGACGGGGGAAGAAAGACCAGGCGCTCGATCGCCCGGTTGCGAACGCAAGAGATTAATTGCAAAAAGACGGGAAAAGAAGTTGCGATCGGCTTGAACTCGGTTGAAGATTGAGACTGAATTGTCCGGACGGGTTGGTGGCTCTTGACTCAGCTTTCGAACTGGCGAACTGGCGAACTGGCGAACTGGTTGAGGGGAGAGAACCTGATATGGAGAGGGGGGACACGAAGGATGATAGACTGCCCCGCCAAGGCACTTGATTATTGAAACTGTGAGACACAACACGAGGGAGGAGAAAAGTGAAATTCGAAGAAAGAAGAGAGGAACAGAGTCAGTGGGTGGATGATGCGATGAGAGCCAAGAAGCAGCAGCAGTTGCCCGTCGGGGGTCAAATGACGTCCGTTTTTTTCTTGGGCGACTGGCAACGAATTGCCCGCAACGCAAATGCTCCTCCATCTTTCTTTCTTTCTTTCTTTCTTTCTTTCTTTCTTAGTCAATCAACGCCTTCATAAGGTCGTATGGCTTAGGCAATGATAGAGTTCCCACCATGGAAGGCTGGGTGTTGATTTCCCCCCTCATTGCTACAGAATTTTTAGACCTTGATATTTTTTCCCCCCCTTCTCTCGGGGAGTTTAGTTTCTCTTACCTCACTGGGATTCCAGCCCTTCCAGGTGACCCGATATTTAGGTGGAATAGAGGAATTTCCCCTCTGGTCGTACTGAGTACTACAATCCAGGCCAGGGCATAAAATTCCACCCCCGCGCTCGCTTTCTTTCTAGACTACCCTTCCACATCTGCAAATCTCCTTCTAGCCGGTTACTGCTTTCGAGGTCTGGTGGATCCTGGCCCTAGTACCCCAACAGGCTTACTGCTTTTGGGGGTAAAAGGGGTCAGATGACTTTGGCTTCAATGCTCAGTACTAGGACAAGTCGGTCGTAGGCTGGATTGTCTGTTCAGAGTCCATTTGGTAATGTCCCATCCAGTAGCAAGGTTGACAAAACGCCAGCCAAAGCAAGCACACAGGCATCGGCGTACGACAGAAGCGGTTGCATCTAGCGCAAATCCTATCACAGGCGCATGGCTGGCTCGATCATAATACAAAATAGGCATGCATACGGATGAACTGGGAAAGGATATCCCCTCAGCTCTTTTTCCTCTCATGTATATTTCGCATGACACAGCTCGTAAATTTCCCATGCCAGGCCAGGCCAGGCCAGTCGGATGAACGATGTAATTGCTGTCTGCACTCTATCTAGAATGACTGCTCGAGGAGTATCACAAGAATAAAGATCGCCATAGAGAAAAACAAAAAAAAAAGAGTCATACATGGTGCTTGCCCCCGACGCGGCACCCATATCATATACAGAAGTCCTTGATGTCCATATTAACATTCGAATTCCAGTAGAAAAAAAAATAAAACGCAAAAGTCATTCCCACATATATCATTATAAAATGGCTTCCTCCATGCTTGCATTTGACCATATTCGTTTTGTTTTTGGTTAGAGAATACCCTTCCACCAAGCGGGAAGGTGGTCATGGGTGTATCACATATCAAACCATCGATATGAGTCCCGTGTATATGCCTCCTCAAAGCCCATGCTCCAGACGCCGTGGGCGCCCTTGACCCGATACGGGCCTTCCCATTTCCACGCCTTCTTCTTCTCCTTGTACGAGACGGCGCCGACATGCTGCATCTGCGAGGGGGAGATGGCTAGCCGATCCAGCCCTTCCTTCCCGGCGAGCATCTCGATGACGCTGTCCACCGCCTTGGTGGGGACCTTGTCCTCCCGTTCGGCCAGATACCGCAGGAGTTCCGGCACGTGGGCCCGGTTGTAGAGCAGGGCCTGGGAGCAGCAGCCGTGCGCGTTCATGACGTGCACGCCGGGCTCCATGGGGAACCAGGTGACGCGGCCGGTCATGAAGAAGAGGCCGATGAGGGCGGGCACGCAGAGGAAGCAGACCACCAGGAGGAAGGGGTTGGTGAGCACGCCCTGGGTGGCGCGGACCTTGCGGCGGGTGACGAGGGCCATCCAGGCGACGCAGGCGACGGTCAACGCGCTCCAGAAGAGGTAGACGGGCCAGCTCTCCGAGTTCCAGCCCAGGAACTTCTCCGTGTAGAACAGGCGCACGTACAGCCAGTCCCTGGGGAGGAGGCCGCGCTGGCGGCCGTCCTCGATGCGGCGCACGCTCTGCATGGTGTGCTCGTACCAGTTGCGCTGGGCGACCACGTCGTCCTCCAGCATGATGATCCAGGGGGCGTCGCTGCGGTCGTAGCAGGCCTGCAGGCCCAGGCGGTAGTCCAGCAGCGACTTGCGCTTGATGTCCTTCTGCTTCTCATAGCGGGCGATCGTCACGTGCGGCGCGTCCACCGCCTCGTACGTGAGCACCTGGTCCACGATCGTCGACAGCCATGTCTGGTTGTAGTCCGGGTGGTCGGCGGGGTCGCTGAGCGCGAACAGCACCTGGATGTTCAGCGCGCGCCGCTGCTCCGGCGTCAGCGTGTCCTGGATCGAGGCGACCGTCGTGCCGAGATTCTGCTGCAGCGGCCGTTTCACCGTCACGATCCCGACGCAGGCGGTCTTGTCCTTCGGCGGCTGGTAGTCGCTGGGCGGGTAGGGGTAGCTGATGCCGGTCTGGTTGTAGATCGACAGGTAGTCGAGCGATTCCTGGATGCGGGTCAGGCTATATTTGGGGCGATAGCCTTCGGTGGACTCGAAGAAGAGGGAGCCCGGGTCGCGGAGGGACCAGAAGCGGCAAAGGAGGAGGAGGAATGAGAAGAGGATGGCGTAGGTGATCAGCAGAAGCCTCTGCTTCCTGTTGAAATGGTGGAAAGCCATTGGTCACATGCTGGGAGGAATTGAAGCGACGAGAGGGATGTCAGTCGACGGTGGTGATGGTGGGGAGGAGAGGAGGGAATTGGCGAAGGGTGTATATTAGAGGCGACCACAGTGGGAGAGAGCGAGACCGCGAGCCTGACGAGGGACACACAGACAAGGATTGCAGTGAAACAGAGAGGAATGTGAGGATGGAAGAAGAATTAAAAGGAAGAGAAAGAGGAAGAAGAAGAGTCAGGTCAGTCAGCCATGGCTGCCGCGAGTCGCAGATAAGCAGCAGCAGCAACAATGGGATTAGTTCGGTCAACTAGCACAACAGCAGCAGCAGCAGCAGCAGCAACAGACTAAGCCAGGGTCCGTCCATCGCTTAAGAAGCACTAGTCCTGATAAGCGTCTAGTTTAGTGCTTGTCTCGGGCCTGTTTTTCGTCCTGTCTGCGCCCAGCTTCGTGTTCAACAGTGCTGAGTAGACTCCCATTTCCAAGACCTTTTCCAAGGTTTCTTTTCTCGGTCTGTTTTCCTTCTCGGTTCCTGACCCACACTTCTCAGCCTTCCTGCTGGGCCACAACTCCGAGTCTCCGACACCCACTTTACCGAACCCAGCACCCCAAACGATCAGGAATTACCTGAATAGGAATTTCCTACCACTGCGGCGGTGTCCAGTTTACGAAGAAGAATGGAGGCCGTGCAGCTTATTGTCTAGCATAAGAGCATTGGCCATTGGATTTGATTCAAAAGCATTTGCCTCCCCCCACCCCATATAGGCAGTGAATTTTGCAACCCCGACCAATGATGGGGCGATGACCGGTCGCTAAAAAAAGGACGGGAGCAAAAGCTTAGCTCCTTCAGTGGGAAAAAAAAAAGAGGGTGAGGCGTTTTATTTTTATCAATCATGGTCACCCACTCTCTGCTTTAGTCAAGATGTCTCATGTGTCAATTGAGAGGAGAAGTCGGGAATGATGTCACAGTTATGGATTATTGCCCTGGTGCAGTGAATTTGATGGTCGATGGTCTACCGGACTAGTGAAAGGAGTACTGACCAGGGTATGGTATGGTCCGGTGCAAACCACCTCCACATGTCAGATAATGTAATCTCTAGCCTTAGCCTGGAGGCGCCCAAGGTCCACTGCCTCGGCCTTCCATCAAACACCCGTGGATATGCGGATCGCTCAGGACTATGAACAACACGTCCAATCCATGAAGGCAATAAGTATACATCAAAAGCAATGGCACCCCACTGATGAGAAGATCAGAAAGAGATTCGTGTCACAGCACCATGCTTGGCTGCGGGGTAAGAAAGAACGTTAACCGATCTGGCCGAGGCAAACGTCTATCCCTCACCGGAACGTATAGATGGACGGTCAGGATATAGGTCGATGTCGATGCCAGCGCCATTTCCAGTCCTAGATACGCAGTACTTCAGTATACCAGGAAATCAGAAAAGCCGTTTGATCGTCAAGTTCGTAAGCAGTTGACCAAAACCAACATGTCCACCACTGCCATCACAATCCCAGCGTCCTACGAGACCCAGCCCATGCAACACATCAAGCTCTCGCACCATCCCGCAGGCGCATCCGCCGCAACCCCCGTCATCCTCGTCACGCTGAACAGACCCGAAAAGCGCAATGCGTTCACGGGCACCATGGCCACGGAGCTGGAATGGGCCTTCACGACCCTCGACCGCGACGAGCGCGTCAAGGTCATCGTCCTGACCGGCGCAGGCGACACCTTCTGCGCGGGCGCCGACCTGGACATCGGGTTTCCGGACAACAGGCAGGAGCGGCCAATTGATCATCGGGATAGGTATTCAACCACTCTTGCCATGCCCCTTGCATGGCAGACACAACGTCCGATCGAATAACCGACTAATAACCTCACCAGCGGCGGCAGAGTCGCCCTCGCCATCCACCGATGCCGCAAAACCACCATCGCCGCCATGCAAGGCTCCGCCGTGGGCGTCGGCATGACCATGACCCTCCCTGCGACCATTAGGTAAACCTCCACAAAGAAACTTTCCCCACCCCCCGAACAAGTTAGACACACCCGTTAACAGCTCGAAAAGACTCGCCCACCAAGACAGCAAATACGGCTTCGTCTTCGCCCGCCGCGGCATCACCATGGAATCCTGCTCGGCGTACTTCCTCCCGCGCCTGATCGGCTACTCGCGGGCCATGTACCTCGTCGCCACGGGCCAGGTCTTCGCCCCGACCGCGCCGCATTTCGACGGCCTCTTTGCCGAGACCTTCCCGCAGCGGGCACAGGTGCGCACGCGGGCGCTGGCGCTGGCGGACGAGATCGCGCGGAACGTCAGTCCCATGGCCGCGGTGCTAAATCGCGCGCTCATGTGGCGGGGTCCCCGCTCGGCGGAGGAGGCGCATCTCTTGGATTCGAGTATTCTGGCGCATATGTTTGCTTCGGAGTACGTGGTTCCTTTCCCGGGATTTAGATTGGTCCCTTCGGGGTTGGGGAGGGGGGATAGGGGAAGAAGGGAGAGTGTGGTAATGAGCTGAGCTGACTTTCGTTTAGGGACCAGAGAGAAGGGGTCCGAGCCTTCTTGGAGAAGAGAAAGGCTGATTTTCGTGCGACGCTCGAGGAGCACGGTCCGGAGAATTATCCTTGGTGGGCTGAGGTGCACGTTGATCGGAAGCCGGCTGCTGTCGGGGAGGCGAAATTGTAGGCTGTTCATGAGAAACTAGAACTGGGCATTTGTGCGCAAAGCGGCTGAAGGCAAGGGAAACAAGGCAGACTAGCAATTCGGGAAGGTAGTAAAAGAAGAAATCCATTTCAATCGCTCACGGATACTCAATATTCATACAATCAAATCCACCAGAACTCAAAAAGTCCCGTACGGAGGATGAAGCCAAACAGAAATAAACACAATGCCCGATCATGGAAAGGTAACCCCGTCATGCAAAGTAGAGAAACCTATACCTCATAAAACTTTAGGCGATGAAGTGGCGTCTCTTGCGGTTGTACGCTCGCTGATCCTTCAGCCATTGCCGGTAGCCCTGAACACTGCCGATCTTCTCACCGTAGTAGTCGGGAACAGGGTTGGCGATGGAGTTGGACGAAGGGTCGACACGGAATCGGCGAATGCGATCGTAGAATTGCTTTTCTTTCTGTGGTTCGAATGGCCATCATTAGTATTTCCCTATCGTTTTGTGCAGTAGTCACAACATGGGGGAGTATTGTGAAAAAGCGAGGGTCAAAACTCGCCTGTAGAAGAGAAGGCTTGTATCTCCGGTAGATCAGTCCCCAGACCGAGTTCCCCACGAAGGGACCAAGGAGCCAGCCCGCCGCACCGCACGCAGCGGTCGCCATACCAAGCACCACAAACGGGTCCAGGCCCATCACCTGGGCGCCCAGGCCCTCCAGATCCTGCGACGAGAGGACCTGCATTCCCAGGACCGTGGTGAAAGCCGAGGTCACGACCGACGAGGCCAGGGTGTAGCGACGCCGACTGGCACGGAGCTTGAAGAATGAGTCCCAGTCCAGCCGAACGAGTTGCTGTCCGGAGGGGGCAGGCGAGGCGGCGGCGTTGGATTTAGCCCGGCGGGGAGCTGCAGCGGAAGAGAGCGAGGAAATGGGCTTCTGCGGGCGAGCAACCGAGGTCTTCAGCGTGCGTGCAGCATTGTTGGCCGTCGCTGTGCTGGCCGTGCGGGCCGATGGGATCGCATGATACAATTGTCTCGTGAGGTTGCTGTTGGCATGTGCGAATGGTCTCAAGGTTGAGGTGGAGAAGCTTCCGCCGAGGACGGCGGTACGCATCCCACAGATTGAGGTGGTGTGCATTGTTATCGATCGAGGGTCGAGGGGATGGTGAGGAAGAGAACAAAGCTGGATGTCAGTGATGGGTAGACGAGTTGGATCGAATTCGGCGGAGAAAGATGCGCGGATTAGATAAGCGGCGGCGGCTGCATGAGGTCACTGCCTCGGGTCGGCCACGCAGGAAAAGAATGAATAGTGGGTGAATGTGATAAGAGTTATGCACAAACCGAAAGAATTTATGTACTTCCACCTGAGGTGCCTTATATTTATAGAGTCACTATGTCTTAGGAAATGAGTTGCTGGCTAGTATACCTCCATGTAGTCCTGAATTGTTCAGATCCAAAATTCTATAGCGATGTCTATGAGATGATCCCAAATCACAGCTCACACTCTAGAAAACTTTACCAACGCTGTATACACAGCCCATGCCATCCACCTGCTCAAACAATAGCTTCCAGCTGGATTGCTGTTGTGTGCCACCCGATTCTGATTCTGATAAATGTGCAAGTGCGCTAGAAGTGGCCGTTCTGCTTGATGGCACCCGGCCGAGACTGGGGCTTGTTCGTTCCGAAGCCATTGACACGTCCGTGCAACCACTTCAGAGTGCCAGTACTCAGCGCCATTACCACAGCACTGATAGCAAAGATCCCAATACGACCTTCGAAGCTAGCCACCTCGAAGATCGGATAAGGGTACCTGGAGTCATATGAGTCGAGGGATTCGGCTGCGGGACTGCGAGATTACATACATTCCGTTGTATTGAAAGCACCGTTCGATCCAGAACCAGTACCCTATCGCAATAGTGCTGGATAATCCCAGTGCGGGAAGAATGGTGATCGTCCATGGTGGTGACAAAAGCAGGAGATCTATCAGAAGGATCACAGACGGGGCGGCATGGAAGCTTATGTCTGACATTCCAGGGGTGTTAACGATCGATAACGGGTGCCCGGGCTGTACGATCATTGAGACTCACCGGCATTTAAGGGAATTATAGCCCAGTCAGGAACGACAAGACGCTTGTCGATCTGGAAGCAGGATATCAGAAACACGAAGAGTAGGAGCGACAGGGCTGGATACTGACCAAGCGAAGACCCCAGTAAAGAATGCTGATCAGCACCTCCAATGGCGTACAGCACATCGAGAGGAGGTTCTTGATGAGAAAGAGGCGGGGAGATAGTGTCACATCAGCGATAAGACCACAGGCCATGGTGACTAGGGACAGAGAGAGGCCTAGCACGGTGAGGTACTGATAAGGAAAGAAGTCAGAAACCGATGACGACTGGAGCAAGCAACCACGTACCTGAAAATGCCAGCCATATGCTTCGTTCCTATCAGTGGCATAGATAAGCATCGACATACTCGGCTCCCGAGGCCATGGATCCGGGGAAGACTAACGCATGATTGGGGTTATCGTGCATACTAAGAGATTGATTGGTTAGCAGCTGGACTAGAGTCACCTCAGGCGGGCAGCTCAGGATCAGTAGGTAAGCACATACTATTTGAATGACCACATAAAGCTAGTGAGGCCCAGAAGCTGTTGACTTGGTGGTTAGTGAGACAGCCCATGGAACCAGCACTGAAAGAACGGAGATGGAAGTTTACACGTACATGAACCAGGGCCGAGAACCCTCTGGAAGGACTGGCAATACGTTGTAAAGGGTGCTTTCTTTGAAGCGTTTCAGCAACGGCCGAGGAACCCATACTGCCAAGAGAGTAGAAGATTGAGCTAGGAGATATTCGAGCTTCGAGTTACTCGAGTCTAGAACTCTAGAATAAATCAGAAAAAGATCTAGGTTTGGATGTGATTGACAGTGAGTTGACAGGGGAGTGGAATGATACTAGCTTAGTTAAGTTACCTAGTATGATATCACAGCTCCAGGCTGCTTCCCCGGGTTTCCCGGGCCAGCACAACCTAAAGCAGGCTAGTGGGATTCTCAGCCGACGGATTGACATCGTCGTGGCGCTGCTCGGAGAAACCTCCCGGAACAATTGTCACTGAATAGACTAACAGTGGACGTCTTATCTGCCTTTCTCTGATTGACGGAGAAAGCCGATGACTGGTTATCGGCAGGTTATCTTGCTCATTCACTGGTCTACGCCCTCCGGTGAATATACACTAACCTAAGGTATACTTTGGTGATGGATAACGAATGAGTCCACTTCCTAGTCTACTCCCCGTACTAACCAAGGCTAGGCTTGACTGCAACAATCCCCATTCATTCAATCATTCATTCATCTCCTCTTTTCTCTCTCCTGCTTCTCCGGTCCCCTCCATACCATCACCACAAGCAATCCAGCCCTACGAATCTCGGTCTATAGACAGAAGAATACCCAAGCATTGCTTCTAGAACAAATCTGCAGCTAGTTCGTCCCACACCTCGATGACGAAGAGCGGGTGTGGGTGTCTTCTTGATTATCGTTTCTTAGCATCCTGGGTCAAACACCCTACATCAACGCACCGAAAACACCCCCATTGGGATTCATCTCCAGACTCTAGCACAGAGAAGGTGTTCTTCTACTACGTTGTCTGCATGGCGATCTTATTGTGCAGATCGATCCGAAGCTATTTCAAGATCCCGGCCATTAGCTCCCCTGGTCGTGGATTTCTTTTGCTGGAAATATTCCCTCAGCCAGATCGGACCTGAACTTCAATGCCTCGACCGAGAAGGCCCGGGGCTCCGGAGCCGAAACGAAGGTCGCGCAAGGGCTGCTGGTGAGGGTCTCCCAAGCGATCATTCCCCACTGCTGGATTTAACTAAGCGTGCATGTTTTTAGGCCTTGTAAAGCACGCAAGGTGAAGTGGTTTGTGTCACCTTCTCTCACTTAGTTCGCAAAGTACTTCCGTAAGCTGATCGCTCTTACAGTGGCGAGGAAAAACCATCGTGTCTTAATTGCGAACGCCAAAATGAATTGTGTGACTACAGCATCAGACTGAACTGGGGAGGAAGGACCAGAAGAAAGTCATCGGTAGACTCCCCGATATCGCATGCAAGCAGTCCTTCAGGAACCTATGGCTCGTTCTCGCTATCGCCGGCGAATACCTATCAGTCCGACAATTTATCGTCCTCGCACTCACTCAAAGCCACATCTCCAGAGTCCGAGAACACAGCACAATTTTCAGCCACAGAGGAATTGCAATGGGATGTCGAGCTTTCCGAACAGATGGCAATAGGGACTCCGGCAGCTTATCCTAGAGGGTCGCATGATATCCATGAATCTCCAATCTTTGGCCAGACCCTTTATAGCTCCAACCGTACAAATGGCAAGAACTCTGTAGACAGCATGAGGGCTCTGTCATCCCGACAGGATGGGACATCCCCATGGCCAAACCTGCCCCAGACCACCGCCGCGACTGCCTTTTCTGTCTCCGCTCCAACTTCTCTGGAAACCCCCATCTCTCATCCGTCTCCTGTGGACACGAATTCCAGTATAGGTTCTTGGGCTACCTTGAGCTTCTCGCCTGTCACGGCTCTGTCGCGCCCGGTCTCGTTTCTTCGGCACACCTCCGAATCGCATCATGCGACACCCACAGATAATCGCATATCCGATCATGGCATTGAGTTCAGCAGCTACTATTCTGCGACCAACGCAAAAGCCACTTATGACAACTATCCGGTCCAAGAGACAACAGGCCTCCGCAGCTCAGGTTCACCATACGCAGAAGAACCAGCCATGTCGTCATTAGACGCGAGCGAAGGAGCCCAATCTCTAGAGGCACAGCCATCCGATCGCTCGGAAAGCTACCTCACCAAGATTATGAACCGTCCAAAAGCCTTGGTCCGCGACTTGCATAGCATGCAGATGCCCGACGCTAACATGCGCTTGCATCAATATTCCGACACCTCCAGTCAAAGTATGGCGCCAACGGATGCCTCAAGCGCAGAGAGGAAATGGCAAGCCTATCTCACGAGCGTCACGGACAATTACGGTCTGGATCGCGGTCGTCCTGATCTGGACGTGAATAGGAATGATGATCACTCCGCCATTGATATCAACTATGCTCTTGACTTGATCAACTCACAGCGAATTACTCCCCCGAGTTCCACCCCTCGAAGCGGCAACTTGGAAGGCGTGGAAACCGGCACCTTCGATTGCAGCAAGTACATGTATTATGCTTCGCCTGTACCGATCAACATCCCACGCTATTTGTCTCCGCTGCCACCATCGCTGGTCAAAACACCGATCAACCTCATGTACTTTCATCATTTCTTGAACCATACGGCCAAGATGCTGGTTCCGCATGATTGCGACGACAATCCATTCATATCCGTTCTCCCGACGAGTAAGTCCCCTAGTTGTCTGTTCTGTTCAATCTTCTCGTCTGACTCGTCCAAAAGTGGCGATTAGTGACTCCAACCTGCTCAATTTGACACTGGCATACTCCGCTAGCCATCGGGCGAGATACCTCGAGCACCCGGAGCCGGCGAATCGGATCGCGCATTGGGTGAGCAACGTCTTCCCAACTCTGCGCTTAGCCCTGGAGGACCCCCACGAGAAGGTCACCGACAACCACCTGGCTGCTGCTATCATGCTGCTGTCGTTGAAGATCGTCTCGCCCAGTACCTTTGAGGTCCCAATTCCATGGCAGAGCCACCTTAAACTGGCACGAGACCTGTTCTTCGCTCGGAGGGAGCAGCTGGCCTACCCGGGCAACCTGGTGGGGGCATTCCTGACGCGCTGGCTGAGCTATCTTGACATTGTGGGAACCTTGTCCTGCCGCCACAGCGAGCCGCCCCCCTCGCTGGATTATGCATCCGTTCTCCGCGCATGCGGTGGTGGTGTCGGGGAGTACGACGAGTTCCACATCGACTGCTTCACGGGGTTCACGCCACGAACCGGCCGGTTCCTCGCGCAGGTCGGGAGACTGACTCACCAGTGCGACAACGAACGGTTCGACGAGTCGTCGGGCACCTTCAACCCAGACTGGACCCCGTCGCCTGCTGCCGTCGTGGCCGGCGAAGCCCTCCTGGCGGACATTGAGCTGTTGAAGATTCACGCCCACGCCAACGGCACCCATTTCCATCTCGGTGACGGCATGGACAGCCTGGCGATCGACCGGGCGTTCCGGTACGCTGGACTTCTCCATCTCCACCGTCGGGTGCTGGACACGTCGCCTCGCTCCGACCAGGTCACCCATGCCTGGGACGAGCTGTGGAAGGCCATGGTCGAGATCCGACACGGCGCCTCGGCCGAAGTAGGCGCGTTGTTCCCTCTGTTCACCGCGGGGTGTGAGACCACGGACTCTCATGTCAGGGCAGATATCCAAGAGCGGTTCGCAATGATGGAACGAACGGGGATGAAACAGGTGAGCTCAACCCGGATGTGGGTGCTGAGAAGATCGATGATGCACTAACTCTTACCAATATAGATCCAGAATGCGCGGAAATTGATGCAGCGGTGCTGGGAGCAGGATCTTCCGTGGATTGCTCTGGCAGAAGGAGAATTCCTCGGATAACTTAATCAATTGTGTCGTTGAGTAGAGAGGGTTCGGCAAAGTACATTACTCCTCATGCTTGAGACGTACAGTACAGTCTACGAACACTACTGTTCATTTTTCTTTTCTGCATGACATTGACTTTGCACCTTTATTTGGTGGCTGACTGGATTCCATATTGGAATTTTGGTTTGGGGTACATACATGTAGAGATTTGAGGGTTTTGTACGTACACTACCTAAAGTTTTCCCTCCCCATGTGAGATCTTGGACGGTTTGCTCAAACTTTCCCTCGTCACAAATAAACACAGCTCCTCAGAAATACAAGCAGCCACCTCCCCCCCTCCATTTCTAGTCCCAGATCCCAATCCGAGGATTCTTCGAGCGAACCGCCTTGATGAACTCCCACTGACACTCATCGAACTTGGCCTGGCCTCGGAGCAGAACATACGCCGCCGCGGCCGCCTTGATGGAGCAGAAGCGCAACTGGCTCTCTCCAGGGCCGGGGCCATCGTGGATGCTCTCGATCTGCGGGACCAGATACGCGTTGCTCAAGGCCCGGCAGATATCCCCCTTCAGCGACTCGCGGAGGTGGGTGATGCGGATGCACCGGGTGTACCCCTTGTCGTAGATCAGCTTCTCCATGTCCGCGCTGATGGGGTAGCTGGGGGTGGGGATCGGCGCGACCCGGGCGGGCGGCCCGGCCTTCAGCGGGAGGATGCCCGCGCAGGCATGCAGGAAGCCCAAGGCGTCGGCTTGGTGCACGAAGGTGACGAGCGCGGTCTTGGATCCCGTGATGGGGCGCGTGTCGAGCAGGCGCGCCGAGAGGATCTCCCCGGGGATCTGGGCCAGGATCTGCGAGAGCCCCGCCCCCGCAGGCAGGCTGTCGACCTTGATGGCGCGGTACACGTTGTGCTCGAAGTCCGCGGGCATGTAGCGCAGCCCGAACTGGAACACCCACAGCTTCGAGTGCGACTCCCGGTTGAAGGTGTTGGACAGATTGACCCGTGCGCGCCGCTCTTCGTCTGAGTCCTTGAAGACGGTGGTGCCGTTCAGCGCCCAGTTGATCTTGCCGTCCCACGGGACGAGCTGCGATGCGGCGGCGGCGGCGGCGGCGGCGGTGGTGGTGGCCATGGTGACAGGGGCAGCAGCAGAAGGAGGACGTGTCTGGGTAGACATTCAGGTATGTTAGCTTGTGGCACACGGGGAGAGGTAGCTGCAGAGCTGTGCAGCATGAACACAACACAACGCACCAAGTGAGCCGGAGCTGGAGTGAGTGTGAGCTCGTTGCGGTCAACATGAGCTTGGAGAGCAGAGCTTGGATGGTTGACTCTCTTGGGCTGAATCACCGTCGGGCAAGGCAACGGCACCAGGCTGGGGACATGGATGTCGTCCAGCCCACTGTCAAGGATGCAGGTATCATATTCGTGTTGTGGCCGCTCCAACGGGGCCTGCAAATCCGGGTGCGGCGGGGCCATCCTCTGCATGGAGGGGTGAATGACGCCCAGCTCACTGTGAGCTGAGACTGGGAAGCGATTCACTGCCGAGCATGAAACTGCCAGAGACGAAAGACGATGGAGAAGTAAACAGAGCACGATCACCAGAGAGAGTAGAAGCGCTAGCACCACCAACTCGCTAGACCACTTCGGGCTGTAATGGATGTGGAGCTGTTTGGTGCAGCCTTCCATTTTCAGCGATTCTTTTAGTAAGTGAGTGAGTCGTGTGCTTCCAGTGCAGTGAGCGGTGCAGTTGTTGCTTGTTTGTGGGAGGTATGGCACAGTTCAGTGAACCAGGAGTTGGTGACCAGATCAGTGACCAGAGAAGGTTTGTTATGGGTATAGAAAGACCAGTTAGACCAGATACAGTATTGAGTTACTTGAAGAGAGAGCTTTGCGTGAGGATGTACTGTAACCCTCCACATAATGCCTCTCAAACCGAGGCAAACTCCCGCATCACGACGTACCAAGTAGCTGCTGGGACCATAAACCTCTCACTTCAAGAAAGCCTGAGACCAGACCCAATCTACCAAACTAGTTCAAAAGCATATTGCCCGTTCTATCCTCTATCTATCCTCTTTACACCCCCCTAATCTACATTCGCGACTCCAACATCCTACAAGCCATCCAATTCACCCCTACGCCACCGAATACAGATTCACAATATCCTGATCCTTCCTCGGGCCCTTGACCACATGCCGACTCGCCCAGCTAACCACCTCCCCACTCTCCGCGCGAACCCGGAACGCATACGCCGTGCGGTACATATCCTTGATGCAGAGATGATTGCCCCTGGCCGTGACGACCACCGTCGCCGCGGCCTCCGATTGTGAAAGTGGTTCGGGTGGTGTGGGAGGCGTTACATATGTCTCGTCGTTGCTGCTGCTGCCGGTGTTGGCAGCAGCATCATCCGTTGCGCGCTCACCGTCAACCGCCACCTCAAATTCCACCTCGTGAAACAGGTAATCGGCTTCGGGGTTCGTGGCAGCGTCCTTCGTGACCTTGACGAACCACACGCTGATTCGGCCTTCGGGGCTGAGGCGCCAGATGTAGGATTTCGTCCAGCGGAGGTTCGGGCCGAGGGTTGCGGGGAGGGAGCCGGATTCGGTGTAAAGGATTTGCGTTTGGGGTTGGGGTTGGGCTTGCGGTTCTGAGGTGTGTTCTGAGGTGGCTGGGAGGGGTTGAAAGGAGGCTTCGCCGTGGAGGTCGCCGTGGAGGTCGAGGGGGTTGTCGCTTTGGAGGGTGCGGCGCAGGGTCCAGGTGGGCGTGCGGGCGAGCGAGGCGAAGAGGGTGGGGAGGAGGCGCGGGGAGATTGGGGTGGGCATTTTCGGTGTCGTTGTGCAGATTAGTTCGGGATGGAAGCTAGGGATGAGTTGGTGAGGAGGTGGAGGGTTCAGGTCATAAGGTCATAGTTGCGATGGTGGTTCTTGGTGAGGAGGAGGAGGAGGAGGAGGAAGTCAATTCCGGTGGGCCGTGCACCGCTCCAGCGCTCCACTCTTTCTCCATCTCCCTGCTCCGACTCCACCCTGCAACAACATCCATACAGATTCTCGACTTCTCCTCTTAGCGTCGGAGATCTGTTAATATGTCCGGTGAGGACTGAGAAATATCCGTCAACAATGCGAACTTTCCTTTATTTGACACTGACAGCTACAGGGGCTACTGTACCGCTGATGTGAAACGGGTTGAGCCATGATGAGCCATGTTGATTCATGATATTCAAGTCCATAATTGTCGGCTTGGCATCCCTCCTGCTCTCTACATATTATGGTTGTCTTCCGCAGCCTCAAGATGACTTCCCTCAACATCAAATACATCCTCATTCAACTCGCCTCTAGCAATGGCTGAGAGACGGCTTCCAGGGGACACACCTTGGCCTGAGGCCAACAGCGCGTCTGCTGTCGAGACCAATGCCTCCCCAGAGAAAACAACCAATGCTACCGACTTTGAGCTGGCCGGCCTACCGTTGGCTCTGGTCATCATTGGCCTTGGTCTCGCTATCTTCCTCATGTCGTTGGACTCGTCGATCATTGCAACGGCCATCCCCCGCATCACATCCCAGTTCAACAGCACTGGGGATATAGGCTGGTATGGAAGTGCTTACTCCTTCGCCATGTGCGCTCTGCAGCCCATTGCCGGCAAGCTGTTTGCAAGCTTTCTCATGAAGGTAAGTCTATTAAGTCCCACAGTTCAAATGACAGAGCCCCACTGACTTACTTAGTGGATGTTCCTTGGGTGTTTGGCCGTTTTTGAGCTCGGCTCACTGCTGTGTGCCCTTGCTGTCAACAGTCCAATGCTCATTGTCGGGCGCGCGATCGCCGGAGCTGGGGCAGCCGGATGCTTCACAGGAGCCTTTTGCATCGTCGCGGCGGCTCTTCCGCTTGCCAAGCGTCCTTTCTACGTGGGAATCCTCCAGTCGACGTTCGGCATCGCGACCATCATCGGACCCATCCTAGGCGGTGCCTTCACGCAGCACGCGACATGGCGGTGGTGTTTCTGGATCAATCTACCCATCGGTGCCATCACCATCGGGACCCTCGTCTTCTTCTTCAACCCGCCTCCGCGCGACTCTACAACCTCTCCAGTCCTGCATCGGCTGAAAAGCTTGGATCTGATCGGTGCCTTGCTCTTCGCCCCAGCCGTGATCATGATACTCCTGGCCCTCCAGTGGGGCGGAACCACCTACGCGTGGAAAAGCGCCACCATCATCGGACTCTTCATCGGCGGCGCAGGGCTCGGCCTGGTCTTCGCCGGCTGGCAGGCCTACAAGGGCGACGGGGCCATGATTCCCCCTCGCTTGATGACGGAACGCACTATGCTCTTCTCCTGCCTCGGGGAATTCTGCGCCATGGGCGCCGTCTACATCTCGATCTACTATCTCCCCGAGTGGTTCCAAGTCATCAAGGGCGCCTCCCCGACCAAGTCGGGACTGATGTATCTGCCCCTGGCGCTGTCGGACGTCCTCTCCGCCACGCTCACGGGCGCCTCTCTCAAGTACCTGGGGTACCCGAACCCGTACCTGCTGCTCGGCACGGCGCTGATGAGCATCGCCACGGGCCTCTTCTCGACCTTCACCCTGTCCACCCCGCACAAGCATTGGATTCCCTTCCAGGTCCTCCAGGGCCTCGGCGCGGGTATGACCCTGTCCATGCCCTACGTCGCTACACAGACCGTCCTCGACCCCGCCGACATCCCCGTCGGCACCTCCCTGCTCCAGTGCGCCCAGTTCTTCGGTGCCGCCGTCAACCTCGCTATCGCCGAGGCCCTCTTCGACAACAAGCTGGTCACGGGCCTGAGGGATCTCGGCTTGCCGGCTGCGGAAATCGAGCGCATCGTCGCCGCGGGCTCTGCGGAAGTGCGCAGCGTGGTGCCCGACAGTGATTTGCCCGGCGTGCTGCATGCCTACAACCACGCGCTCACCACGACCTTCTACGTCGCTGCGAGCTTTGCCGCTATGGCCTTTTTGCTCTCGTTGGGCGTCCGGTGGAGGAGTATCAAGCCGCCGAAATTGAAGGCTGCTGCTGTTGCGGATATGGAGGCTAGATGATTGGGTTCGGTTGGTGTGGTTCTGTGGCATAGACTTTTAGTTTTAGACTTGTGTGATTTGTTTTTTCTATAATCTCTAGGATTGTATATATTGTCTAATGATTTAATACTAATCATGATTCACTTCTGGAATACTGGAAGGCATCGGTCACATTGTAGAGTCACATATAGTATGTAAAGCTTGGTCGAGGCTGGGTCAAGCTCGCATGGTACATTCTTGGCTGTTAGATTGTATTTCCGCAGTCTTGTCTGTCGCACCTGGAATTTTCTGCACAAATGGGATACAAAACCTACGTGCACGGCACAACGAGGCAAGTGCCGGGGTATTCTGGTTGAGACTAGTATTCGCATCATGAAAACGACTCTCAAGGGGAGAATCTAAGATCATCGATTGCCTTCCCCCTACTAGAGAGTAGGGGAGGGCGACGAAAGGCCTCGCAGATGGCATGTGTACAGAGGCCTAAAGGCCTTAACCTATTATGTGAATCCCAGGACTAGCCAAGGATGGCTATAAAAGCTCGGAGGCGGAGAGAGACCCCCTCTCAAAATTCGGCGAGGGAGGGCATCCAAGATTCGTTGGTATTGTACAGTGCAATAGGTACATTAAAGACATGTGATCTGAGATCAGATCAACACTGCCCAGTGGGTTTCGCTACGGTGAATTGTCACTGATAAAGGTTTGGGATGGAGTAACAATCCATCTAACAGGTCTGTCCACATCAGCTTTAGCTTTGCTGCGCCATATCATTAAGTACATGACAACAGAAGAATCATGCCCGATCATTGATATCCAAGTTAAGGATATCATCCTCGAGACTCAGGATGCCCATCGCCCAATTCGCGTTCGGCTGCTTGCTGACCGTGATGAACCGTCGTTCCGAGCTGGTATACGGGCCGCCGCCACCGTTGCTGTCCTCCTCTTCCGGGGGCGGGGTCGACATGGACGCCGGCTTGTTGAGAGTCCTATCGCGACGGGTATACGGCGGCCCGCGGCCCTGGGCGGCGGCGACGACCCAGGCATTCTCGCAGCCGCGCGCGATCGCGTCCGAGGTGCGCCAGCCGCTCAGCCGGTTGAGGTCGAGCAGCTCGGTGACGAGCCACTCGCGCTGCGCGGGGTCTGTGTACTGGACGCCGGCGAAGAACAGCGGGACCGTGATCTCGATCAGGCACGAGCCCAGCGTCGGGCTCAGGCTGCCGGCCTCGAGGTGGAAGGACTGCGGGTAGTAGACGCCTGCGGCGATGCGGCCGATGATCTGGGCGTATTCCGCCGTGGTGGCGGCGGCCACGCCCGCGGCGACCATCATCGCCGGCGGCATGCAGGGGTGCAGCCGGTGCAGGAGGATCCGCCCCGTGTAGTAGAAGCACCAGATCGTGGCGATCGTGTGCGTCCGGTACTGCAAGGCGGGGCCGAAGGGGGTCGAGATCGGGGGCACCGAGTCGGCGGGCAAGGGCATGAAGTACGGTCCCAGGGCTGGGAGGAATGCGTCGAATGCCGCGACCATGCTTTCCCATTCCTTCTCCGCGTCGTGGTACGAGGTGTCCTCTTCTTCCTCTTCGAGAGGCTGAAAGTGGTGCTGAGTTTCCCGGGTGTTGAGGAACACGGCGGGGGCGCGGCGGGGGCCGCTGGACGGTGCCATGCCGTACATGGGCGGTGCGTTTGGGCCGGGGCCGGTGCGTGGTGGACCACCACGACGCATATCTGGCGCGCCGGGTGGAGACTGTCGTGGAGGACCCCCCAGGCCACCACTAGGAGGTGCTCCTCGGCCTGGTGGTCCGGGTGGTCCTTGGGCGAACCGGGCCATGAATTTGCCCAGATTGGCATCCGGGCGCCACTCCATGCCTGTAGTCTTAGCCGTTCTCAGCTTTCGTTTCCTGTCACGATAGCCGAATTCTGCCAAGCGACCTAGGAGTAGCCACAGGTGATCGGCAGACCCGTAGATGGCGTCCATCCGGCCCATACCCGCGCGGGGAGGGCATTGACCCCATTGGGAGTATGGCATGCTGGGTTGCGGTCAGTATTGTAAATCGAGATAAGAGAGGGGAGGGTCTTATAGCTTACAACAAGGGGCACCCGCTGATGATACTTTGCATGACATCTTGCTTGCAGTACCACCAATACAGGTCACACTGGATTCGATAGTTCTCAATATCTTTCCGTGTGAAGTGCTTGTACTGACGAGGGTTCCCACTGTCATCGTTGATCTGCCCGAATTCGTCGTAATTCACGGCGCGCCCGAGTAAAGTCCCGATGAGCTGCTCGTTGATGCTACTTTCCTTCTCCGCGAAAGGGTCGTCGTCCGACGTGGGATCTCCGAAGAGGTAGCTGTCTGTGAGTGCCATGACCGGCGGCAGCATTTGCTGTCGCTGAGCCCAGACTCTCCGTCGCTGGGCGCGGAGCCCACGAGTCATGCCGGCAAAATCAATCTCACGCACCAGTTGCGCCGACCCTGCCACGTGACTGTTCCATTTCGAGTGATCAGCACCCATCACCTCGTAATATCCTAGAAGCAGCGTAGCAGCCAGGGTGGTGATCTGCTTGCGGCGCGTGGGAAGCCCGACAGCCACACCGACTCTTCTCAGAGCGTAGTGGTAATGTTTCAGCGAAACCGTTGGGGGTGCTTGTTGGAGGAATGAGATATGTAAACTGCTCAAGGCGAGGATAGCTTGCAGCAAAACCTGACTCTCGAGAGCCTTGAGGGGGAGAGTATATGTCCATAGGCCCTGCTGCGCGGTTGGTACGGGGGCGCCAAGCATGGTGGAAGGATCGATCGGATGACGCTCGAAGACAGATAGCGATGGTCCGGTGGAATGTATGAAATGCAAGAAGATCCGGGCCGTCTTTGGATTGTTCAAGGGTGACGAGCCGTAGGTGGGGATGTACGAGCCGAGTACATTTGGCTCATTTAAGTATGTAGTGAAAGAACGCAGCTGCCGCTCGTCGCGATTGGCAGATGCCATAATAAGGCTAAGCTGGTTGTAGTTCTGCACAGAAATCTGGTCTTCCCGTTCCTCCTCTGATTCACCACTGTAGTAGTCATCCTCACCGTCATCTTCCATATAATCTCCATACGGCGATGTTGATGATTGCGAGAGAGGCACTTGTGCAGATGAAGCTGTCCTAACTTGGTCTTGCAGTAAATTCACACCAGACGGTGCGGTATTCGGCAGCCAAGGGCCTCCTTGGGGATAAGAGACAGCGTCCGACCATGAGTAGCCCGCCCCCAGATCAGTCGACAGCTGCCGTCTTTGGTGATCCAGGAACGCAAGGGTGTCCGGTGGGGTGTAGCTTTCGGACGAGTTCTCCGAACTCGAAGGAAGGTGGACTTGGCCTGACACGACTGGCTGAGGAGGATTCCTGCCGATTCCAGGACTCTCGTTCAGTGAGGATGGAGCGGTGGGATTCCGGGTCTCTGCATCGGATGGCAAAGGCAGCTTTGGAGCTAGAGCGGGCTGATCCGGCCTATCCTTTCTTTGCTGAGACACCGAGTGCTCACTGGGGACTGGTGTCGACTGTGTCTGCACGCTGAAGGCCGGCTGCTGGCCGAACCCGGGACCTGAGATGCCCAATGGGTTCTTGAAAATTAGGCGGGGCCCGTAGCCTTTACACTCGCGTTTGGATTTCGCGCAATTATTGCATGTCGGCTTTTCTTCGCCGCATTTGATACGGCGTTTGCGGCAAGCTATTAAGCGATGTTAATACATGCGACGTGATTTACAGCGGGCCAGTTGCACTCACTTAGACACCCTGTTTTGGTACGCTTTTTGGGAACTCTGTGTGATGTTGCATTGTTCGATCCCGCGTCCGCAGGGTCCAGTTGCGCGGCGTCTGCGACGTCAGGACCCTGCGCTGTGCCTGGCCCACTGATAGACAGATCTGGCGGAGACTGCCGGGCACGGTTGGTGCTTTCCATAGCGATACAGAGTCGAAAGCGAGACCAATTCCATAATCATCGCCAGCAGAGAGGAGACCGACCCGACTTGACACAGACAATGCGCACTTCTACTTCCGAATGGAACTCGCACGACTTTTGTAGCATCAAGCTAAAACGGGGTTGATCGCAGACAACGGTGGAGGTTGTCAAAGAGGTGAAATTCTGATTGGCCTGGAATTATGTGACGGGTCGGGGTTGGTGCCTCAGGTATACGCACTCATGCCGTGCTTTGCTTCTGTCACCCGAAGAGCTGCTGCAGGTGCAAAGAGATGGCTTACAGTCGGATCGTGGCAAAGAAAGTGAGGCACTGAGGCAATGGGTCCTACTTATCATGTCTACGTAGTAGTGTTTCTTCTCAATTTCCCCCCAAAGCATATGGCCTGATCACTGACTTGCTCGGTAGAAAGTCTAGACGATATCCACAATCTGATTGATCCGAGGTACTTCCTTGGTAGCAGTCTCCAGTCTCCAAGATCCTGACACCAGCCCACAGCTACTCCGTCTAGATCTGACAGATGATCTCAGACGTGTGTATGCATCAAACTCTAAATGGAACCATTGCAGCAATTAGCGCCACGAGGAACAAGACATATATTACTACTTCTCAAAAGCCCATGGAATTGACAGAACAAACAAGACAAACACCACACTCACCGCCCTTGAACGGGCGGCAGAACACATCGACGACTGGTCGTCTCCGCCTTTTTTTGCCAGAAAATTTTAGAGATCCACGGCCGAGCAGAACGATAGTCAACCATTATCCCAAGACAACCTATCGCAACCATGTTCGCTGTACCGGGTTGGTCGCTCGAGAACTCTGCTCTCAAGCAGCAGAGTGAGCCTGCTCCCGAGAAGACAAATGACAAATCATCCAAGCCGAATCCCAAAGACCGAAAGCGCAAGCGGGAGGATAATGTCACCAAGGGAAATGTGGACGCCATGTTCCGCCGGCACATCGAGGGGGAGAAGATCACCCCCTGGGCCAGGAAGAAGGCTGAAAAGGAGGCTATGATGAAGGGCGAGAAGAAGCAGGATCAGGCCAAGCCCGCGACCGTCGCAGCGGACGCACCGCGACCAACCGACGCCACCACCGCCGATGCCGCCGAGGAGGGCGAGAAGCCCAAGAGCAAGAGACAAAGGAAGAACAAGAACAAGAACAAGAACACGGAGGAGAAGCAAGATCAACCGCAGGGTGATGGCACCAAGGACTCTGCCACTACCACCGACGCGATGCCCGTGGCGCCGCCGGAGACGAAAGCCATCCTGACCCCTCTGCAGCAGGCCATGCGACAGAAGCTCATCTCATCCCGATTCCGCCATCTTAACGAGACCCTTTACACCACGCCCTCGAGCAAGGCCTTTGAGCTTTTCACCTCGAACCCCGAACTGTTCGACGAGTACCACGCCGGCTTTGCGCGCCAGGTCAAGGAGTCCTGGCCCTCGAACCCCGTGGACGGCTACATCAAGGCTATGCGCGCCCGCGGCAGCGCACATGCGCCCAGGAGGGGCAAACCGGATAACAACAAGGGACGGCCCTCAGTTGCTCCGCTTCCCCGACGACCGAACGGCCTGTGTACCGTGGCCGACCTGGGCTGCGGTGATGCGCAGCTCGCGCGCGCGCTGCTGCCGTCCTCCAAGAAGCTGAACCTCAAACTTCTCAGCTACGATCTGCACGCCCCGAAGGACTCCCCGATCACCAAGGCCGACATCGCCAATCTGCCCCTGGAGGACGGATCCGTGGACGTGGCGGTCTTCTGTCTCAGTCTGATGGGCACCAACTGGGTGTCGTTCGTGGAGGAGGCGTGGCGGGTGCTCCGCAGCGACGGCAAGGGCGAATGCTGGGTAAGCGAGGTGAAAAGCCGATTCGGCAAGGTCACCCGCAAGAAGGCGCAGATCGGCGCCAAGAAGCCGCTCAGCAAGGCGGAGCAGAAGAAGCTCAAGAAGAAGCAGTCGGCGGATAACGCGGACTCGGATCTCTCCGACAACGAGATCTACGCGGAGGACGCTCGCCCCGCCAACACCGATGATGAGACGGACATCTCGGCCTTCGTGGAGGTCTTCCGGACGCGAGGCTTTATCCTCAAGCAGGAGACTCTCGATAAGTCGAACAAGATGTTTGTGAAGATGGAGTTTGTGAAGGCCGGTGGCGCGCCCACCAAGGGCAAACATGCCGGTTCCGCCGCCCCCAGCGCTGGTGCCGGCGGCCCGGGCAAAAAGCGGTTCATCGACCGATCGTCCGACAAGGGCATGTCTGCTGCCGAAGAAGCAGCTGTTCTTAAGCCATGCGTCTACAAGATCCGGTAGTCCTGGCATAAGGTGCTTGAATAGTGTATAAGAAAAAGTACTTGAGTTTAATCATGATGAAGCGAGTCGTTACTGTAATATATGTATCTACTGGTCCTCGTACACAAGTGCCGTCTTCAGCATTGTAGCTGTAGTAGTCACGTCAATGGATCAGCACCGAGCCTTGATTAAGAGCTTTGGAAGTGCCGCTGTATACCTCCTCACTCAGTAACTTGTGCCTGGACCTGGTGTATGTGTATAAACCAATATTCAGCTAGCCACAGGTGAAACCCTGGTATGTCAACTCCCGCATAACAATGCTTCACGCAAAGAACACCAGTCCAAAGAATCCCTAATTAGTCGTACTCCATCCTCCGCCCTATACATCGTCACATCATCAACAATCATCATAATCAATGAGCATCCTTCTGTCTCACCCCCAGCTGCAGCATATCGAACCCCCACTGCTGCATCTTGAACCGATCAAGCACTCCACAGAGATCCAGAAACACCTTCGGACCCTGCATCTGCCCAGCCACGCCCTGCCACCGCACCTGCTCGTGGCTGAATTCGTCATCCTCCGTCAGCAGTATCAGCGCACTGCAACCCTGGCACGCCGCATCCACCGAGTCAACTATCGTGACCGCTTCAAGGGAAGCGTCCGCGAGCCGTAGCGTACTCCGCAGCTGATCACTGGGGATCCGAGGATCGAAGACCGTCACCTGCACCCCGATCCCCACCAAGTCGCGCGCCAACCCCACTGCCGTAGACACCAGATCCCGAACCGTGCAATCCTTGCGCCCCGCGAAACCCAAGATCGCGACCCGGTGGTCCTTCAGCTCGCCCGTGAACCTCTCCGTGACCCGCTTCGCGGTGCGGCTGCGATAGAACTCGTTCATCTGGAGCACCGCCCGCCAATACTCGGCAACAGGGTGCAGGCCCAGCTCGCGCGCGAGATAAATCAAACACCGGATCTCCGTGTGGGAGTTTGCAGCACCACGGTCCCCGAGCTCCAGCCCCACTTGCGGTGGCAGCCCCAGTGTCTGGGTGATATGGGCGATGTTGGCGTTGGTGGACTCGCAGATCGCGCTCAGCGACTGGACGTTGCTGATCTGCTGCGCGAGGCAGGCGTGGGCCGCGATCTTGCCCAGCTCCGAGGACCAGGCGTCCATGGTGATCAGGCGCTCTTCGGGGACCCAGGGCAGGTAGAGGCGCTTGAGCGCGGTGATGGCTTCGACGGACATGTCCTCGGAGAAGATGTGGCCGATCAGCACGCGAGGCGGGTAGAGCAGGTCGCGGATGGCCGTGCCGGGGATCAGAAAGTCGGGGTTCGATAGGACGTCGAAAGTGGCGGTGGGGGATGCGGTCTTGCGGAGCTATATTGTATAATGCACCGAGGGTGTCAGTCCCAGTGACAGGCAGTTTGGGGAGTGCCTCCATGTGTTACTGACGGCTTTTTTTATGCGCTGGACGATGCCACACGGCGCTGTGCTTCTCTGCACGATGATCTTGTGCCCTGTCGATACTTGGGCGATCGCTTGGATTGCAGCCTCAAGCGGCGCTAGGTTGATTTCTTCTCTGGTCTCCGACTGCAGTCCATTGTCAGCGATTAGTCCTGTTCTTTGTGACGCTGTCTGTTGGTCTCACCGATGCGTCTGGATAACACTCTACACAGAGGAAGACTAGATCGGCGGAAACAACGCCCGCATGGATGTTGGTGGAAAAGGCGAGATTGGCCAATTTCCTTTGTCGTCGCGTTCTCTCGACACTTTTACTCTGGCTCGAGTCATTCACCTTCGCTTCCTCCGGGAGGCTGGATGCCGCCATCGCGAAACCGGGAGGGTCATCGAATAGCAAATCCTCCAGCCCCGGCTCGAGGACAGGAGGACGATCCGATTTCCAAGCCTCGATGAGACTCGCATCGCGATCGACAACGCAGAATTGGACGTGCGGGTTCTGCGACGCCAGGATGATGGCAGTCAATGCTCCTTAAACAGGGTAAGCTCTTTAAGTCCACCAGAACAAAAGACTAGATGTTACTTCGTACTCACCCACATGGCCCGCCCCGATGATACATGCACTACGCACGTTCTCGATCTTCGTACTCGGTAGCGGTCGCAGCTCGATCCCGTCTACACTATCGGAGTACGTGTGGCCCTTAACAACGATATGAGGACTTCGAGGACTCCCACCACCCGCGGCTTCGATGGCCTTATACCGGCGTCGCGAAAGGAAGAGAGTCAGACCCGCCAGAACAAGTAACAGAGGAAAGAACGGCATTGCTTTGGCAACGATATATAACGCCTCCTCGAAAAACCAAACCCACAGTCGACGACTTACCAAAACCCCTCTTCTCCGTCTATCGCACAGGGTGCATACACAAACGAAAAACCAAAGAAGAAGAAAAAGGAAAGGGAAGCAGACGGACTTTGGACCCCCCTGCCCCCGCCAGCGATATGCGGGTTGTTGTATGTGAGACCCGATCAAAGGGCGGTCTGGTCGCAACGTTGAACTGGCCACCTCATAGCGAACTACTAATTGTTCTAAAAATATGGACATGCTATTGGGTGTGGTCTTGTCGAGCTTGACTACGTGTTCGCAGCCTTGGTCTGCTTGATTCCACATTGAGGCGACGCTAAGGAGGTCTGATATGCAACTCAATTGGAACAGCATGGGTGGTCCCATCTGTCGCGTCAACAGCCGGTGCAGCTTTTTTTCCCCATCAACAGCCTCACTCTTTCTATTGTCGAATCTTTAAAGAAGAGAACTCTATGCATTTGCTATCAGAAGTGAGAAGAGTGAGGAAGCGACATACCGAAATCGTTGAACATCTGTCTAATATTAACTTGCCTGCATTCGTCCAACGGTCGCCCACTGGCTGGTGCTAGTGACTGTTTTGGCTGATCCTTTGACGCTAACCCACAGATCTACCTATGCATTAACTTTTGCTGGCAGTCAACACCATCAAACCTCCTCACGGAGCAGCAGCCGGTGCTGACTGTACTTATGCATCAAGCATAGAGTGCATTTCTTCATTTGACATTAAACAAACGAAACAAACAGAATGATGGATGTGCCTGTCACATGGCCCAGAGCCGTGGCGCTGTGCGCACGAGCCACATAGCCTGACGTCACCGATCGCGGCCCTCATCCCCCCCTCGATGACATTGATATCAGGGCGATCTGCACTCACGCGGCTTCCAGAACCTGGACCCTGTCAAACGGTTGGATGCAGTATTGACAGCGCCGGCTTGGGCTCATTTGCGCCAGATCCACAGACGTCATGGCGTGCGTCAGCCGTGGTTTGTCAACTATAAAACTTCTTGCTCGCCTTACAAGCTTGAAAACAACACATTAGCTCTATACAACTCCATCCTCAAGCGCAAGCACACAACTCCTACTAGCTACTATACTACCCCCCATCTCAACTACATACAAACAGCCCACGCATCCAAAAATGGACTCCGTCAACAACGCCCTCGGCCGCCCCAGCCAGCCCCGCCGCCACACCGAGGAACAGCAACGCCACATCTACAACAACCTGCCGGAGGAAGAGCGCAAGAAGCAGACCTACGCCGAGTGGGTGCAGGAGGTCTACAACGACCAGTACGAGAAATGGATGCCCTGGCTGGAAGACCAGTACCTCAAGTGGTTCGGCAAGGGCGATAACAAGGCCTCGTATGTCACGAAAGGTAATTCCCTCGGCCCTATCTGCTCATCATATCGCCCTGGTGACACACAACTAACCTGATCGGTTGGGTGCGCAGACAACCTCAACAAGACCAAGGTCACGGGCGTCAAGCAGGTTGATCAGATCCAGGACGACATGCACAATCTCGTGGGCAACCAGCTGGGCGAGAACGGGCTGCTGTCGCCGGTGGGCAACGCCGTCTCGAAGGAAGGGATCAACCGTGCCGAGCGGAAGGGCAAGGATGAGAATGGGTCGTATGGGGGTCCGTTGGGGGGTGTCACAGACCCCGTCGTGGAGGGCTCCAAGAGTGCCGGCCAGGGACTGTACTCGGGCGCCCAATCGGCGGGCTCGTCGCTGGCCGCTAGCACCAAGAGTGCCGCTGGTGCTATCCCCGGTGTGCAGCGGTAGAGAGTGGACTAAGTTGGTCACATCTGCCGTGTCTTTTGAGTTATGAGTTATGATTATGCTATCTCATTATTTGCTTGTTCTTTTCGGCCAATAAACTGTATTTCCTGAACGTGTAACCAGCTGCGCGGCGTCGGTAATATGCATCTTGAGTGGTTAGGCAACTGGTGGCTGTAAGGTCCAAGCTCTATTAACTTCTTACTACCTAAAGAAATCTACCAAGCATCTCAGAGCTACGACACCTGCTATCTGATGGAAAGATAAAATGCAATTCATAGCCCGTCATACCTAAAGTGGGGCATATAACCATATCGCTCATTCTATATACATCCTGATCAAAACAAAAAAAACAAAAACACACAATGATCAACTCACATCCCGCAAACACCCCGCGCTTCAAGAACCAGCTTCAGACAAAACTAGACGAAGATATACCCACTCTGGGTATTCGCATACGCAAACTCCGGACGATCATGAAAATAAAGCAGCAAACCCATCAGCGCCCGCAGCGCTTCCTTACGGTCCCCGGCATCCCGCAGATTGTACGCTTTCGTCCGCTCCACCTTGACCTTCCCCGAGAAGCGCGGAGGCGTCCCGAGCCGTTGCGCTTCGTGGATCGGCATGGTGGCCTTGACGAACCGGAGGTCCCAGCCCTGCTGGCTCAGGACGTATGCGCTCTGGTCGTCGAGGCCCTTGGTTTCGAGCTTCGTGTTCATCCAGGCTTGGAGTAGGAGCGGTGGGATCTCGTAGCGGGCGATGCCTTCTCGGCCGCGCTTGTTGTTACACTGGCAGAGATTTAGCTACTGCTGGTTGACGGAAAAGATTTGGGCCGCTGGGAGGGAGGGGGCGGAGCAAAGCTTACCACGCAAACCGCGAGAGGTGGAGTCTCGAGCTCTTCGTTGACGTACTTCCATCGTGTGATGTAGTAGGCGAAATAGGCGCCTTCCTTGGCGCGGACGTGCTCGCGCGAGAGGGGGAAGTAGCAGTCGCTTAGGAAGGTGCTGTAG